CGCCTTGAAGCTCAGCTCCGCGGTGACGAAGCCCACGTGCCCCGCCGACCACAGGCAGAAACCTTGGGCGTGGCAGGAGGAAACGAGGGAACACAAGTGCGAGACAGGGGTGAAACCAGGGGTGAAACCCAAGCAAACATGGAGAAACCATGGAAACCTGAGAAACAGAAGGTACGCCCAGCTACATTTGGGCCCAGAAAACGGGGGGGGGGGGGTAAAACGGAGCAATAAAAGGGTGCTAGTAGTAAAACAAATGTGCATATATATATATATATACAAATCATATGTGCACACTTTTAAACCCCTGGTGCGGGGTACTGGGATATTGTTGACACGGAACGGCCGGAACGGCATGTGTGGCTTAGTGATGGGAAACCAAGCATCATGGGGCATACCTTTCCTTCCTATACAAGCCCTTGCAATAGTTGCTCGAAATGCCTAAGCGGTCCACAACACCACACCAACACCAAGTAAAAGGCATATTTCACAAATAGGGGGACACAACAAATAGTGGCGTCTCTCTTCTGCTGCCCTTCCAGAAGGACAAACGTGCTTCGCTTTGGGTGTTTTCGTCCGAGAGGCCGGTGAGGCTGTCCAGAAGCAGCGCCACCGCGGTCTCCTCCAGCGTGTCGGAGTCTAGGAGTGGGGCTTCTGCCACCTGAGGTGAGCTCAGTCTGGCGACAAACACCTGGTTCAGGCAGACTTTACAATTCGGATGCTACCAGGGTCATGCTTCTCAAGTTGATCGTGCCAGCGGAAGAAGGAATCATGCAGCTACTTATGGCTGGGACTGTCCCTTGCTGTGCTCCACTTACCCGGGTTGAGACTATGCTTCCTGAGAATCGCCCCACAGACTGCGGAGTCTTGCTCTTGTTGGCGCGGCCCCCATTTGGCTGTTGACAAAACGAGAAGGAAACACTTGCAACAACAGCAACTCATGTTGAGCCCTGACAAATACACGCCTCGGCTATGAATCAGGTCTCCCTCAAGGAAAGGAGTCCCCCAAAAAGGGACCTCCCTTCACAGCAAGTGGGGGGTCCATTCAGGTCGACCTTTCGAAGTCGGGTGCCGAATCTCAGTGCAGCATAGCTGCGATGTGGCCACGCATCTCGCCCTGCGGGCTCATCGAGTGGCACTGGAAGTTCCTCTCACTTAACAAAGGTGATACCACCTTTTGGGGTGTCTGACTAAACGTGGGCTGAAAACAACAGGCAAAATTTTGGGACGACTAACAATTGCCCAAACTTTGGCAAACCAAAGAGAAACCGAGAACACGTCGATCTGCTCGTCAGACGTCCTCAGTAGGCCATCATAGGTCGGGGTGATCTGCAGGAAGGTCGTCAGCCGCCGCTTCGCGTGATGTGCACGCCAGTGCGCGAAGAGGTGCACTGCGTTGCGGTAGAGACACCAAAGGCAGCAGAAAAACGAGGCCAATGAAAGCCATGGCCACAGAGCTGTTGGGGTCATGGCGCAAGAGCAGTTTTAGTTTTGCTTCCTGGGTGGATCAAAATGTAGGGAGGATCCCGAATCCTATTCTGTCATGAGGCAACAATTCAACAAGAGGACGCCAAAACCCAGTGGCATACGGCATACGGCTTAAAGACTGATTTTGGACGACCCTGTTTGTGAATTTCAAGCCCAGCTATATGTTTCCGCATGTCAGTGCATTACTTCATTTTGTGCGATACTGTCCTGGATCATGTTCTGTTCGGACTGATGCATTTGTCGCTCAAGCCACAGCTAGTGGCAAAACTGCGGCAGGCGCAAGACAGATTCAGCCCTGGCGATATCATCAATGAAACTGACGCCAAGCTGAAACCAAACTGAGACCAAACATACCAAAAGGATAGCAGCCGTTCCAGCGGCGCCATACACCGATCTTCAACCAAACGTCAACAGCCCTCCGAGCAGCTCGCCCACGAGAGGCTGGATAGATTTCGACCACCGAATTCCTGCAGCGAAATGGTGAAACACTCACGAGGTGCAGGGCACGGTCAATATTTGTTGTGTCCCCAATTGACATCAGTTTTCGTGGAAAAGGGACAAACTGTCCAAGTGGCAATTTGCTGAATGTGCCACGTGCTACGCTTTATTGCACTACATGACGTTGAATGTTGGCCGTTGACCATGTGAGCCTGCACAACTCAACAACATGTCAGTACAGTACAGTACAGCAAACATCACAAAAGACATTCTGCTGCTCTTCAAAAGTCACAGACCTCCAAGCAAGGGCACATGCCCAACTCAACCTCCAAAAGCAGCAGACCCCGCAGTCATGTTGGGTCCTGCAGCTTCCTGACAGACTCCGTGGCAATTGCCTCCCGCATGCAAACATGCGAGATGACGCACGTCGGATGGACAAACTCCTGCAGTTGGTGGTTGGTTGATCCCAGTATTCATTGGGGTTCATTCCGACAACTGCATAGCTTTGTCCATCCACCGCACGAAAAGCGCACAGCCCAGTCGTGGCGTTCTGGAGAGTGCCCTTATTCCACCAACCCCAAAATGGATAGTCCTCCGGAGCCCTCCGATTCTCAGCTTCCACGTGGCCATGGGTCAAAATCCCGCACCCCCAGTGAACATCCCAATCCAACCACTAAAATAGACTAAGATAGACTAGAATGGGTGGTGCCATTGGTTTTGACCCACAGCCATGTTTGTTGGGAGACCTTTTCGGGACCTTTTCGCGACATAAAACAGCTTCCGACCCGCAGCTTCCCCGCCGCCAAGATGGGCCGCCGCTCCGTGTAGAGCAGCTTGGTCACCGACCACGCGGAAATGGCGAGATCCTGGAAACAAACGTCCAACTGGAGTCTCAAAATTGGAAAGCCTTCCAAAAAAAATCGGTTGTTCCCCTTCAACTTTCCAAACCAACCTCTTTGTTTTGAGGAGCGGAACCATCTGTTGTCCTTTTGTCTGGTCTGTTTTGGAGGGTCCCCTACCGTGAGGCAAACCCATATGTTTCTAGCATAAAAAGGCACCAACCACCGTATACAAGTAAACTGACAAAGGCGAAGTCCAAAGATGCTGAGATGCCGAAAGCCACGCTTGGGGAAATAGAGCTGGAATCTGTGCTTTGAATGACCCCTTCTTTAGCTTTTTGCGATCCGGGACCAAAGTGAAGCTGTCAAGCTGTATCGGCCTTCCTGTGTGGGCCAATATGTGCCGAATGGAACATGGTGCCGCTAAACATGGTTGCGGTGTGCATGTGGTTTTCCTTGGAAACAACCTTAAAAGGGGTACCAACTTAAGAAAAAGACACCTGGCTGGGATTGGCTTAAGCCCTGGGTAAAGGCCAAATGCCTCGAGTGCACGATGTCCTGAACACCAAACTCCGAGAGGCGCTCCATAGAAGCCCTGGTCGCCGCAGGTGGACACTTGTCAGGGTGAAAGTAGGTGGCGCGACGCCAGCAAGTGGCCTGGGTTTGCTCATCCACATTACTTACCCAAATAAATAATAAATTAAGGAAATCGTGCCATGCCCTTTGTGATGCATCTGCTGAGTCCTAGAAATGCAACATGGCAATGCTGGTCAGAATAGGCTTCACCACCAAGCTGATTTGAGTGGTTTTGCTGCACCCTGGCGCCTCACATGTTCACAGTTCTCATGCGGAACCGTAGGATAGCTGACACCCATATGTGCAGTACCCAACATCACCCGACATTTGGTTCCATGCCAACCAAAAAACCTTATAAACCAGGGAAGAATCCTTGTCAAAGTTGCTACCAAGAGAGTGTGACCGCTATTCTTTGCAGGTCCAGCCATCCAAATCCGATGTGTTGCCTCATGGTCACGTCAAAGACCGGGCTGTCTATGACGAGCAGTGCCTGACTCCGTCTCAGAACCCCTTCAAACGAGTGAGTTGACATGTGCTTCCCTTTCAAAACATCCAAACAGGTCTCTTACCTTCTGAAACGCCCAGGTGTGATTTACCCTTCATGAGACGCGTCAGGGTCAGAAACCGCTCTTGCTAGGCTGGTGCCTCCCCTCAAGCTCAGCGCTCAACTGAGGACAGAACTGCCAAAGACCACGCAAACGTTGACATGTCCTTAAAAAGGAATCGAGGCAGGACAATTTGGAGCGCACCACCATCAACATGCAAGCAAACATATGGAAGTCCAAAATCTCACAGAAACACTAGTAACATACGATCATCAAAGAACTCGCTTTCCCCGCTCTCACTTAGAAACCTACAAGTACCAACAAACAGTCTTGAGTGATGAGGAACTCCATCAAAGTAACCGTCTGTTGGAAGAAAACACAACACACTCAGCTGCGCTACTCTGCTGAGCAACGCTGCAATTGTGATGCTAGTTTGGACAAGTCAGTCTTCCTTCCCCTATCACGACTCTGAACCAGGAAAGCGTGCCAAAGACTTGCCTGCCATTCTCCGATGTAAAACGCAACTCTTGCTTCTGACATTTGGGAACGCCACATGCAGGACATGTTCTTTAACTATTTTTGTTTCCTTCCTGACTCAGCATGTGAGGCTTGCCCACGGCTCCTGCGGAACGCCTTCCTGCCACACCTTTCTGCCGAAGCCTTCGCAAACCAGGTCCTTAGTTGAGTCATGACCAAGGCATCAAATTGTCGACCCATAGGGAGCAGGCCAAAGCCCCCGCAACTGTCCCCAATAGCTTCCGCTTTGTTAGGTGTTGGGGCTGACTGAGCAGTTTGCCCTTCAGACTGCCACACACACGCACATACATGGCAAACAGGGGATTTGCACGAGGACTAGGATGCCAACTAAGAGCTGCTTGCTGCGACCTGCACGTCGAAGCCAATGGAAGACATCACTCTGCGGCAAGCATGACATGTCAATGGTGACGGGCCAACCGTCATAGGATAACATCAAGCGCTATATCGGGTGTGCAAAGTCAAAACTGCTTTCCTCGTCAGATGAAACATTTTGGTTCCAAGTGAAATTCATACCCCCCCCCCCCGCCCAAGGGTGCAACTCAGGTTGACCCGTAACCCTGCTGGAATATGTCGACTGCCATCAAGCCAAGAGCGATCCTCCTCCGCCCATGGACAGCACTGCCATGGACCAAGCCTGCCAGTCAGAGTCAGCAATTCCCCCAGTGCTTTCAGTTGGCATTTCCAGGAAATCCGACCATTCTGGGGCCTCTTTGGGGCTTCAACCACTACAGTAAACCAATTGAACCATCATGCAAAACCTATTTAAACATGTCCTTCAAACCTGTAGTGCTTTAGCATACTGATCGTTGGAAAAGGAGTCTATAAGCACTTGCTTTAACACAGGCACTGTCTGATCGTTTTCCCAATCTTGACCTCGAGCCGATCTATTCTCTGCAAAGCGAGCTGGCAGTGCCACGTGGCAAAGTTGACCTTGGCAGAATCGAAAACCCGATGGAAGTACTGATATAGTCTCTGTTGTTGTTTTTTCATGTTGTTCCCCAGCAGCTGCAATCAATGGGAACCCGAATAGGTGTTGGAGTGGTTCGGAGCGGTTTGGGCAAGGGTTCCGGAAGGGTTCCTCAAGGGTTCCGGATCCCGGTTGCTGTTCAGGTCCTGGGCTGGGGTGCATCTCAAATTCAGTTCAACCCTTCCAGGCGATTAGCTTCTTGTTGGCATCCATATCAATCATCCAAAGTGGATTCCTTCGACCCTAATCGAAGTATGATGGCTAGTATGACCATGCTTGAGCAAAGCTCAGGGTGTGAATATCTCTATTCATAGCAACCAATAGAAGAAGGCATTGATTCCATTTTACAAGTGCAAGGGGGTTGTGGCTTACAAGGTCTTTCTCCCCAACAGCGACACCTCGAATTCCGAGGGTGGGTTCCAGAAGGATTCCAGGCAGCCTCTAGGATACTCCTTGCGCTCTGAGGCCCGGGACGAGAGGACCAAGAGTCTGTGAAGGGCACGGCCGTGTCCATCACCCCATGGAGTCGTGGATCTCTGCCTTGGTCTTGTTGGAGATACCAAGCAAAACCGCATGAATACATGTATACACTTGTTATATATCATATAGACATTTATGTGAGGGTGAAGTCACGACAATGCCAGAACTCATGGCTGGGCCTTGGAAGAAAAATGGTAGCTGCATTCAATGCGCAACCAGCCAATGGCTTTGACTTTTTGTAGGCACATCCTTAAGATTAGCCAGACCATTTGCTCAACACACCCTGGAATACAGGGCTCCCTATATACCCTCTTTTGGCCAATATACATATATATATATATATATAGGGACGCTTGTTACAATTTGAGACCAATGAACGCATCTAGGGTTCGCAGATTTCACCTGAGTCAAGCAAGTCTTTGTTCACCGTCAGAACGTTCCGGGAACCTGAAGGCCGTTGATAAGGTGAACATGAAACCGCACGTTGCAAACACAATGCACTCACAGGGACTCAGTTTCAGATCCGGAGCTCATGCTTCAATATTGGATGCTGGACGCAAACTTCTCCGGCAGAATCTGTGAGCACCGGAAAAGGCCAGCTGTGTGTGCTTCTCACTAATAGAAACCTTTCGTGCGGAGTCAGAATGGCTGATGAAGGTCTCAAAACGCACTGCCCTGCGTTTTAAGCAGCACCTATCCAACTAGAACGGCTGTGACACGAGCACGGCTCATGCAGCCGACCATTCAAAGAAGCTCTGCCCCAGTGGCACCTCCCAAGAGAGTTCCAGCGGTAAACCTCTGATCCCAGTGAACCACGAACAAAGAGACAAGCAAAGTGGGCACCACTGAAGGTCTTGACGGGTTTGTCTCAACTTGAAGCTCGGTGTCCTGTTGATTTGCCTTCAAAACACAAAACAGTCCCCCCAAAGACACACCCTCTTGATTTCAAGATGTTCTTTTCGCGCCGCCCAAAAGTCTCGAGCAGGGGCTTCTCCCAAATACATCCAAATACGCCGAGAGCCCCCGCTGACCTTTGCAGCGCCGCCTGCTCGGCGGCAGAACTGGGCCGCCTGAGCGAGCCCCCCTGGTCTGGTTATGGATTGATCTAGTGTGTCTCCATGTCCCGAACTTAAGAATAATCGTAGATTGCTGGATATATGGGGAATTTGCTATGATTCATTGAACCTTGGGCTGACCATCCCCACCGCGTAGAGACAAACAAGTCCAACTTGCTTCCCGCATTCTGATTCTGAGGGGGGCACCTGCACCACTGGACTCCGAGTGCCGTGCCTTGTGAATGGCGGTGGCGCAGTTGTTGGCGTCCAACTCGCAGAGTCGCTCCCCGGCGATGCGCAGCACATCCTCTGAGGAGTTCTCCTGGCGAACTCGGCGACTCGCCGCTCGCCGGCCTTTGGTTGCGTCTCACTCGCTAGAACCAAAAAGCCACTCATTTCTGGAAAGTGTCCAAGTCAAGGCTCCGAGAAGAAAAAAACAACTCTGCTCATGGTGTTGTGTTGTTGTTTGGCCGAACGGGACCACAAAAGGACAAGCACCATTGTTGGGGTCCCGCTTTTTCGACAGAGAGCCAAATTGTCGAATGAGGAAGCTGGATCCCTGGGCTTGGTCTCGGTTGTTTGGCCCGAAGTAGGGTCAGTTCGGGCAATTCTTTAGCGTCTCTTCAACCTACTCAGTCAGTTGCCCAAAGGATGCAGAACTAAACGGTTAACCTTTTGGCACCTCTACTAAAAATGGACCAAAATGGGAAAACCAAAAGGTCAAAAGGTCGGCTTTGGACAACTGAGCCTACCATTGTAGCCGCAAAATACCGACTCAACAACGAGCGTGACCTGTGGCTGGGTTCGTGGTTTGGAGCAATGCCAAATGACACCAACGACCCAACCCACCTTGTCCGCCCGCCCGCCGACCGACCCACCCGAGCAGAACCGAACAGAACTGCACCGAACCGACCAGCGCCCAACACCAATGTTCCACACAACACTGAACATAGCTTGTTTCATGATGGGGGGTCGGGAAACCTGGCAACAGCGACAAAACTGAATGTCCATTCCGCGTAGCCAACAATGATTAAAATATTGGCTAGCCTGCTGGGGTGACTGTGAGACAGCAAAGGCACATCCAAAGCCAAACCTACCTCCACTGGCTCTATTTGCCAAAGTGAGCAGAACCACACACACCAAGCCGGCACGCCTTGGCAATCAGGGCCCTGTGCAGGAGCTGCGACGGCCTCGGATGGCTACCAACCGGCAGTGCTGCCAGGCAACCTTGGGGCAAACATATTCCACCGGCAGAGACTATATGAATATATTGATGAACATTGTACATCCAATCACGGAAAGCAGCGTAGCTGCTTGCGCTGTGCAGCTGACGTGAAGCAGCACTCTCACGAAGATCTATCTGGAACCCCGAAACAAAGCAAGACCACCCTTCTGTGGGAGTCATGTTGATTTTCAGGAGAGTACACTGGGTTGTTCGAAATGAGGGGGATGCATAATCTTACTCAGCAAACCGTGGGCCACGACAACAAGAAATAAAACCACTAGCATCTGGCATGAGGACTAAGAAGACAAACCAATTGTTCAGCCGCTCAGCCCCTGGCGTGGGCGGAGAAGCCTGCTTCCTCACCTCGGACTCCTGAGCAGACCACTCCCCCACGGTGATCCAATCGCGCATTCCCCCAACACAACAGCTGGTACAGGCCCAACCCGTGCTCAGGAACATTGGTTCACAGCCAAAACTCAGCTGTAAGCCAAGAAATTGGATCAAAGAGCCCACGTGTTGATCACCAAGCGGGGTGTCTACCAGGTCTCAGAATATAGAACTTGGCACCCGCCCACCTGCCCAGCCGGTGGCTGGCGGGCACAGCTCATGAGGCTCATGAGGCTCATGAGGCTCATGAGGCTCATGAGGCTCATGAGGCTCACGGCACTCCTGTCTGGCAGCACCAGCGCGCAGGGAGGCCGGCACCTCAGTGGGGGCAAGTTGGGGTTCTACCTGGCTTTATTGAGGTTCCACTAAGGGCTATGGTGGCTATGTAAACCTCTACCATGTTGGTAGAACCAAAAGTCCATGCGGCTGGTTGGGACTTGTTGATAGCCCTTGAACCAGGACCAGGGAAAGTATGGTACTTCGTTGCCCCCTTTTCAAAGCCCACCCCGTTGGAGACAGCGGACTTCTGCCTTTCCCTAGGATTTGTCTTTCGGCCAAACCATGAAGTGACTTCTGCCTCATGGCCCAGCACTTAGCTCTCAAGCTTCAACCCGAGGAACTCCGGGCGCTAACCATGCGGTGCGCATGCTGAGGCCTTAGCTCGACCTGCAAGCTGGCCTTGGACGCGCAGAGCGGATGAAATATGATGCAGTCATCTGGACATGGACCTACTGACTCGCCATGTCGTGTGAAATTATGCGCGTCCCCAATGTCCAGCCCAAATTGAGGACTGGATCCCGCATATTTGGACCGAAATTCAGATCACTTCCGCCAGGCGCATGCATAACATTTCTCCTGTGGATCACGCGGCACTCTTTTGGCTTATGTGAAGTCCTCGCATGCAACTCGCCATGTTTACCTCGTTACTCGTCTGAGATGTGCGCCATCCTTGTTGAAGGGGTAGAAAGAAGCCATGAGATCTTGGAACCTGTCCACCGTGCAGAGCACGCCTCGTGTAAAGATCGACAGCTTGGTCCATGTAAAAGGAAACCAAGATTGCCAAGTATTTGTATGGAATCCCTGGGGGTAGGTCCAAGACATATGGGTTGAGAGCCCTAGGGTTCCTTAGGATCCTTGAGGCTTCCTCAAAGAGCCTTGGAACCCCCTCCCCTTTGAAACCCTCCTGGAGATTCCACAATATTTGAAGAGGTTCTTAGTCCCTAGTTACTTCCCCAGTGACGAGGCCAGCCAGTACAAAAGAAGGCCAAAAGGGAAGTTCAAAAGGTTGCCATGAAACCAAAGGAAAACCCAAAGGAAACCAACCGGAAATCCTCCATTGGAGCAACTCCCGTGTTTGGAGGAAAACCCATGTGGCTCAGCTCCATGACCAGCCGCATTAACCCAAGCGAGCAGGTTTTCTTCATGGCACAAAAGGTGGATAGGCTCCAGCGGATTGCATCGACTTGATTGCTTGCTTGCACCGTCTGCCAAAATGAGATCAACCGCTGGCAATGCAAGTCTTTTGATGCATCAGGCAAAAACTTAAAGCGCACATCCCTGCCCCACCTCACTCATCAGCGCCGACTTTGCAGCCATGCCAACGAGAAAACCCCCAGAAACCAATCACAGGTTTACCACACAACGTGCGGCCATGTGTGGTACCATGCATCAAATGAAGTTTCAGTGTCCAACACTTTTGTCGCGAGCAGGTATTGAAGCCTGTTCTGCTAAGATCGGTCTCCTCATGCTAGACTGCCAGTAGCGTTGGCTCCGGAAGGAATCATCACAGTTGCAAAGCACGCTCGTTTGCTTGCTCAAGGCATGTCACAAGCCGTTTCTGGGACAATGGCCACTTCAATTTTTCTTCGAGCCAAGCTGAGGACATGCGCAATGCTGATATGTACAAATATAAACTCATCTTATGACCAGGGGTCATACCACCTGCAAAATGGCTTCAATGAACTCAGGAGTCACAAAGTGATACGATTCTTCTGTTCCCTGTGCTGTTGCTACCGCAAGGCAACATGCCCAAATATGCAAATTGACATGGCAAACTTCCGATCGAGGTACCCGTGGTACGGTAGATGCAACTGCCGAAGAGTCATCCTCTCAAGTTGTCTTCTTGTTGGTGAGGATCTGATAATTTGTGCGTGCTCGACAAGCAACGCAATCATTGATTAGCATGTTCCCGCGCAAATCTGAAACCAGGACATCTCCGAGAACTGCTGCTTGTTGACTGTCTTTATGCGAACACCAGATGGCCACGGCATTTTCCTCCGCAGGACCCGCCGGGGTGGCTCCTCATAGCGGTTCCGAAGCTCCATCTGCAGGATTGCCCGCCGGCCCCGGGTCACCGGCCTCGGGCAGAGTTAAGTACATTTCAGTGGGCGCTTCTGCTAAGCCTCTCTCTCTATGACTTTTTGCTTTGCCCTGCATCAACCGCAAACTATTTGGCATCCAGCCTGGTGCTTGGTGACAAAAACCCATCTGAAACTCAAACAACACTCTCGCTAACTCTCACGGTACCAGGCTGTTTCTCGGAAGTCTGATTGCGAAATTCCCCACACGCAAGCTGTAAGATCTGCACGTGATCCAGTGATGGCAGGCATCTCCTCGGGTTCTGCACTGAACACAGCGCCAGCCAGATTTCTGACATGATTGACGCCAACTCGTTGGCAGCACACGCGTGTTTCTCAGTCGCTCCGAACGGCTTGCATTGCCCCCCCCTAAACCCATTCTGTTCAGCTGAGCGTCCAAAGAAGAAGACCGCATCGCCCCGCTGCAAAGGCACCTGGAGACGTTTTTGTCGATTAAGTTTTCCGGCTCAGGGGCGTTTTGGCGATCTGGTCGTCGCAAAGGACTTCCCTGGCTGCCAGTGACAATTGAAACATATCAAACTTGAACACCGTGCTGGTCTGGTCTGGCCTGCCGTGCTGCTTTGTCGCCATCAAAGCAGTTGATGCCACCCTCAAACTCTGAGGGGTCAGAGAGCAATACCTGGCGATTTCTGGCTGATTCCAAGTGAAGCATCTGGGCAGTCAATGTCAGATATCTCAGTTTAACATGTCATGCTTCCCAGGTCTCTAAATGGGTGTGCCCTGAAATAGGCACCCTTCCCCCCCAACAAAAAAGTGGGCACCCCTGGTTTTCCCCAAGCCGTCAAGAGGGTTCGCACTTTGGAAACACCCAAAGGGTCCAACCACACACACACACAAATTGACAATTAATTGTAGTGTATCCCCTCAAAATTATTCAACCTACATACGAGACTTCTGTAGGGATGCGAGTACATGGTTGGGGCACGTAGTTGTTTCCCTTCAGATATGGTGGCAAACATAAGTTGTCGAAGATTTGCCAAATAAGACGGCTTAACGGTTTGGAAGGCTGTTGGGAAAGATTGCCCCAACTTGTACACTGCCCAGTGCTAAAGCGAGAACCAGGTTGTGCCTGCCAAGAGTACTGGAGTACCTTGTCTCCAAAGCCATTACTTCCGAGGCCCTAGGCATTCCCCGGCTTCCAAGCAAGCACAGCCCTGGGAACCTTCCCCCCTTTGCTTGCCCTTGGCAACAACCCCAACAAAGTACCCTTAAACCACACAACCAGCCAAATGGGCTCAATACATCGGATCATGATCCGGAACCCAAAAATGGGGCCATCATTTCCATTTGATCAAGCTGAACCCCACAAAGGCTGCCAAAACAACGAAACCTTTTGGTGGGCATTCCGCATTCCTTCGTCCCGAAAAAGGCACCACCGTGGTGATCATGCTGTCGTTGTCCGCGTGCCGCGAAATGGACCCGGGCCGCCCAAGCCGAGCCACATCATATTCGATGTACCTGGAGAATGACCACAGGGGAAGAATCACATGACAAGAGTAAGTGCTAAATTAGACTCCCACAAAAAAGTTGCCTTCCTTTTGATTTCCAGATCCTTAAAACAAGCCCCAAAGGGGATACCCGAGCAAAGCACATCCCCACATGTCTCTGGGCGGCAATCATTTGGGTGTGAACTTTAATTGGTCCCGGACCCCTTGGTGGACATCTGGTGGACACCTGTTTTGGTCGGGATTCATGTCCACCAATCACTTTTGAAGTGGTTGCCTGTTAAATTTCGTACCCATCTGTTCTCTTTGAGCTGGGAAAAATACTGTGATATTTGGGGCAGGCACCCCAAAGGCTACTAATTGTGCCCCTTAGACGCAGCCCTCTGTAAGATTCGACAAACAGAGCCGATCCCCTGTTGGATATGAGAAACCAAAAGGACATACAACGGGTTGAAATACAATTCACCAACCCCACAATCAGGGAACCCTTACATCAAACAAACAAACAGCCGGCGAGGTCGCTGCAATGTGCAGGTTTCACATTGAAAGTGCCTTGCACTTGCTCGTTCCTTTCTGAGCACATGAGGATATCAACTCACATCCTGTCCAAAGGCTTGCCAACAGGGATTGCCTTGATTCCTGTTCCTTAACGGCCAAGAACACAGCGGCCAAGATTTGTTGTGTCCCAAGCTTCTGGAAAGCAACCCTAGGAATGACCAACGAAACCAAGAATCACCAGCTCCCGGCTACGGCGAGACAGCCATACTTGGAGCACTCGATCTCAGGGAACACAAACTCCAAGATGTTGCCCCACATCCTTCAAATCACGATAAAAAGCACCCTTGTTGCGGTTCCCCCCAATAGTGGGTCCCTTTTCGGTAGGTTCAAGGGAAAACAAAAGGAAAGAAACAACCCCATTGTTAGGTTGCCTATTTTGGGAAACTCCGCGTAAGCCTCGCACGCTTTGGAAGGATTTCAAGCTGCAAGCCAGGCTGGATTGCCAGTTGGAGAGTTGGTTGCTCCACGTGTGGCAGGCCCACTTTCGAACGTGGCAGGCCGTTCAAGCGTGGCAGACCCAACTGCCAACCTGTCCTCGCATGCAAATGCTGACGCATGCCGGCCTGCGTTCGACGGACCAGGCCGTGTCAATCAGCTTCTTAAAGGTCTCGCCAAAGTTCTGCTGCATCACCTCCTATTGGGAGCGCACAAAAGAGCAATGGTTTGCAGGAACTCATCAAAAACAACCGCAAATGCGGTAGGCGAGGATTTGCTTAATATATACTTGAGGCACTGCTGGATCTCCCCGTCTTGCCATCCCTCATGCAATTTCGAAATGTCCCGCATCCCAGTCACGCCTGGTTTCATCGGCAGAGACACGCTCTTCTTACCTATCTTTGCGGCAAACAAACTGTGTCATCTTAAAATTGTGTCTGTTGGGTTTCTCTTCAAACATCAGCCATAAGAAATCCCCATTGTAGGTGTAGGACATCCACAAACAACTCTTGACGCTGCCCTACTGTTTATAGACACCGAGGCCTCTGAAACCTGCCCGCTTCCCCAATCACGTCGCCGCCCCAAAAGTGGAACTGTCTCGCCTCCATCCGCCAAACCTCATGCGCCTCGGAATGCCGGCTGTGGCGACTGTGTTTATTCAAAGCGGCACCCCTGAATACATTTCACCGGCTGCGGAACGATACAAATGGAGGCCGACTCAACAAACATTTTGGTTCACCTGGTGCAGGTCTCCCTGCGAATTGTCGGTCTGTCCGACTGGCACTGGGATGTCACTCAGGTATATCCACCGCAACATCATGAATACTAACGCCAAGAGGGGAGGTAGCAAAGGGGTGCGGGTGACGCACAGGATCATGACGGCAGTCTGAGGAACACGAGTTGGCACTCACAAGAGATCTGTTCATTCACCAACTGGGTAGTGTCCAAACCCATTGACTTTGGGTTCCACTAAGAACTAAGATGCTTCCGCTACGTAATACAGCAAGTAGTAGAGCCCCGTCACTAAAGATGGCCAATATGGTTTTTCGGGCCTCAGAGGACAACCACGGGTGTGGAAATGCACTCCATCATGCTCCATGGCAGAGCTTGGCTTTGATGGACAAGCTCAAAGAAAAACCATGAGCTTGCACGTTTTGCGAGGGCGAAAGGAGCAAATACTATTGAGCTCCGAGGCTCCCGACATAGCCCAGGTCATCATCCCGGTCGTCTATGCCCCAGACTTGGGCGTCCTGTCTCTTCGCTGAGAGTTGTTGGGATTGCGGGCAGAGGTCTAGTGGAAACTTCCCCATTCTTTCCAAGGATATTGGTGTTTCAACAGGAGTTGACCCACTATCAATGCCAGCTAGAGGGATGCAAAAGATCAACTTGGGGGTGGCTGAGCACAACGGCGGCTCGTCATAGCGCGCACATGTCAGGGAAACAACAAGCAAAACGCAGCACAATGTGAGATCCTTCCGTCCCCCCTTGGCCGGCCAAAAAGCTCAACTGTTTCCCCTTTTGTGGGAAATCATGTCTGCAAAACACAAGGCATTACTAAGGGTCAAACCAAGTAGCAACCAAGCATTGAAGCATATCTGACCTAGCTGAAACCTTGCTGCGTGATATTCTGTGAAAAAAAAACAGATACGTCGGCGAAGGTTGTCCAAAGCTGGAGATGCTGAGAAACCTCAGGCCGCTCCAATTTACTTGGGTATGGTGTCCCTTGATGAGAGAGTTCGGTGTGTATCATCCTTGGTCTGTTCAAGGCAACCAAAAGCAAGAACGAGCACTTGTTGGGTCCAACCCCCTTGCCCAAACCAAAATTGGCTCCCGGCCCATCGCCGCGGGCGCGCGCGCGCGCGTGGGGCTTTTGGCTTTTCCCGCCTGCACTGCGGTCTCCACCTTCGCGATCTCCGATTTGTCGAGGAAGCCTCGAAGCAGCGCCAAGTCCAAGGCCGGCTCCGGCCTGACTTGCCGCAACTGGAAACGACCAGTTGGGTTCCGTGTCGGGGGCAATCCTCGCCACTGGTTGGGAATAAGGGACTTGGGGGGGCCATAAAAGATTGGAATAGGTTCACCTCTTGGGACCTTGACAAAACACATGGGCCAACGGACCACATAAAAAGATATCCTTGGCCAAACGAAAATCAACAAGGACAAGGCAAAGCGTAAAATACTCCTTTTGCAAGCAACATGGCGTAAAACAAACCTGTTGAGCCTCACAAGCTATCGTTTTCTCTGCAAGCGATGGAGAAGGGGCCTCGTTCTTTTGTTCCAAGTCACAGATCCGGTCCCAGTGGTTCAGATTCGGCGCTGGCACCTTTCTGAAGCCAAGCGCGTGGAGCAGGAAGAATCTACAATTCCCCCGAACAGAAATTCATCATCTCAAAATTGTCTCTTCGGATGTCACTGAAGCCATGGCGAGTTGCTTAGGGCCGGGCCCTGCAAGCTTTTGGAACTCTGGCTGCCGTGATGGCTCCCCCAGCAGCGGTACCTGGCTTACGAGGCCCGTCGAGCTCGTCTTGGCTCGGGTGACAGGGGCAGGGTTTAGGTCACCCATTTTCATGACTAAGCTTCCCCGCGGCAAAAAACATCAAAAAAAACAAAAAAAAACAAGAGCTTACACAAAAGTCAAGGGATTGGGATAAGCTTGAAAAGGACTTGCTCAGAACAGCCCAACCGCAAAACGCTCCGTGGATTAGAATACTTTGGTGGCCGCCAATGTAGAATGCCAGCAAAATAATTTTGCCCAAGACCAGTTTGATTTTTTCTGGTGGTCTGTTGATCTGAGACCTGGGCAAACTTGGTTTCCCTGCCGTGATAAATACCTGCATTCTATTGCTAGTTAGTCAAATGCAGCCAATGTCGGCTCCCATCAATACAGCCACTGCATTGGTTGCAACACCTCCCCCTTTCCATATTTGCAAGCGGCTGAGTCTGCATTGTTCCTCCACCAAGCAAGCCAGGAGTGCTAGCAGGCACCTGCCAGCCGCACTTGCCGCCACACCGAGGACAATGCGTCGGGGCCCGCGGCGAACATGGCGAAGGCCACGTGTCATGGAAGCTACCAAGACAGCCCTCCGTTACCGTCGCTGCAGTTTTATGGCCTCCAGCAAAGTGCGCAACGTGCCTTCGACTCGGCGCAAACTGCTTGTGTGGTATTGCGGCGGGGCCTTGCGTGCCCTGCAAATGCTAAGCTGAGGGCAAGTCTGCCAGCTGCTATCCTTTTCCAAACTTCAGGATTGCCCAACACAGCACAAGAACCTGCGGCCAGCAGAACCCATATGCTCGTGTGGAGTGCTCGTGAAGCTAGGTCGTAAGCTTGCTTGCTGACAAACCCAGGCAATATGTGATGAAACTATAACCTTTAAAGCAGGTTTAAGTTGCATCTGTCCATCGGCTCAAAGCCTGTTTGAGTGGCCGAAACTCTTCATGCACCATGCCCAGCATGTCTTGAATGGGCCAACATGTAACTGCAATATTGATGGATGTATCGACTGTCGCTGCAGTGTTGGTCCATCCCATTGAGTCAGACCCACGTTACGCTTCAAAGCTCGGCACTTGACAACACCAGCGATCCCACACGCGAAGCCGCCACTGCTGCACACAATCAATGTCGTAGATATGTTCACAATCAACTTGCTTTCGGCCCAGTGACTGCCACGAACAACATGTGGGAAAACCGTGCTCAAAAGGCCAAATGGATTTGAGATATGTCACCACTTCAGGTAGTCTCAAACGGAACAACCCTGTATTCGTCCAGCTGTACCGCTCATTCGTTCAGGGATCCTTCTTTGCACACAAGCGTTCTTCGTGGTTTGCCAAAGCGACAATGGATGACAAGAACGGGGGACGGGCCTTTAGAGTACGTACGTACGTACGGACATATGTATGTCTATATGTATGCATGCATGCATGTATGTGTATATATATATTTATTTAGAATAAACGGGTTCTACATCAGTGCATATACAGAGATGCAGGCGTGTACAATCATACAATCATATATATATATATGTATACATATGCATATACATGCAATTATGATGCGCATTTTAAGTAGACATATTAATACTGCTGCATACAGCACACCATTATTCTATGTGTGTGTATTGCCTTGAACACAAAATACCAGCATGGCTCCTGAGAATCAAGCGCAGTCGGCTTGCTTGAGCTCCACAACTGCTGAACCTGTCTGCCTTTTACGCTCGAAATTCTGGCACATTCTCCTTCGCAAAAGGCTTCGACTTCTGAGCAACACCGCAACGGTGCAGTTCATGTAAGCTTTGCTTGTGCTTTTCGCATGGAGCTTCTGCTGGGTCTTAGAAGCATCTCAACACATTCTAACAACGCTCACCCGTGTGGCTTATGAGGTTGGCCCCATGCGGCCAATGCCATCCTAGGCATTGTGCTTCTTCCGAAGCGTGGGGTGGGCTAAGCCAAAATCTGGTGATCCAGAGCAACCCTCGTCGTGAGGTTGTGACTGTTGCAAGTCCAATCCCTGATGCGAATCACAACCTCTGGGGAACAGGTTCCATGCTCCCCTGATAAGCCACAGCAGTCGATTTCAGATCCGTTCCGAGCTGAAACAGAAGTTGGCTCACCTTCGTGTGAGTATCACTGTTTTGCCCGTTGGATCGACCTCTGCGATTATGCGGCAACGTGCTCGGGTGAGATTCCAGCTATGAAACTAATACGGGCCCGGCCGGCCGCCCTTCGCGCCCTGGCATCCGAACACCGGGCAGCTTCGGCTCTCGAGGCTCTCGCTCTCAGGGGCTCCACAAGCGGTCAACAGGCTACGAATCTCAGGGGGACCCCTTGGTGGACGTCATGGGGATTTGTGTCCAACCGCTTGAGAGGGTGTTTCTCACGAAATTTCATAGCCAACGTCCGGCGCAAACTGTCGGGTGGGGCAGCTTTCCTCTCATGGGTTGATGGGCTTCCAGCTGCCAACCTCATGCCTCCAATCTGCAGCCAGGCAAGCCCTCAGCAAGCTCCCCAATAGCAGCCGTTATGATGCGAGCATACCGGGCTGTTCAATCAACTCGCCCAAGTCCATACATGATCAATAATTAGGCCAGCTATGTGCCTCTTTTACATACCCTTCACAAAATTGGCGAATGGCACTCCAAAGCAAGCTCTTCCCCCCAAAGCGATCCATCCCGCCGATGCGTTCTGTTCAAAGCGGGCCGAAGGCCTTGCCATCAGGTCCATCAGCCAGCTTCACGATGATGTTTCCTGGCCGCCCAGTTCCCACCCGGCGAGAAGCGCCTCTTCAAAGGCCAAATTCCATCCGAGGGCATGTTGAAACCAAGGTAGACTTAAAAAGTTCCCTTTTGAGGAAATCAGCCTTCCCAGGTTCAAACCCACCTTGCAGGCAATCAGGCAATCAGTCAAGTGACCGCCTTGTGGGTTCCCTTTCAAGCAAACAGTGTCTGGTATTAGAAACATCTTGCAACAAATCTTGTTTCCTAGTGAAAACTCCGTGAGCTCGAGCATGATTGGGGGCGCAATGGACAAGGACACGCAAAATGGACATGTCAAACCATGCTAAAATAGGAACATGACCGAACGCTGTTTGGCTCTGGAAAGGCCTAATCGAACTTATAGCATACAGCCAACCCTGGCTTTGACATCAGCAAAAATGACGGGTGCGTCTTTTGTTGAGGTTACTCTTTTGTGGTGGTTGGTTTTTGGTTGGGAAACCAAAGGGAACGTCACAAATTTTGGGGGTCTATTTTTTGACACGCCCCACACCACTGACCATTGCCATGGAGGGAACCGGCCACGCCTTCACCGGGCCTAATCTCGTAACCTTGGGCCATCGCCTCGGAGCGCGTGCGGGAAAATCGGCTGAAAAGGGTCGAAGGAAAAACGGGAAACTACTGAACACAAACGCACTGAATTGTTCTTGTTTGCTTCCCCAAAGCCTTTCTTGGCTTAAGTGGTACCCTTTGGAGGCATGGCTTGAAGGAAAACTGAAGGAAACCCAAGTGCGTTCCCCCATCTGCAGCCACGTGTTGACCAACTTTGGGGACCACTTGGTTGCCAACACGCCACCGCGATGCTTTTGTCCTTCTTAAAATATCTCATTCACCCAAAGGACCTGGAAACAAAATAAAGGTCACCGGCTTTTTGGATCTTGACAACAAGGTGAACCAAAAACAAGGAAGGCAATCGGCAAAAGGCCAATTCGCTTTGAGCGAATGACTAAACCCATGGGCAAACAAGTGGCTCTTCAGGCGTCACTGGATTTTCTTATGCAAAGTTGCAGTTGAGTGGCGGGCTCCAATGAAGCTAAGCAGCAACTCTTGGAGGACCAAAAAAAAGGAAACTCAGAACCTGCTTTCGCACTTCTCCTCTTTGAGGTGTGCCAAGCGAACACTGGGGCCCCAGGCTGCAATGGCATTGCTGGCCTCTACAGGGGTGCTGTAGCGCACGAAGGCGCAGGCCTGACCGCTCTTGGACCTGAGAAAGGCGCATGCCATGCTTTCCTCCAAAAGCGTGGATCGGGTTCCCTTTCGGTATCACCTACAAGAAACGACAGAAGAAAAAAAGAAAAGCAAGTGAAGCAGAACCCACAATCCCTGACACCAATTCTGGCTGATTACGGAGTGGGAGATGAGCGGAGAGATACCCTCGGTTCCAAGATCTGGTCAAAGCAAAAAGGTCGCTTCGCGTTGGGCAAGTAAGCCAGTTCTGGGTGCCTGCTAAACTGCTAAACAGGGGGGTTCGGGAAAACTGAACAACATCCATCTCCTGTTGATTTCCTTTTGGAGAAGTTGAGCATCTTTCATGGGCGTTGTAGCCCCAACTTTCTACTGGTGGGCATCTGAAAGCTATGCCTGCGGCTTTCCTGTCATAACATGGATGTCCGTGACAGTGCCGTAAGTCTTGAAGACCACATCCAGAGAATCTCGTTGAACGTCGCCTGACTTTCCGCTTAGCAGGGCTGCAGCTTAGAAGTTGAACACACTGCACACACATTCTCAGTGCACATGTCTTGCCGAAATCCGTTTGTGCAGAAGGGTCTTTACGAAAGCTTAACTTCAGCAAGAGTTTTGCTTTGCGCAAAGCGACTTGCAAGCGCTTTGGGACGCTCCATTAGATCCCATTCCTGGCCTGGCAAGTTGCCCACATACAGCTTCGTGCCGGGCTCTCCCTTGCCGCCGCCACCGCCGCCTCCGCCGCCACCGCAGCCGCCGCAGCCGCCGCAGCCACCGCCACAGCCCTTGCCATATCCATCGCCGCCCCAGCCGCCGCATCCTCCACATCCTCCACAGCCGCCGCCGTACCCTTGGTCTCCACCCCACTTGTTGTAGCCCTGGTCAAAGCCGCCGCAGCCTCCGCAGCCACCGCAGCCCCCGCAGCCGCCGCAGCCCCCGCAGCCGCCACAGCCGTAACCTGCTCCGCCCCCATAGCCCTGGTCATATCCCTTGCCAAAGCCGCCGCCGCCGCCTGCGCCTGGAGGTCCCGCACCCTTGCCTGCAACAAACCAACGTGCAAACGAACAGAGGTGAGAGAGCGGAACCGCGCCTCCACGCGGTCTGGCCAGGCTGACATGGATCGGTTCAGGCGCACCTTCGCGGAACCTTGCGATGCGAAGCGCGTACTGCTGAACACCGCGAGTAACTTGTCAGACTTGTTTGGCATGGATACGTTGTCCAGCTCTTGGAAAAAAACTGACAAGGTTCACGTACAAATGGCATTCATCGTGCACCCAACAGCATCCGTTCTTCTCCCCTTAGTTGCCAGCTTGTAGACGTTGTCAAGGACCTGCACGGCGGACCTAGCGGCCTGCGCAAGTGGCCACAGGGAGCGAGCAATGGGATTGCCTGATGCCCACTCACGAGCAGCGTAACTACTCGTGGGATTGGTCGCCCTGGTTGCCGCAGCATCAAGTGTATTCGGCAGCCCGCGATGCAATGCTCGTGTCCGTCAAGGGAACACGGCAACTGGGTGCTAGATAAGGAGTCTGGCAAAAACAATAGTAACCGCTCATCCATTTGTGGTTTTCCTTAACAGGAAGATTAACCATGGGCAATTTGGATCTCAGGAATCGGACACCCCGAAATGAGCCGCGAACCGGTTTTTGGTTTCCCTTTAAAACCACAATGCAAACAAAAAGGGAAACACCCAACGAGTTGGATGTGCCTTTTTACCCACAATACTCGGAAAAACAAAAACAAAAAACAAATACTCCCAAAAAAACAATACTCCCAAAAAAGAGTGTGCCTTTTTACCCCCGACAAAAGAAGGGATACCCAACACCCAAACTCGGCACAGCCCGGCCTCGGCCGTCTCGTAGATCACGAAGCCACACCGCTGGCCCGGCCTGGAGCGCTCGGGGCCCAGCATCACCACCTGCGTCCGATCGGTCCGACTTGCTACGCGCGTCAAGACCCCCGAAACGGTTTCCTTTGCGTTTCCCTTGAAACCAACATACCTAGATAGCCAAGTTGCTGGTTGTTGGGGTAAAGTTCATGGACAAAAAACAGCAACTGGCGATCCAGGTACAAACTTACCTGCAAAAAGAGGGCGAATCCTACGTATATCATATTGTGCGGTTTGATTGGGAAGCATTTCGGACACCATTTACATAGGGATTGATGTTCACCAAGCAGCTGTTTGTTTAAGTGCTTCGACCATTCATGTTCGTTACCATTTAGGCATTTGGGCTGAGGTACAGGGAATCGGGGACTCCAAAGGAAAAGGAAAGCAAATCAAAACATGCGTTTCAGAAGCACTTCATGTTTCAGGCCTTGTGCACACCGATTGCCAAGGACAAAGGACAATTGGTGAGAGTCATCTGTCCAGCCAATGTTCTGCTAGGCCAACACTGAAACCAACAAAAAAAACATGCGTGCACGCACAAGCACCCGCACGCACAAATAACATATGCTGGGAGAATCCGATTCAAACATTCCACAAGTCTTCATTGTCCTCCAAATCGTTGCCCTCGTTTCATGCATGTTGCTTCTCTGGAGGCTTCTCGGCGCCTCCTGCACTGGCCCATATGTGTTGAAGACGATCTTGATCTCTTCCTCCCGGATGTCCTTCAAACTGCTTACCGGTTACCCTTTTGCGGACGGTAGAAGAGGCCCCGTGTGAAACCGATCTATTGCTTCCATTGTCCCATCTCCCAGTAATCATGGAAGCGGAAGGCTTGGGGCCTTTCAAGAGGACTGTTTTCCAAAACTCTCCTGTAGCTTCCATTACTCTCGGAAGGAGGGTAATTTTCCAACAATGTACAGTTGGGCAAAAGTAGATGCCACACTTCTCCCATTTTGGTTTAGTCATCCCCTTTACTCATCCACATATTATGGGAACTGTGCCATCTACTTTGACCCAACTGGTCACAGTTCTGTGGGCTTTGCTCCTCCGGCATTTTGGCCACGAAGAGCTTCCTGTCTTCGGTGTCCCCCATCTTCAGGGCCTCTTCGAGAGAGGTCCGGGGCTCGAAACCACACGCCAGGTGTGCCGGAGGCATTCGAGCGAAACCATGAAGCGATGAAATCACTCAAACTTCCCAACCCCACTCACCCAACCCAATCCCCCAACCAACCACCCCCCAACTCCACCCCACACCCCCTAACTTCCCAACACAAAAAAAAGAGAAGCGCTCCTTCAAGGTCCCTCTGCTTTGACTGTCTCCCAGGAAACCCGCCCATGGCCCCGCCTTTGGTGGGTCCCGCGCGGGAAAGGTGCCCTGTTTCTGCCCCCGGGTCTTGAGCCCAAAGTTCGGAGAGTGATCAAACATGAGGCACAAGCCCTCTCGTATGCTCTTGGGCATCTTGGGCATCTTGGGCATCTTGAGCATCTTGAGCAATGTAGGAACCCAGGCGAGTCAAGAGTCCTGATGAACTTCCGGCTCTGCACATTCCAGTGGTTGTGCTATGCAAACATGACACCATCATTATCAACACAAACAAAACAACCAACCAACCCACCCACCCACCCACCCACCCACCCACCCACCCACCCAACCAACCAACCCACCAACCAACCCACCAACCAACCAACCAACCAACCCACCAACCAACCAACCAAGCAAGCAAGCAAGCAAGCAAGCAAGCAAGCGAGCGAGCGAGCGAGCGAGCGAGCGAGCGAGCAAGCACACGATACCGGCAACCAGTGCCTCCGAATCATCTTGCATTACCAAGAAACAGGGGTCCTTCAAATGAAGACCTGAGAGATCACTGGTCGCCTGGATGGCACTGCCTGCACCGCGCGCCCTTTTGAGTGAACTAATTCGATGCGTCGCTGCCGTAGGTGGTGTAAATCCACTCCAAGGCAGCCTCCACTGTGGAGCATCGCCTGAGAAACGCCAAGCACAACTTCCATGCCAAAATGAGCTTGTCTTAAAATGGCCATGGCTCCAAAACATGCCCCAACATGGCACCTTGGTAAATGGAACCAAAGACTAACACCTGCACAACCCAGGCTCTTTAATGTTGAGCCACATGGTTTCCCTTCCCGCCACCCTGGGCAAACCTTCACAAGTTGATACAATCACAGCCATGGGTGCATCCACAGCTTTGCCAAATGAACCCCTTGGGGTTCGGTGTTGCAAGCCAATGAAGGCCACTTAATTTGATCCCCTCATGGGACACACGCCCTCCGAATACGATGCACGTGTGTTCTTTTTGGTCCCAGCTATTTTTTTGGGGGGGACCCACACCTGTCACCAAACCTAAGTGCGGTGCTTGAGTGCTTCGCTCGCCTTGTCACGGCTAATGCCTCAGAGTATACAGGCAGCACTAGTCACTGATTGAAGTTTGCCAAGTGTCGTTTGGACCCTTTGGACATCTTTCACATTTCTCCAACATCTTGCCTCACTTGCCCCGCCCTCCCCCGGGACCTCTTTTGAGGCTAGGTTGATATGATATGGGCAATCAGATCCTGAGATAGGCAACTTGAACCCTCCAGTGGCCCAGTTTGAAACCAAAAGATGGGATACGTACCTCGGAGTATCACAAAGGGTGTGTAGTACATTGGGTGGGCATGACCTGTCATGTACTGATTCAGATTGGCTCTGATGCATATCCATAGGCACAGACTACCTCACATCCTGTGGGGGACAGGAGGGCAGGGTTTTGCAGAGCTCCCCTATATCCTCCCGAAGCGACCAAAAGCTACCAATATCAATCAATCATGTAGTCACTTTCTCAATGTCGACCATCTCATTGTGGGCTTGTCTCAACATGGGGAAACCAAGGTTCCCCTGCAGATCAACAGGCATGGGCTCCCTTGTGGAAGAAAAAGACTGAGGTCTGTTGTCTGTCTCTTTTAACATCAAGCCTAACATGGAAGAACATGGAAGAACCTCAAACAAACACACGAGGGTCTCCAAAGGCGGCCCCGTAGAAGGTTTGGGTTCGGACTAGCCCGAAAAAAAACTAAAAACTGTGGTGGTGGGGGGGGCATACCCTTAAAGTTCTTTATCATTTGGGCATTTGGCAAGAGCATCACAGTCACAGGCCAACAACGCAATTTGTTCAGTTGCCCCACAGGGGATCACGTTCCCACAACCCTGATGATGTGGATATGTCTCAAACCCGAACCCCTTTTTGGATGGCTAAAGGAAAGAGGAGGGACTCCAACAACTTTTGTGTTGCCCAATTTTGAAAAACAAAACACATCAATAACATGTTGCTACTAAAAACAACGATAGGAGCCCATCCAAAACCGATACTCCCCAACATGCAGAACCGATAGGGGCCCACGCAAAGCGGAGACCCCGGTAATGTTGCCAGCTCGCCGCCAGCCACAAGGCCCTGGCAAAGATCCTCCAGGACTCGCAAGTTCCGCTCGCGCTCGGCTTCCCGCTCTGCAGGAGACAGGATCTGCCCGGCTTGCCGAGTGCGGGAATGTCTCGAACAGCTGGACAATGGATAGGACCCGACAACGAAAAGAAGCCACCCATCCTTAGGGACAGGCTCTGAAAAAAAAATGGCAGCTTTTGGCAAAGGAACCTTTACTAAGAAGGATCAATTCCTCTAAATAAGCAACGCAGGTCCTATTGCATTTCTTGACAGCGCGTGGACCAGTCGGATTCGGTATCAAACTTGTCCAATCCTGCGGCCACGCAAATGGAGCCTGTGACCCCTAGCCAGGCTAAAACAAGTCAAACCTCTTGGTTCACTGGCTGGATGTCGAAGCAATTTGTAAGTGTTTAACATTTCAGCTTTATATGGTCATCTACCCAAGTACCAGCCAAGTGTTCAACATTTAAGCCTGAGGAGATGCTGACCCCAAGGCCATGTTCGGCCGGGAAGCTGAGGGTCAATCTCACATGCGACGCCCACATGCCTGGCTGCTGACGGTGGAGCCCGTATTGGCCTCGGGGATTCAAATGGTGCGTCTTTGATTGGGAGAACAGCTATTCCGACCTGGGTTTGTTTACCTGGCAACCCCCCCTTTGCAAGAAATTAGAGGCACCCCACCAAAGTGTAAAAGCCGACCCCCGAAACACTCGTATGCCAGGGTTCAAAAAGGTCTACCCGATGCGAGGCTGACCCATCAGAACGTCTGCAGCCATCTGCCCGGCTACGGCATGGTAGGACCAACACTCATGCACGTATCTGTGAATGTCCTGAATCGGCGGTTTTGGGTATCTCTACAAAACCTTTGTGTGACATTGTGCGCCTGTGTGCATTTAAGGGGCACCCTTCTTGGGGTGGTCTTAAATGGACACCAAAAGGAAAACCACCATTTGGAGGGTCCCCCTACGCTAAGACCTACCCACATGGGTAAAGTGGGATGTGGAGAGGGTGCAGTCTTCCCCTAAGGGCCAGACTGCCCTGGTGGAATCTGTGGCGCCAACGCCGTCACCTCCGAAAGTGACATCGGCGGGTGGGCGGCTCCAAAACCAACAGGCTGTGGGTCAAAACCAATGATACCATTTTGGGGTAGGTGAATTCACCACCCATTTTAGAACCTACTTTAGTGGTTGGATTGGGATGTTTTTTTCAGGGGGTACGGGCTTGGGATTTTGACCCATCGCCACCTTGGTCTGCCAGAATTCAGCCGTGACACTCCCAGGCGGGATATCATGTTGGTTTCCCTCAAGGAGCCAGATTGGCTTTGTAAACAAGTTTTCTCAACCCAGGTCGGCACCCTCTCTCTCTGTCTCTCTCTGTCTCTCTCTCTCTCTCTCTCTCTCTCTCTCTCTCTCTCTCTCTCTCTCTCTGTTCGTTGGCCACCAGCACTCCTTGAACCACAACTTTCCGCATAACACACATGGGAATGCCGTCTCTGCACAAACACCAGTTGCAAGTTGCTCAGCGCAGCCACCACAGAAGACAGCCATGCAGGGCCATTCATGTCCCAGCCGGATCCATTTCACAGTTCTGACCGACCCATCTGAGTTGACCCATTGAACCTAGCTCGAGCCAGTGGCCTTCGAAAGTCTGCCACTTCCGTGGCGGAAAGGGCACATCAAAGCCGGCTCCTGACGTTGCGGGCGGACCAAGCGCAACTGCCCTACATCCGTCGTTGGTGGGTCAAGAACGCGTGGGTTTCATTTTTGGGCAGCCACTGTTTGTTTGACTTTGAAGGGAAACCAAAAAGGGTATCACATATTTCCGACCCTATGTCCTGTATTGAGACAAGTCCATGAAGTTGCTGCTTTGGGCAAAACATGTGGCAGGTCCAAGTTACACAGCGGGCGTAAGACCCTCGCCCACAAGAAATGGAACTGGGTTAACTCTTTGGAATCTTGACTCACCATGGACCAAGGACCAACTTTGAAAAACACGAAAGGTCAACAGGACGATTCCGCTTTGGGCGATTGCTAACCCCACTTCGCGACTTCTTCACCCACACTGGTCTCAAATGGCTTCACAGCCCTCAAACCACTACCCCAATTGCAAATACCCTCCAGTAAGTGTATCGAGATCCATTCTCCCTGGGGATGGCGGTTTGGTGGCAGGGAAAACTATTGAAGCCGAAACATGGCACTCAGGCAACCAAGGCTGAGCAGTTGGCTCCTGGAACCATGTCGTTGGCAAGACTCCCTTGAAAGAGACGAACTCACTCGGCCTTCGTGCGTTGTCGCTTTATGTCCATGGTACCAAACCCAAAGCGAAACCGATCGACGGTTCTCGGCGCCTGAGTAGCCGTTGGGGCTGGGGCTCCCACCCTGGAGCTGGGAAGGTGTGAATTTGAATGGGGAGTACCTCAACCATGAGTGGACATACATCCATGCTTATGTCCGCCGACGGGCTTGAAATTCAGATTCATGAGCTTCCTACCAGGGGGGGGGGGAAGAACCCCCATAATTTGAATGGAAATCGATGCTTTGTTTCCAAGGATTTGAAACCCTTCACGCTTGATCATCAGAGTCACAGCCATAGCAAAGTCAGCCGGAACAACAGATCCAATAGCGACTCTTAGCGACTCGGGGGCCATTTAAAAACTATTCTGTGGTCCTGCCATCGCTCAGAGTTGCTGGCAGTAGAGAGCTGCGATCCAGCGTGGTGGTGTGCAAGGATATGGTGATACAACTCTAAAATTGGAAAAATTACACCAGCTATCAGTGCCTCAAAGCAGCAGCTTGGAATTTCGGCTATGAGGCTCTGAGGTGACCGACCTGTCCTCCTGTCTCACATAACGACATCCGCCTTCTGAGCTTGTGGCGTTTGGGCTGCGTTTGGGTGTGTCCCAAAATAGGAAAGCCCTGGTTCGTGGCTTCCCAAACCAAAGCACGCGGATCGAGGATCGTGGGCCTGGGTTGGCGAGCTTCGCCTTAGCCACTCCACTGGGCTGCCCTCCGAGCCGCTGCTAAAAGACTAGCTTGTAGTTTGAATGGAAACTACCGCTAAACCCAAAAGACCTAAACAGCTACTGGGATCGCTGGGAGCTACCAAGTCCATATATGCTTCACATTTACCCACATGTACCTCCAAGTGGGTCAAATGGCGGTCTAGATTGCATACATAGATTGTCTGGGAGTTGCAAATCAATGACGCATCCCATTGCTGCCAGCTTTAGAGGATCCCTAGGGCTTACGTCTTGACCGCCCCATTTTGAGGAGTGTACATTTCTACCTTATGTGCGATCCATTTATTTTCCCAAACAGAGGGTCGAACGGGTAAGCCCACCAGCCAATATCTTTGGTGGAAAGCAAGACGTACGAAACAAGGGACCTCCTTTTGGGCACCGCTTGCAACAATTGTTTGACTTCCACTTCAAACACATGCTGATCTGCCAACCAGGGCTGAGCCAACCTTTTCGTTACACATGTTTAAGCCTTCTTTTGATTCTCTTTCAGCGGAGGGTCTAGCTGTTTGAACCAATTACTGGCCCACGGCTGGCAACAACATGTCGCTCCGCGCCGACTGTTTTCTCTCCGCGCAACAACCATCCCGACCGGCTAAGGGCAGGGCTGTTTGTAGGTCTCGGAACTTCCTAGGAGTGAGCATTGCCAAACCCGCCAACTTAGTACAGGGCTCGACTCTCGGGGTCATTGGGTTTGAAGTGAGCCCTGTTTGACATCTTAGTACAAGAACCGGCAGTAGATTGTGGGGGACTACGTGTCCATTGCCCAACAAGGCTCCGAGGACGCTTTTTCTGGGTCCTGAGGGAGGGAAAAGACACCCACATTTGCTCTCCCAGGCGTGTTTGGCTGACCTCCACAATGACGCAAGGCTCGCACGGGGCGCCCCAATTTCACCCGCCCCGCTGTGAGCAAAGAAAACACTATCTCAACGCCAAGATGTTCCTGCCAACAAAAGTGGGAGTGTGAACTCGATTCTTAGGTCTGTCTGTTCCACCATCTTTTGGAGTCTCCCCTATTTTAAGACACACACACACACACACACCTGTCAGAGCATGGACAGCGGATTTCGCCAACAAGGCCCAAAGCCCCAAGGCTCTCCAAGGCTCCCGGCGGTCAGGCGACCGCGAGATCTCCGGCACGCCGCGGGGGCCTAAGGATTTGGGGTCAAACACCTGGGTGCTGTAAGCTTGGGACACAAGACCCTGACAACTTGGATGGTGAAAAAAAACAACATGGTCACGCAGGCCCTTTTTGGGTACCCCCTTTCAAAGGCTGCACCAGGCGGCGCCAGGGACCCTTGAATGGGGCCATATCCGGCCAAAAAGGAAAATGGAACGAAGCAAATCCCGCCAGATTCCAGTATAGTCCAAATTCCTCCGGGTGTGGGGGCTTTATGGGACACCAAGGAGCACCAAAGCCGCGTCGCTTTAAGCCAGGCCCCCGAGCGTTCAGGCTCTGTCCGCTCGCTGCGGACTGCGAGCAGTGAGGTCACACGTCACTCCACTTCTTTTTGGGCAGAGGGGGGGGGGTGCAACATGAAACCCAAACGGGGGTTCCTCAAGAGGAGAGTCCTCTTTCTCAACATGAGGTTGTTTGGGTTCCATGTTCATCTGCAAAGGAGCCAACTGTGCTTGGTGGGGAATTCGATTGAAAACTCACCAGGAACCAAGACCTCTAATGAATTGATGAAGGATTAGCTTTGCGGCTTAGTGGTGACAGTGGATTGTTGCGCTGGTGGGTGGCGTGTTGTTGATTTGGCTAGGGGTGGTGCACATTCAACTTTTGGAAGCTCAGGTTTCGCCTGTGCCCGAAATGGGTTTGTCTCCAGTTGGAACAAACGTGAGTTGCCGGAAACAACCCCAAGAAAGCCAAGGATGCTGCCGTCAACAAGGATGCACCGGAACGGGCCAGCCGCCAACAGCTTCAACGTGCCAGGCGGTCCTTGTGCTCTCTGTGGGAAAGGGAGCTTATCTCGAACCACTTCCGGCGCCGGAGTTGCTGTTGCGGCCCTCTCAGCCTCACGCTGACGATGTTCCCTCAACAGCCTCTCTCGCTGCAGCTGCTCCCGCGCCATTTGCTCCTGCTGCTCCCGCTGTTCCCGCTGCTCTCGCTCTCTTTCCCTTTCCCGCTGCAGCTCACGCTGCAGCTGCTGCCTTTGCATCGTCTCTCGCTGCATTTGCTCCCGCAACAATTGCTGCTGTTGCTGCTGCTGCTGCCTCTGCTGCTCCAAGATCTCCTTGGGGTCAGGCCGTGCTTGCGAGACCTGCTGGGTGTGCCCACCTGGCCAGGAGGGTCGGATTTGTTAAGGGCACTCGTGATAATGCCAAAACAGTCCGGTCAAATGTGAGAATAAGAGCGAGCAGGCAAACTGACAAGCTAATCTCAAAACTCATGATGCAGCCCATACCTTACATGCACGCTTTGCATTCTGAGACGCCAACCACCTCCGCATGGCAACAGCGAATTGCCGAGGACGTTGGCCTGCCACACACAGCCTCTGAATGCCCTGCAAAAAGCCCCGCAAAGCAGGATTCTCGGTTTTCCCAACCTAAAAGCACTACCCTACCTACAAACAAACCAACAGACAGACAAACAAACAAACAAACAAACAAACAAACAAACAAACAGGCAACAACCAGACGGCATGCTCGCCCCTGGGGAGGTCTAAATGCGCCTCTTTGGCCGCGCGAGCTCCGACTTCTGCAGGTGCCCTCACCTCGCGCGGCGTCAGGTGGACGGCGGGTCTGGGACATGAAAGCCACTGGATGTGTGTGTGTGTGTGTGTGTTGGTGGGCTCCCAGGGTACCCGTTTAGATTGAATTGTAAGGGAAATATACATATATATGTATATATACATTACCAGAGTGATGAAACCTAGGTTTTTTTTGGGGGGTATATATATATACACATAACTTTTGGGGGTACTAGTTTGCCAGTTTTGAGACATACCCAAATAAATGTCTGGAAATGAAGGACACCCTCACACGTGCGTTCTTGTATCTTTTGGCTTCTCTCGTTCTCCCAACCAAAAAAATGCACCCACATGGTAGCTTACAAATGGGAATGTGTCAAATTGGACCTTTCCAACGCGTGCTGGTAAACTATGCAAACCATCCAAATGCTGATGCACAGAAAAAGAGCAGCCTGAATCTACGGCCCGAACTTACTCGCATAGGGCGCCATCCGACAACCCCATAAAGTGGAGCGCTGGCCAAGGTGGGACGCCTCCTCCGTGAGTCGAGGAGTGAAGTATGGGCTTGCCTCAACATGAGTTGATTGGGATGTATTGCTTGTTTGTTTGCTTGTTTGGTTGGCTGGTTGTTAGATTTTCTGTTTCGAATGTTACCCAAGGGGAAACCAAACATTTACTGTGGGTTCCCTACTGTGAAAACAAAAAAAAACAAAAACGCCGAGACAAGTAACCAAAGCCGCGAGGCTTTGCGTTAGAACCCAATGGACAAACCCGTCAGTGACCACAATGGTCAACTACTACTCGTACTTCTGCGGCTGCTGCTCCTCCTCCTACTACAACTACTAAGCAGAATCACTCCCGGCTTTGTCCATAGCATGTCAAGAATTGTGCAAGGGCCTCGGCATTCAGGCTGACATATTAGCTTTCAATCTCCCGAAACCAAGCTAGAGTCGAGGGTGCAGTAGATCAAGGTGTCCAACAATTCGGGACTCTTTGTTGTTTGGCTGCCAAAATGAAACTAAAAGCACACGTGGCTAGTTTTGAGGAACACTATTGCCTGCTGTGAGCACTCCAGAATTAAATCTGAGAAATACTCATGTGGGGCAAATGGAAGTCGCCTGTTCCACTCTCCCCATTAGGAACCGGAATCTTGAAACATGAAGCCAAACCTCAACACTTATGAGTGGTTTCTTTTCGATCTCTAAAACACGCATTCCCCAAAGTCAGGCCAGTTTCAGGAAACAGTCGTTTGCAATGTGTGCCATGGTAAAGCTGCGTGCATCATGGGGCCTCACTTGGTATAGCAAAGCCAACATGGTCAAAGCAGCCAAGCATCTGAACAAAACAAATATTATGAGGACATGCTGACTTTATCGTGGTGACCCCAGCTCTATACTTCTCACACATGGAGATGTTCCGACCATCACACACCTGCGTCCCCCCACCCTCGCTAGAGGCTCCGGACGGGCCACGGGGGAGGCGCGGCGGTCACTGGCGCCGGCGTTGGTTGGTTCTGTGCTGAGGCCTCGGAGTTATAGGAACGCCAAAAAACACAACGAGCGGGTTGGTACGAGTCCCTGTAGGTGTTTCTTTAAGGAGATTCCTACAAAACAATTGGTTCTTTTGGTTTCCCTTTGACGCCGTGCAAAATGGGGTCCTCTATTTTGAGAACTCACTTTTGGGGGTACTCTTTGAATACTTTCCCGTCTGGAAAATTGGCAAACCCCGCAATCACCAGACATAAACAAACAAAGCATGTGGGCCCCTGCACATGTCCTCCTGCATTTGAGACACTGTCGAAATGTGTGATTCCTGCAAGGACATGCGTGTATTATCTATTTTCCTGGCGTTTGTGGCTGAAATTCGGTGAGCCCCCGCATCTCCCAACCATCAAATCGAACATGGACTGCTGGACAGCTTGACCTAATCTCGTATGGATATGTCTTCTTTAGGGGACCCCAAAAAGGTGGTTTTCCCTTTGGATTCCCTTTAAAACCCAAAACTGGGGGTTCCCTCAAAAAAGACACACCCGCATGATGCAAACACTTGTCAACCGTGCACCGCATACCAATGCCGAGGTGCGCGTCTGGTGGGAGAATTGTCATACCAGCCCTCAGCAGCATGAACTGTTTGTCAAAGAAGCTGTGCATTTAGGTGTGTCCCAAACAGGGGAACGCAAGCATGGATTTTTCCCCTTTCGTTTCCCTTACGATCTTACAAAACAGAGTCCTAAAAAGGGCCCTCCCATGCCCATTCAAATCTTGGAACTCGCTCCTACTCAAGCTGGGTCCTGAGAAAATGCTCTTAGACCCTAATTGCTGAGAACGTCAACTGAGGAGAGTGCGGCAGGCTGCCCCATGGGTGATGCACCTTTTCGGCTCTGCAAAGGTCCAGCGAACAGCAACAGCCGAACTCAAGCCACGGCCCATGGAACTGCCCCTTCTCTCAGCTTGCCAAGGCTTCCTAGGCCCGCCTTTATCGCACCACTCTTCAGCCTCCCCGAACTCAAGCTTCCACTGAACCTTCTGATGGCTTCTGAGTCACAGGCCACTGGAAGCCCTTTCCACAGCTGGCTGATGCAACGATTCATCTCGCAGCCTTGTGCTGATGTGCATCGAGTGCTGCAAAAGCCTGTGTCTCTGCTGCAGACTAAAACCACAAGCTGCAATCTAAAAGCTGCTCTAAATTATGAACATGTATATGGGTGGATCTCTTTTTGGGGAACTCCAAAATGGATCAAAATGGTGAATTTCCTATTGGTCCCTTTAAAACCAACCAGAAGGGGGTACGGTCAAAAAACACACACACACACCCTGTGCGCGCTGAATCTTCTTGGCCTTCTCATCCCTATGACGAGTGGCCAGGTTCGCAACTGCTTCACGATGTCCACGAAGCTGGGGCGGTAGCCTGCCTGCAAAGGAGTCTGCGACTTCCGGCTAATTACTTCGATTTCGTCTGACCCAGTACCCTGTTTTGAGGGATGTTCTGAGGTCTTGTCCTGATTGACAAATGGGGAAGGCTACGAATTTACAACATTCTGGAGTGGAATGAGCTTTCCAACCAAGCAACCATGCAGGCCTAGTGGCCCATGACCTACACCGAAAACTGCCCCTGCTACTGTGCGCTGTTCGCGGCTTTTGGCCCTCGAAATGGTTGACAGGCAAACCCTCACCATCAAGAAAGCAAGCGACCAAACGGCGATCTGGGCCGGGCCTGGAATCCTGTGCATTCAAAGGGCCCTTCTTGGATGCTTTTAAAGGGGGGTCCCAAAGAAAACCACCCAATTTTCAGAGTCAAAACCGGCCATTCAACTTCCATTCCAAGAAGCTCATCTGGAGATTCTCAAACAGGGAAACCAACAGAACACCTCGAAGCCTCCTTCGTTTGAAACAGTTAAGTTCGAAGCACCACGAGTTCACATTCTTCTGGGGAAACCCCTTCATCCCTTTCATTTAGGGCTTCACCACAGCTCCGGGTGTTGGACAACACATCCCGGGTCTGTGGGTTCCAACCGCCGGCCGTCGTGGCCTGCTCGCAGGTGCACTGCAGCGCCAGGTGCCCCACGTGCTCCGCCATGGCCGGCGGCCACCGCCCCCGGCGGTCCACCTGCCATCGTCCCGGTGCTCGCTCCGGGTGCTGCTGGGTTGAAATCGGGGTGGAACCAACATGAGAGGTGTCCAAAATGGCTTACAAAAAGGTTCTCCAAACCAGCTGACCTGTCAACTATAGCCAAAAAAGGCTGAACTTGTTGGCCCTTGACTGAAAGGATGAAGAAATCGGACAACGAGAAGTTTGAAGTGGGCTAACTCAACAAGTAACGAACAGAAATTGGACACAGGAGGTCGACCCCAATTCAATTGGTTCTATTGGAAAAGGGGGTGCAACCGAGAATGATAACGGAACTAATCGAGCCGTTCTTGAATGGAAGGGAAAGGAAGTGCCAGGGCTAATCTTCGAGTCTTCCCTTCCTGAGCAGAACTCTAAGTTCCCCAAAGGCCAACGTCAACGGCTTGCAACCAAGTGGGTATGTTGAATTGGGACTCTTGGAAAGCATGCCTTGTTCAGAAATACTTGGGAGAGCCCATTGTTTTGCTGCATGTTCCCAGCGTCGCAGATTGCTTCGGGCTGCTTGCGCATGGCCTGCAATTGGGACATCATTTAGGTGGGGATTTGTGTCCACCCCTTCTCTGAAGAGGGGTTCCCTACACAAATTCATAGCCAAGTCACAGTGGTGTCTTGTTTCTAGATGGTTCAGACTGAGCCCGCAGCCATCGCCCCCAGTTTACTCATGTCACCGTTGAGGTGCTCAAACCTAGCGGCGAAGATAATTCAAATCGTAAGTTCGTTTTTGTCTGATTTCTTGCTGTTTTTTTCTGGAGGCCGGGAAGTTAGAGAATCCGCAACAACGCCAAAGTCTAACATCAAACAAAACATATCCGCGTGTTATGCCTATTGTTATCTTCTTTTTTTAGGTAGGTGAGCGTATCCCCCCCAGAGCTTGCAAGCGACCAAGTGCGTTGACCCTGGTACATACTTGATGGCTCCACGATGCAAATTCGCAAGCCTGAGGAAAGTTTCTCGCTGCAACATGAGTCGGATCTGCCACCTCTGGAATCGAGGTTAGGACACCTTTCCGAGAGGATGCGTTTTCACGAGCATGGCACCTATCCACTTTCATGATTGTTGGGAGGAGAGCAAAATGCCGCTCAGCGCGCGGCTGGTACTCAATCTTGCCGTTGGGGTGCTGCAACGCAGGCGGTCTCCCCGTGAGAACCTTGCGAAGGGCGCGACTTGAATTTAGTCACATCAAACCCCGTTCTGTTCTGTGAAAAAGGTCTACCCAAAACCCACGTAAAGACTCAAATCGGCAGATATCCGCACCTATTTGAGATTGAGACTGTCCTTTCGTCCACCCACGATTGTGGCTTAACTCACTAATAAGACAACCTGCTGTGGTGGCTCGCAGCCAGAACCTCACGTGGTCAAAATACAACCCATCGTGCTGGCAGCCGGGCCCCAAAGCTGCTAACATCCAACAAAATGCATGATGGCACTGATCGCCAGCATATTGTGGTGACCTCTTTGACCAGGGATGAGGGGGACCTCGGATTAATCTCGGAGCTTGTGAGTCCGAAGTAGATGTTATTGCTTTGGATTGATTTTGAATGCCCACCTCCAGCAACACCATTCCAAGCGAGTACACCTCCGACTTCTCAGTGATGACTCCTGCAAAACGTCTGACATGCGGCACCTAAGCAGCTCTAGCCCTCTGAAAGCATTTGCAATGAAAAGCTCTGAACAAGCAAAGTGTTTGCCGAACAATGCTCATGTCTGGCTATCCTGCCATCAAGGCAACACACGCGGGAAAGCCATCGCATGTTGCCTATGCCGCGGACAGCCAAGCCTGAACGAATGTAAAGCGGGTCAGCATAGCCCAGGGTACCAGACGTCTCACGCACCTTAGCAGGGCAAAGGCGCAACGGGAGTGTGAAAACTAGGACCTCGTGAGGGCGATTTGGAAGGGGATTCAACATGGCACTTTGAGAGGTCTGGCTTTCCATACCCCAAAAGTGCATCTGGCAAAGCAAGTTGTCAATCACCTGCTTCGGTGGCAGACTTCTTCGTTTGGGTCCCGCCCCCCTGCACGCAGTACGCAGTATGCTACAGAGAAGCAAATCAAAGCTCGATATGTGTAGCCACCCCACCGAGCCTGAACAGAACCACACACGGTTTGAAAAAAAAGGCATTAACTCACCAAGAACCAAGAACAGTGGAGACAAGTCGTGGGGCCACATTTTGAGACTCTAAGCCTCTAAGCCCTCCAATTAACTGGCAGCATGCATCTGAATCCCCTCAAGGTGAGGCAACAAAATGGATGGCCTCCTTGGGCTGGTTTTTGAGCTTCCTAACAAAACGGGGGTCTTCCAGTTTCCAGGCCCATTGGGCAGCAGGCTGTGAGTGAGCGCTGGTTGGGCTGCGCCAAACAGGCCAAGCCAAAGTCCGCGACCTGGCGACAAAAAACCGCCGCTCTTTGCCACGGACAGGGGTCACCCAAAAAATTTGGCTATGAAATTTAATGATTGGGACCCCCTCAAGGGTGTACTCTGGAGACAAGCCCATTTTTTGGGCCACTCCCAAACTGGCCAGCAAATCAACTCGCAACGCTGCTCTCCGCCATCTGATCCTAACACACTCCACACACTTCGAGCGCCTGGCCTTGCCCGTGCCATTCTTGTCCATTAGCATGTTTTGCGTCTTGACGTCCTTCCACACATCACTAGGCAAAGAAATTTGAGGCTCCGAACACTCAGGGCCGGGCTCGGTGAAACACCTCGAATCCAGCCAAATGGTTGTGGCTCAAAATTAAAGGGCTAGGGTACGCAGGTGTTAGTCCTTGTTTGCATTTACCAAGGGGCCATGTTAGGTCCATGTTTTTGAGCCACAGCCAAATGAATAAAAAACCCATTCTCAAGCGCGCGCAAGCACGTTCGCGGGACTCGTTGAGGCTGGCACTTGCGGTCGGGACCCGTGCAGATGGCTAAGACCAAGCGCCTGGGCATCACGAGTCAGCTCGGTTAACTGAATTTCCAGCACTCTGCTAAACAAGCAATGCACCAGCCGCCGCAAACGCCCAGGCGTCCTGAATGTCGTGCAACAATCCGTGGTTCTTTCGGCGTTAATTAAGTTGGTCAGTTTGTCGCAGTTAGAGACTCGAGGTTGTTTGGCGTGCTTCCGATTGAGCTGGCTTTGGGCTCCAAGATGCTACATCAATCTGGTAAAGGTGGTCAGCCAATCAAGACCAAGAATCACATTGACATGCCCTCCGAATTATAAAAGCAGCATTTGACGGGGATGCAGCGGAGTCATTCAAAGGATGCACAAATACATTCCGGGACAAACCCAAAGCTTTTTACTCGTCGAGGCGATGATGAGGATGTTCTTCGCCCAGCGGCTTGAGCGGCGGGAACTTCAACAAGCGCGGCGGCTGGCGTAGCCACCAATGACCGGCTGTCACTGCTCCAGTTTCCTATCTCCGCGTCCAAAGTAACATCCTCAACATGACCCTTCAAAAGGTGGTTCAAAGAGTTGCCCACCCCCGATTTCGAGAACCCTCAAAGTGCAACCGCTTGAATGAAGCCACAAGAAGCATGTCCGCAAAGCTGCACGCCGGGCATGGGCTCCCGGCACAGTCCAGCACAACATTCAAGCGCTTCTCCCAGGTGAAACTGGGCCAATTTCGCCACAGCTCGGACCCCGTCTTTCAACGGAAAGCATGGCTGCCTTAGGTCATGATACTCTTTTTTAGAACAGTTGCTACAGGGCGTGTGACTACACATGGCAAGCCTGCACTACCAGAGCATGTGTGTGAAGCAACTATCTTACCATGACTAAGTTGAGAAGTCGCCAACGCTCATAAGATTATTCATGCACTTTGGGTGCATTACAAGAAAAGTTCTCAAAGTCCGGATGCATTGAGGTTTCTGACCCAAACCTCTGAATCATGGCCTTCAAAGTAAACCATCATGAAGCCCGGGTTTCTGGGCGCTGCCAAGAACTGGCCCGTGACCCCTGCAAAGGTTTCAACTCTTCCAAGTTTGTGAGAAACCTGTCCTTGTCCCAACTGTCAAAAGGTAAAGCAAATAAATCAATCCAAAGAGTGGCCTGGAGAACCACGCGTCCATACCCGGCCTCGCGTCTTTGTTCAGCCTGTCATGAACGTCACCCCCCGGAAGTAGCTCGTACACGAGGTAGCGCTCGCGCCTCAGCCCGGCATGCGACGTGCGTCCAGTTGAGTGGTGATCTTCATATCCCAGGGATGGTTCGCACAGCTATATCTCATACCTTGATAACTGATAGACATGCCCAAACGGTGGCTGAAAGACATGCCATGAACTCAGGAGCTGACCCATTTCTTGCAAAGCCCATGAGGATCACAAGATTCGGGTGGCGGAAGCGACTCAACACCTCCGCCGCTCTCGGCCATCAGCAGCCAAAGCCGATGGTCATGGTCACAGTTGTCAAAATTATGCACTGCTCTTTTCAATTCCCTTTCGGATCCCAATTTTGAGCCGGGCCAACATGAAAAGTACAAAGCCAAAGTCGCAAACGGAGCCCGCCCCCATTTCGCTTTTGACCTCGAGCCGCTACCATGAAATCGCCCATCCGCGGCACCTTACAACCCTCGTCAGAGGGAAACCGATCGATGCGCGCCTCAACCTCCTCTCGAAAGCCGCCTTCTTTGGGCGAAGCCAATGCCTGCGGCCAGTCTCGCGAGTCAAAAAGCCAAAACCAACATGACACCAAGCCTTTCAATAGCCTTTTGACAAATACACAAATATATCCGGAAACCCAGGCATGTCAGCAAACTCCAGTGAAGGGCGCTTCACAGGTACTCACTTCGAGCATCTTGCAGTCACATTGCAGTCACAGCTTTCTGTGGGCTCCCTCTAAACCAACCCAAGGGCACCCTCCAAACGCCACAAATCATGCCAAAAACGGATCGATCCGTCGCCTTGATGGCCACCTCTGTGCCATCTCGGAGGGTTCCTCTGAAGACTGTCCCGTAGGTGCCCTGCGCTGACCGGGGTATCACGCTGCAACGCGCGAAATGTGCGGCTCTTCTTTGGGAGTTGGGATAGCCTTGCAAACTTGAGAAAGTAACAAAAACTAGCCTCGAAATTTGGTCTGAAAAGATAGATTTCTGGAGTGAATGAGGGAAGCACAGACTATGCTCTCCAGAACTTCCTCGGTCCTGAACTCATGACTCATTGGTCCCCGGCTCTCTTGGCTGAAGCGATTGCATCGCGTGACTGGGAGTGCTCCAGGCAAGTCAAAAAACAAACGCACACATCACAAGAAACAAGCGCGATTCGGGTGGTGAATAGGAAGCCAGGAAGATTCCATTGGACCATCGCCTTATCGTTTACTTCAGAGGGAACAACAATAATGAGTTGTTTATCAAGTGCCGCATGTGTCGTGAATGTGCGTGCGCACTTGCCATCTTGCAATGAGACGCCCACATGATGCAACGCGTAAAAGTCAACGATTCACAGGTCAAACGCTCGTCACGAGACGCTCGGGAGGTTGGGACAGAATGCTCCCCGTGGCAGCAGCACTGACTTCAGGGAACGATACACATTCCCCGCACTCCTGATCCCAACAGTTCGAGTTCAAACATGTTGGTTTGCGAAAACCTGCTTTCGGGCAGTTCGGTGGTTCGGGCGCATTTGGGGTTGTTGGGCAAATCCTATCACATATAGAGGTGTCCATATTTCAAGCGCATGGGTCAGGTCGCACCTCTCCCAAGCGATGCGAAGCGCTGAAATTCTGCGTGGCCTGCCGGCATAAAACTGGCAAGCCTGCGCACTGCCTGGAACTTGCGGGTCTGCGGCTCCCAACAAGGAACCCCTTTGAGTAACAAACAGTAGATGGAGTTGCTTTCTCATTCGTAGGCTCCTTCCATCAGTATGCAAATGCAAGCGGGCGGCATCCCCTTCAGGCACCTCACGAATCTCATGGAAGTCAAATTCCTGACCTGCGAGCCAACACATTCATGCTCTCGTGCCCGGTCTTTGCTCGCCGGGGCTTTGAAAGGGATCCTGCTTTCCCACTGGCCTCGGACCAAATTAACTCCTTTGTTTGGGTAAGATGATTCACTAAACTAAGCCAGTGGAATGTTGCCGTGTACTTTCACTCAAATCTAAACCTATCCACACACCAAGCTTCGCTCCGATTCAACTTCCAACTCCCAGCCTCGCAACTGCTCACGCAAAAAATATGTTGTTCTCTTTGCGGGACGCCTCCTTCGGTTGGTTTTGAAGGGAAACCAAGAGGCAGCCAACAAAACTGCTAAGAGGCTGGCTGAGGTGATTGAGCACCTTAGGCACGGCACAAATGAACGGGAAACAAGCGCAAGCGACACACACACACACACAAACAAACAAACAAACAAAGGACAACCGAACAAGCAAGCAAAAAACAAGCAAACAGGCAGGCAAGCAGCAAACCAATAAATACATAATTCACAACATATGAGTCATGATACATACTTATTGTTTTCCCGAACAACTTCGGAATTTGGCGAGTAATCTCCATGTATTTAATTGCATATTGGTAGCACACAATGTCCCTTCAGTAGATGACAGTGAATATGTTGTTTCCCATATCCACACAAACACAAACACAAACACAAACACAAACACAAACACAAACACACACACACACACACAAAGAGACACACACACACAAAAACAGACACACAGACACACACACACACACACAAACACACAAACACACAATCAAACAAACAAACACACAAACACACAATCAAACAAACAAACAAACAAACAAACAAACAAACAAACAAACAAACAAACAAACAAACAAACAAACAAACAAACAAACAAACAAACAAACAAACAAACAAACAAACAAACAAACAAACAAACAAACAAACAAACAACAACAACAACAACAACAACAACAACAACAACAACAACAACAACAACACACACACAAAAGAAAACAACAAAACACACAGAGACACACACACACAGGTACACACAAAGACACACAGAGACACACACACACACAGAGACGCACACAAACACACACAGAGACGCACACACCCACACACACCCACACACACCCACACACACACACACACCCACACACACCCACCCACCCACCCACCCACCCACCCACCCACCCACCCACCCACCCACCCACCCACCCACCCACCCACCCACCCACCCACCCACCCACCCACCCACCCACCCACCCACCCACCCACCACGCACGCACGCACGCACGCACGCACGCACGCACGCACGCACGCACGCACGCACGCACGCACGCACGCACGCACGCACGCACCCACACACACACACACACACGCACCCACACACACACACACAGAGACGCACACAAACACACACACACAGACACACACAAACACACAGACACACATACAGAAACAGACACACACACACACACATTCACAAACGTGGCACTGCAAGAATGACGCTTGACACGCACAATTGTTCGGGGGTTGCCGTGGCTTCACTACTCATGTGCAAGTGTGCGAGCGTTTTCTACGCGCTTGACGGAATTCTGTCAGTATCTTGTGCCCCAGGTGCGCTGCTAGTAGGTCATTGCATCTCAAACCACTACAATAATTCACCAACCTGAAATACGTGACACCCCCTAAGGCCCCGGCTGCATCGGTAGGCGGCGCTCTGCATCCCTCGGGGATCATCGCCGGCCTCAGATCTGATGTCTAACTCCATGCTCTCAAGGAGCCGATGTGTTCCGGTGTGCTTCTGGTGAGTTTAACGAAGGCTGCAGGGACTTGCAGGGTGCTGGGGGGGGGGGCAGTGAACTTGACGGAGAACGTGGGGAGTTGCAACGGTGCTGTTCACAGGACGCAGGGACTTCGGGCTGCTTCAGCCGCCATTCCTCTTGACGCCGTTGAACCTTTCACTTTCAATCGTTTCGGCCTGGTAATTACTTGCTATGCCCAGGCCTGTTTGTAAAAGGATTCTCGAGTCCTGCTCCTGCGACGCCAGCATGTCACAGGCCCCGAAATGAGTCAACCAAACGGAACGATACCAGGAACGTTCCAGAGAGATAGCTAGCCCGAACAATCTTAGAACTGTTGTAAGCTCATGCGACCTTGTGGAGAATATTGAATCCTCCAATCGCAACCCACCAAGCGCTCACCAAAGGAAAAAACAACTATCAACGCTGCCAACTTTAGCGAACGCCCAGCAGCGAATGCGTACAATGCCGAACACTATGACCTTTGACTGTAGGCACGCAGCGAGAACAACGCAGCAATAGTACGGCGAAACATAAACAAAGGTGGTGCCACAAAAACGTGCAACTGTCCAAAAGACAAACCTGCGCAGGAAAGTCATACCTGTCTTCTCTGCCAAGCCTTTGTCGAATGCCTATACAGCGAATATCTCGTCGACATGCTGGGACATGGGCTCAACGCCACCCGTCAAATCAATGCCATATGCTCAGCAATCTCAGTTCGGACTGATACCTGTTGTGTCACTGGTCTGTGGGTGCTAGTTCAATGCTCGGGCAATTTGATGCAACTTATCTGCTAGCCTCCACGTAGGACCCGATTTGCTAAAATTGAGCTGTGCCTAAGATGTGGGTCTTGTAACATGGTCTTCACAAGAGCCGAAAAGCCTTGCCGGACGGCCGGTCTGACAGCAGCATAAAGCCTGAGCATCCATGCAAGTTCTCAGCCTCAGGATGTGCCAAGCACGCGCTCACCCAAATTTCTTGCTCCGGCCAGCGCTATTTGAAGGCCGTGGCTGTTTCTAGTTATGAGCATCCGTCGATGCCACAATGCAAGAGATTTTAGCCGCCATTTTACCGGACAAAGAGGCTTTTGAAGCTTTGCACCTCACTTCTGAAGGTCTATCTCTATATATATATATATATTTCTACAAATATATATATATATATATGCATGTGTATGCCCAAACATATTCCTATGTATGCCTGGTACAAGCAAAAACACCCAAAGGTGCCTTCTTGCTCTGCTTGCTGCGCCCAAAACTCCCGCAGATCGCGGGTCTACTCTTTGCCTCAGGCTTCCAGCTTGCCCTCCAGCAACCCGCTGTCAACAATCTCCACCTAGCGCTCGCTTGCGCTGTATCCAAGCCTGGTGTCCTCTTTAGAAGCCGGCCTATTCTCACACACGCATTCTCGTTTATGCTATCATTTCATTGGCCGGATTTTCGGGAGGATAACAAATGCGCGGTTTAGCGGCCTCTGCACACCCATTCTGGTGCCTCCAGCGTCCATTCCGGAAAACACACGGTGTTGTTGTTCCCTTGTATCAGCTTCCCTCTGATCAGTGACTTGGGTTGGTGGTTTGGGGGTTAGAGGGGAGCTTCCCCCATTTACCCTCACAAGAACCAGGGTGTTCAAAGCCCCAAGAATGGTCGCATGACTATAGCAGTATTTACAGTAGGTAACAGTCTTGAAAGATGACTCACATGCTACATACAGGAGAGCATGGCCAGTCCCTGGCAAACGGAATCTTTTCAAGTCAAGCGCCTACTAATACCTGCTGGAGCAGGCAATAATTCAAGTCCTCTTCAATTCTAAGGTAGGCGCTTTTTGGCAACTGTTTGAGCTTGGTTCCCTGGCAACCGCCCGCCCCCCAAACTGGTCTCCAGTGTTTCTTTCTCATCCCACCCATCCACCGGCCTTCTTAGAGGGTGTGCCGCTCTGCGATCCAACTGCCTCGACCTGGTGGCGGAGCGACTGTGCCTCTCGGTTGAGTGACCTGCAACACACAAGGGTTCTGACGTGGCATACATCATTACGTGTGTATATTTGCTATGTTTTGTTTGGTAGATACATCGTGTCATCCATATCTGCATTTCTACATATATACATCCACAAACATATCTATATACTATACACCGATCATGCAAATCTGTGGAGGCAGTGTACCTGCTGGACGGTGTCCATGCCATCAACAATCTTGCCGAAGACGACGTGCCGACCGTCCAGCCAGGATGTCTTCACCTTCAGCATTCTTTTGGCATGCGATTGTCACAACAACGACTCCACCGACACATTGTCAACATGTGACTACTCCCCTGAAAACAGTTGTTTGGAGGCATCGCCGTTTGGGAACTGGAGAAAGGGACTGCATTTGCAGGGAGTAAATGCCCGAATGGCTACGGCTTTCTGGGTAGTGGAATGTTAGCGTGAGTCCCTAAGTTTCAGGTATGAATTGATCACAGCGAATTTGAGATGGTCTGAACATTTGGAAAACCACAAAAGTGAGGGCATCGGGGGGGCCTTTTCAAACAACCAACCTCAACCAACCGTATCAATATCAGAATGGACCACTAATCATGCCTCCCCTCAACATGGATGTTTGCTTTCGGTTGCCCCAAGAAACAACCCAGAAAGGAGAAGGGGCTTCCCAATTTCTGGACATACCATGGACTGTCATGTGTCTGTGTGTGTGTGTGTCTCCAATGTCCCTACTACGTGGTCGTGGACGGGTCTTGCGAACGCGGCATAAACCGCCGAACGGTAAGGCTTTGCCGATGCGCCACTGCCCTTAAGGCGCAAGCCGTTGTGATGAAGAACTGGGAGCCGTTGGTGTTGGGGCCAGCGTTGGCCATGCTCAGGATACCTCAGCGCGCTTCCATGGGTATTCAGGTTCCCTACCACAGAGTGAGACCAGCGTGTTGGGTGTTGCTCAGAACTGGTGGCCATTTGCCTCGTAGGCTGGTCTCAGAATCGGAAATCTTGTGTTCCTTGTGGTTTAGATTCAAAACCAGCAAAACTCAATTCTCTGCAAAACCAGGCACATTCCCTGTATACATTTTGATGGGGCACACTTTCGAATCCATGCCTTCATGTCCACCGAAGGGTCCATTTCTAGCTAAACGCGTCATCCCCGCGTCTCCCACAGGCGCATATTTGTCCCGAGTTCTTAGCGCCGAACCGGGCCCGGTGTGCTTCAGCTTGAAGTTCTCGTCGTTGAACCTTCGCTGAAGCTTGCGACGCAGAGATTGCTCTCCCATCAGGGCGAATCATTCAGGCCCCTACCCACCAGAATGCTAGACGTGTGGGGGGATGCCTTTGGTTTCATTCCCAATGCACAGTTAATCTAGGTGGTTTCCTTTGGTTTACCGTGTAAAACTCATCAAAGCAGGATTCCCTCCAACATTACACACGCATAGACCCCAAACAGCGAAAAACATGCCGACTGCTCCAGCACCTCCAACAGCACCCCCCCGAAACAGCGCCGTCACCAGCACCTCCAGCAGCACCCAAAGAGCATCCCAAACTGCATGCCCCCTTGCACCCTGCCGTCAATCTTGCAAAAATGCAGCGGCACCCGCAAACAGCACCCCCAAAGCATCAATCTCGCGAAAACGCCGCACTGTCACCAGCACCTCAAACAGCACCCCAAACAGCATCCCAAAAACACCACCTGCACCAGCACCCCAAACTGCATGCCCCCTTGCACCAAACCGTCAATCTCGCAAAAATGCACCCACGCCGGCACCACACAGTCACCAGCACTTCAAACAGCACCCCAAACAGCATCCCAAAGCACCACCTGCACCAGCACCCCAAACTGCACGCCCCCTTGCACCATACCGTCAATCTCGCAAAAATGCACCCACGCCGGCACCGCACAGTCACCAGCACTTCAAACAGCACCCCAAACAGTCCCAAAACACCACCTGCACCAGCACCCCAAACTGCATGCCTCCTTGCACCCTACCGTCAATCCTGCAAGAATGCGCCCGCATTGTCACATGCATGCACGCTAGCACCGGGCCGTCAATCTGACCAGCACCTCAAACAGCGCCCCAAACAGCACCTTCACCAGCACCCCAAACTGCACGGCCCTAGCAAAAGCAGGGGATCTCGCAAATCACTCCCCCCTTCTTATTAGAAGTTAGAACCCCTATAACTAGCTTTCAGCTATCTGGGGAAAAGCATTGCATACACATCAGCGCACCGCTTGGGTGTTCGAGTATAACCTCGACATCGTTTTGGAAAAGGAAAGAGAACCTTTGGAGAGCTCAAGAACCCTACATAGACGTCTGCGAGCAAATGCTGGAACTGTTTACAGGCATGGTACACTCCAACACCTCATCTACCATGCTCGCCCAATCCTTCTACGTAGTGCTAAATGACCAGGGGACCCTGTTTTGCCGACCCCCAGCCTGCTTTCCGAGCACAAAACACGGTCAAAATATAGGTTTCGGGTTGGGACAAGTACGGGGTCACGAACACCACGCTGTTTGGGGGCCATGTAGCGAACCTGAGCACCACACTTGGAGCCGTAGATGCTCTCACCTCCCGTGCCATCGCCACGGGTGAAGTCGCCGCCCTCAGTGAAAATTGGAGGCTTCGGCCTTCCTAGGCCCCAGGATGTCTTTGGGCTAGTTGTCAATTTGACATGGAACTGTGGAACCCAAAGGGCTACGAGTCGAGTCGCCTTCTGGGTGATGTTTTTTGGGTTCCATGCTAATTTGCCAACCTCCAAAAGGACTTGAACCCAAGAGACTGGAATTAGAAGACACGGGCCATGACTGGGTTTGACCGCTTTTGGGGCGAAGATGCCGTTGCTTGCTTGCACATGCCACAAGCAAACTAGTGGTTGCAAAAGTAGCATCAAAAGACGGCAAACCGGGAGGCTGCAGACCTTGCAAATGCCCTGCCTGGATCATGAAGTTGGGGATGATGCGGTGGAACTTGCTTCCCTGCGGAACAGCGGAGACCTATTCAGTTTCCATGTAGGTGTCAAGATTCCATGGCGGACGACTCCTGTCAAACCACGGAACAGGGTTCCTTGTATGTCCCTCCTTACACAAAATCCCCGCAAAGGAAACTGACCTCAACACATAAAATCAAATCAGAAAAGAAAGTGCAATGCCAGGATCTCTACGGGTGTTCGAGCCTTGTAATGCAGCGGCACTCCGGTGGATGCCTGAGGCCAACAGGTGCGCCAGATGCACGCAGCACGCAGAACCCAGGGCGCTCCTTGCCCTTGTCGCCGGTGCAAAGATGGACGAAGTTCATGACCTGAGCAATCTGAAAAGGCGTTCTTCCTAGCTCCAGCCGGGCTGCCGAGCCGCACGACCGAGTGAAAGGTGGCTACAAGTTGGAGCAAATCCCACTACACGTTTGGCCTTGGACTCAGCTTGCTCCTGGCTGCCTGGCGGTCTTGGGGACATCATTGCCGAAGAGCCCGATGGTGATGCGCTTGGCCTCCGCCCGCCCGGCCCTCTGAATGAAACCGCCAGGGTCCATGCCGAACGAAATGCCGGGGGCGGGGGGGGGGGGGAACAAGCCTCCTCATCGCCGATCTTCACGTCGAAGTACACCTGTCAAATGGTTTGATGGCTGGTTGGTCGCCTGGTCCTATGTTTCCCGACTCATTGAAATATCCACACACACATACACATGGACATGGTTGTGCATAATGATATTTTCAGTGATGCCAAAGCGGTCCATCCATCTGACTGCTTTGAAATGACCATTTGCTTCGGGCTTCTCTTGGTATACATCACAGAAAATGGCCCTAGCCCGGATGCTCCCACAACCATGAACATCCCCCTAGAACATCGTGCTCCTCAAGCAGCCCTTCATGCTCCATGCTCAAACCAGTAAGGCATGTCGCGCAGCGCGCAGCCTTGTGCGTAACTTCGGCTTCTTCAGCCGCACAGAGGGTGACCTTGGCACTGAGCTCAGCCACACAAGGAACCACCACCTTCCCCAAGAGGACATGGGACAATTTGGCTTTGCTCCCCTCTGTTTACGGGGAAGTTGGTTGGTGACCCTCTGTGTTCCAAATCAACGATAGGCTACCGATACTCACTTGCCCAAAGGATAAAACCAGGTTTTAAACTTTGGCGGCCATAACTTAGCGTCGACCACTCAAAGTCTGCGGTAGTCCTTTGATTATTTTCTGCTTGAACCAGGATGCCACAAGGATAGCTACTGGACTCCATGAAATCACCAACCTGTCCACTCCTAGCATGCAAAACAAGGTGACAGATTGCCCCTGAGAACAAGCGTGTAAATCACGTCATCAGTTTGCTCCGGCACCCCCACAAACAGGAACCCACCATTGCAGGACACAAAACATACCCATCTCATGCCATGGCCATCCTGCAGGGATGCTCATGATGAATTGTCTGCAATCATTATGGGTTTCACGACCCCCCCCCCTTTCAACCTTTGGACCATGCCTACCGCAATAGGCCCACGGCGCAAAAGAGCAGACTGGCGATGAACGAGCGCATGGCGACCTGCCGTCCGTTTAGTAACTGGCTGGGTGTGAAGGTTAGTGCATCACAGGGCAGGGAGGCTATTGTAACAATCCTTTCGCCGAACAGGGGTCACGTTCTCTCCCCTTGAACATAGCACCAACCCAGCAGATTGATTTCAAGCGGCCATCAAACTGCCATCAAGATCCAACCTGGCAAGGACCTCCGAAGAATCAATACTCGCAATTGATCTAGGACTCTAATCCATAACGCTCCTGAAGCCAGTGACGTGAAAATCATCGTTTTGGCACCTGCCTGGTATTCCAACCGCGAATAGGGCTTTAGCTGGCTAAAATGGCTGCCGGTCTCGAATATCAACGCACAACATGTGCTGAGTGCTACTGTGATATGCAACCACGAACCATGGTAAACTACCTTGGAGAGCAATCCGAGTGCAACCTGCTGTGACGCGAGTCACCTGTGCGGCCCTCGAGCTCCACAAGTTCTTCGGCATAGCAACTATCCTGTTCCAACACAGCTGCTTGCTGCTTTTGTCTGACCGGCTCAAAGCTACCGACATCTTCGCATGAAGCACCGCGCACTCGCGCGGCTCAGCTCACGCGCCAGCTCCGAGTTGAGCTTCATCAGAACGCCTGCGGCGCAGATCCTCGGGTCCCAGATCTGAAGTAGCGGGTGGAAATCGGAAAAAAAACAAAAACATATGGCGCTGTGAACCCTTTCATGCTTTCCCAATCACACGAGTTGTCGAGACCACGACCCTCAAGTGTCCAACGAGCTTCTTTCTGAAGCTTTCTTTAGCTGTGACTGTGGCCTTGTGGTTAATCCTGATTCCCACAATGACTAATCACTGATGGGTTTTAGACAATTCATTTCATGTCATCCAAAAACGGCCTTCCGTCCACTTTTATGATTGTCGGGAAAGGGGTAGAAGTTTCCTTTGTGCTAGGCGCAGGGATTGCGAAAGGAGCCTAAGCTGGCCACATGTCCCTGCTCTCCCCCTGCCGACGTGGTTCCCGCTAATCTCTGCCCCCAGCCAGTTCATTATGCCGCAAGAGGCACAGGAGGTTGTGAAGTGGAACCTTCTCACAAACGCTTCGGCGGACAAGTATACCTCTTGCCTTTCTAGTTGAGCTTTCAGCAAGGGATATGCGCTCCACGACTGACCGCAATACACATCCGCAGCGAGAGCTGCTTTTGTTGCTGCGCATGAGACTTGATGGCACCGCTGATATCTCAATTCTCACCTCACAGTAATGACACACATGCCATGCACCATGACTGCAGCCCACAATCGGCCCAAAACCCTTCTGGAAGACTCTCGCCGGCAAAGTGCAGTCAAGCCTCCTATCCGGAGCTTTCATGTGGAAAGATTGGCGTGCACCTGGTGGACCAATCTTGGCAAAGGGAGTGTTGCAGTGGCTGCATCTTCTTCCAGCTGCGCTGAAACTTGCCTGCTGCCAGCAAGCGATAAGCATCTGCAAGCAGCCAGAGTCATGGCTAGGAGCACACCATCTTGAAGTGTGGAAGTACATGGCCTTGTTCATCTGGTTCTGGCAATGGCCGCTCTGCAAGTTGCTGCAGGCACTTCCCACCTGTCAGCTCCTCACGCCAACCGAACCTCAAGCTTACCACGAGTCCTCCATGTGGGTTGAATCCTCTCTGCCATCTACCAGTGCCATCCATCCAGGCTCAATCATCTTTGCCATCTTTTCTTTCCTTGCCAGCAAGATTCTTCCAGAGTTGAACCATCTTTGCTTGCCATCTCTTCTTTGCCTGCCATCCAGGAAGATTAATTCCTCCAGTTGTGTCGAGTCATCGCTCGGAATGCCATGGACTTTCACCCAATAAGTCCCACCGCCACGGCCAGCACCATGGGCGCCGCTGCCAGTCGCGCCCCGGCCACTGCGGCCGGGGGCTGGTTGGGCGCCAGCTGGCTGTCGCTGGGCTCCGGCACCTGCGCCAAAGCCAGCTGTGGCGCCTGCAGGCAAGAGGTTTACAAGCGTCACCCCCCCAAAAAGACATTCACTCGGCTGCTTTCTGCTCCCCTGCTAAAAGTTTAACTGTTGGTGGCTGAATCGAAAACCCATGAGTTGGCAACAAGTTAAAGTCCTGACATCCAAGCAAAATGCAACAAAGTTGCTCTTGGTTTCCTTGGAAAACAGCCAAGAGAAGTATCCTAACAGCAAAAATAGTTTTGCTTTGCCAGCACTGGTTGGAAGAAACGAAGAATCAAACAGTATATGGCTTTGCCAAATGGGAATGGACCCTTTGGCGGACATCATTTACATTGTTCGATTTTTGTCCACGAACCGCTTGGTTCTTCTGAGCTAAAATTCAAACGCGTTTGCCAGGTGCCTCTATTGGTTCAAAGGAGAGAATCAAACTTGGCCATGACCTGGCGCGTGACCTTGCTCTGCTAAGCTTAAATGGGCGTCTGGGCAGTAGTTGCCCTCTTGGCTTCTCAAACCCCTGGCATCAACCATTTAAATTTGGACCCGGGAGGTTTAAACTAACTCCACACGAACAATGGACGTTGGAAGTGTTCACTTTGGTCGTACATCAACCTTCCGGGAAATATCTCTAAAACACACACACACACAGAAACAGGAAACGCGCAAAAACCCATTGACCGTTGTCTCAAGCCCTACAAGCCCCGAGTGACGAGCGTCCCAAAAGCGCCCGGCTTCATTCGCCTCCAGCGGCCTGAGGCCTGGGATCCGTGCCGCGAATCCGGGCACGGAGGCCGCGTAGAGCGGGGCCGCGGTGAGCGACGGCAGCAGCGCCAGGAGGAAGAGGTCCGTGATGACCTGCGCGCGAGTCGTAGGCGCCAAACGCCGGGCGCGCGGAACTGCGGGGGTGGAGTGAAGCTGAATGGAGAAAACCAGGACAATGATGGTGGACAACGGCGCTGTTGTAATTTTGAAGCTGGAAAACAAACGAGGGAAAGGGCTGCGGCTGCAAGAGCAACAAGATTCAGCTTTCATGGGATATTTTGGCCGAGGTGGGCTAAATAGGACCTACATGGAGCTTCGGAACATTTTCTCTGGTTTGTTCCACATAGGGATCTCTAATTAGTTGTCCGTAGTGGACGACCATCACAAGGGAAACCCCTACCATCTGGCATAAATGGATTGAGGACTCGACGTGGAACAGATTCCCAAATGATTCGAAGACCAACATGGGGTCTTTTCCTTGAACGGAGATTCCTCTCTCGAGCAAGTGTAGATTTCTCTCTGGATCGTAAACAGGGGGCATGTCCTTCACGTTCTCAAACCAAGATTCCACAACCATGGAGATCCCAGAACGTGATCCGGCTTTTGCATTCCTGAAACTGGAAAAACCAGTTGTCAGGAGAACCAGCTGCAGCACCTAGGACTACAGCTTCTGCAGGGCCGTGAAGTGGCTGCCAAAACTGGGACTCCGAACATTCCAACGCCAATTCATTTTGTGTGCAGCTGGAGGTGGCGGCTCTTCGGCCTCACCCTACAAAGGGAGTCATGCCAGGGGTGCGTCATTTGAGTACGCTGGCGTGGCAGGTTGTCGAAACTAGGACCTTTTTGATTCCTGGCATTTTGAGCAGCCTTGAAAGCAGGTCCCAAACCAGCCCGAGCCAATGACTGAGGCATTGTTGATATCTGCACAGCCTGAGACGCAGGAACGTGTCTAAAACACTTAAGACTTGGGGCGGAGCTTGGCAGGCGGCAAACACGTGCCTCACAAGCAGGAACATGTCCATAACAAGGAGGAGGCACCCCTCTTTTTGCATCTCGTCCCAGTTGCGCAGCGGCCCCGGTCGGAAAAGGGAACCCTTTTCGGGGCGTTTCAAGAGTTTAAGTAGGCAACCTACTAAACCATAGGTGAAACCAGGGTAATTACCACTGAGCCTCGCTTCCTGAGTGGATGGGCCGAACAAAGTTCACACTTTTTGTTTGCCACTTTCCAAAAGAGTCAAAGCACACGTCCAGCAACCTAGGGAGTGGGGAACACATAGCTCTCATAACTTTTGTTCTGACGGCAACAGTAGCGAGAACACAAAGGGCCTCCTGCACCGGGTTCGTCACACCGATTTGGAAGACATAGGTGCGGCCACCGCCCGAACCATCCAGCAAGGGCAGCGCCTGAACTGAAACCGGCAATAAATCGGCATGGGCTTGTGGGGAAGCAAAAATACGCATTTGTCCACCTTTGGCCGTCTAGAGTTTGCCCGCGAGTCTTGTTTTGTCTCCACTGGTTGATCCGCACATATGTAGCCACAAGCATCCCTCACTCTTCGAACTAGTGACACTTACAATCGCAGAATCTTGTGAAGGGAGCTGCGCCCAGCATGTGGGTCGTTTTCGCCCTTGGATACGATGTTGGGTTCTGCTCCCTTGGGACGGCTTTGAAGCGGAGCGCAGGGGAGCCAGAAGGAAACTGGGCCACTTTATGTGGCTTCCCACCAGGGAGGTTGCCCTGAGGGAGACGTGGACAAAGATGTTTGGGCGGCATGGTTCTGGATTTTGCTTTGTTCGGTTTTTGAGTTTCCCATTTTCGGTGCTACCAAGCTGGAGTGAACAAGTTGGCATGCGGGCAGCGTAGGTTGAAAGGCGGGTGCCATTTGGAGGCTTTCTCGAGTTGAGACAATACCATAGTGCAGCCAACTTCAGGGAGGTGCGTTCCCCAGGAAGTTGGCAGCCAAGTTCATTTGAAAGACTTCCGTGCCCATGATTCCACTCGCCTACATACGGCAGCACGGTACCAAAATACCTATCCCATGTTTGAGAGCTGGAAGCGAATCTTTGTTTGGGGAAGTGAGGCTCCTTGCAGGTTACATTTGTTTATGCAGGCAGTCTCGAGTGTTAAATAGCTAAAGACCACCACAAGGGGACCGCAAGACATGACTGTCAAGCTTCTGTACGTGTCCTTGCGCATGAAACAAGGCCTGCAGTGCCAAACAAATGCCGAAAGCACCACTGACCAGATTCGGTGCTCGGCACCAAACCCCATAACTAAAAGGGCCCGTTAGAAGTTGATTCTTTGTGGTTGCAACCAATCCTAACCTGCAAATGGTCGGGCCACTTGCCACGAAAACAATGGTCAAATAAGACAACAAACACAAACCATTGGCTTCGTCCAACAAATGTTTCAACCGGCTGGAGCCAAACCAGTGGGCGTCCCCAAAATGGGGGACGGTCAAAAGGTCCTTTACATGGGATGACCATTGCTTGGAAAACCACAAACAAGATCAGGAAAAATGGATGACCCATATTCATTTGGGGGCCTTGAACAGAATATCGATCACCCAGCAAAAAAATCTAAGGGGATGGCTGCTCCAAACACCTCCCGCCTCGGGCATGGCCACCACCACCTGGCGCTCCGAGCTGCCGCTGCACGCCGCCGCCGGCAGCACCGTGTCGCCCACCGCGTCCACGTCGCTTCGGGAGCCGAAGCCGAGGCAGCGGCCGCTCTGGGCCAGGACGAAGCCGGGCGAGGCCTCCAGCAGAATCACCCGCACCTCGGATGTCCCGAAGATTTTCGGCACCAAAAGGGCGCTAAAGGCATGGGAAATGGGACGGGGCTTTTTAGGGGTCCCTGATTTTCAAGGAAACCATGTATCTGGGCCGTGTTCACTACGGCTGGGAAAAGAGTCGACTGGCGACGATTGGCAGACACTTAGTCTGAGGGAAACTCAAGAAACTCGCTGACCTAAATGGGTATGTGTTGTTTTGAGGGTTCCCTTTTTCAGACTAGTTCAAAGGGTGGCCAAAAGGTTGGGGGCTCCCCTATTTTTAGACAAATCCATGTGGAGTGAAAGGGGATGTTTCAAACTATAGGTGCCTTACTAATTAGGGTGTCAACGACGCACGGGTCGAGTCAAAGGGGGATGTTCAAAAAACCAGAAATCTCCGACTACAGGCCTAAGTAGAACATGGGTTGTGCTATATTTCAAAAGCACCATGAGACATGATCATGATAATCGAAGCAACATGTTCGCTGCTATTTTTCCCCATGCTACTCCTCCGCAAGGGTTTTCCAATGGCCCCATTTGGGGCAGATTGTTCATTGGAGATGGACCCCTTGGCGGACATCAACAGAACATGGGGATTCCTCCAAATCGATCGAAACTCAAGCAGCTTCTCAAAGTAAGGGAGATCGATTCATATCAATATGCAAGCGGGTTCGCAGTGAGTATAACAATTTGTAAAACTATCTGCGCGCGCGGGCCCTCACGGTAGGCCGCAACCACTGCGCTTTGTATGCTTGGTACCCAACCGTAGTCAAACTACCTCTTGATTGAACATAAGGGAAAAAACACAGGGCCCTTGTTCAGGTTGTGTTCAAATATCACCTCTTGCACTCATCTAATCTGTTGACCATCCTAGAAGTGAAGGAACACCCGTGAGAGGGTCCCTGTACTGTTGACTTTTGGTTCTAGCAACAAGCTTTAAGACGTGCATATAAGCGTTTCTGTAACCCGGAAGCAACAAGGTAGAACCAGCTACTAAATTGGCCAATGGGAATCGGTTTCAATATGGGGTTGTCTCATCATGGGCGGAACTCCTGAAACATGCGGGGCTTGCCTTTGAACTCCTTTGAGCCATACACGAGGGGTGCCCTCCAAAACTCGTCCACAAAAAGCCACACGTTTACTGTCATTGGCCACCAAGAAGTTTATACATGTTGCTGGTGAGTGGACACGTCACATACTCCATAATTTTCCAATGGCACCACGCTAAGCATCCGAACAACTGCAGTAGCACCTAACATCGGAGCCAAGGCATGTGCACCAAACGCCATGATTTGAGGCACAAAATCTTACCCAAGTGGCCCGACCATTTCGCAGGAATTTCCTTGCCATCACAACAAACCGGCCTTAGACCCCCCCCCACAACTTCCCCCAACCATGATGGACCTTTAGGGAAGCCCCCATCACGTTCCTGAAGCTCTGGAGGTTTTGACGGGAGAGAAGTTGTGCCAAAAACTCAAGGGCCACAATGAGCCATGGGGAAGACTCCGAATCTGCAGGCCATGGTTCCCTTTTCCGGACCTTGGCTGTCTAATTTCCGAAGCGCTGGACCATCCCTAGCAACCCTGGTGAAAAGGCGGTTAACCTTCAACAAAGAAGTGCACGTTGCGAAGGAACCCTTTCCAAAAAGAAGGTTATCTTCCAAAGAGAGTCTAAGAACCTCCATGGGCGATGCGGTCGTACCATGGCATCATCCGCACGAGGCACCAGGCCCTGGGCATTTGCCGGCGCTTGGAAGCGCAGGGTGACCAGCGTCATGCCGCCCGGCGCAGCGATTTCCGCCTGCCGCCGAAAAAAGGCAAACGCTGAAACCACAGCGGGTTGGAGGGGGGGTTCCTTCGGTGTCTGCTATGTTCTACCAAAAAACAAGGAGGACCCTTCATTTTCCAGATGAGGTGATCCCCTCCGCAAGTTCGGTGCCACATTCCAGAGGTCAGAGGTTACCCCCCCGCCCCCCATCCCCAATCCCCCAACCCCAAGCTCCCCCCAAAGCGATTTACCCCCCCCCCCCAACCCCAAGCTCCCCCTACGCAAGCGCCAAGGCGATTCGCCCATATTCGCCCATCCAATGGCCGGGGTGAGCTCCAGGCGTTCCAAGGGCGCCGCCAGGCGCGGCGCCAGCACGAAGGGCTGCGCCCCCAGCAGCCGCGCCACCGGCTCCAGGATCTCCAGCTGGAAGCTGCCGCTGCCTTCGGAGAGCTGCACCAGAAAGAGGGCGTCAAATCTACGGGTCTGGTGAACCAAGGATGTATGAAGTGAGAGGAATATTGGGGATGTCACAAGTCATTGGTGTAGTTATGGTTGTGGAAGATGGGAGTACATGGGGTTAGCGTCCTGGTTAGAACTTACAAACCAAAGTGGAATGGTCCTCCTACGAATGCCATCTCTAGGCAAAGCCAAGCCAACACAACCGAGCAGCCAAGAGCTGACCAAAGAAAACACAACAAAGGCGCAAGGCTGTTATGTCGAGGTCGCTCAGAAGATGGTAAAACTTGGAGCAACTTTTCTTTTTGAATCCCTTCAAAACCCAGCAACACAGTTGTTGGCGGGGGTACCATCTTCATTTGCAGCCACATTGGGTTTCAAGAGGTAAAGCCTGTTGAAACTTGAAATCGCAAAGCCGGGAGTGCCAGGTCTACCGCACCATGTTTGACATGCCACATGAGTTGGGCATGATCATGGGTTGTTTTGGGTTGGACTTGTTCGAGCAGGTTGACTTGCACCGCCTGGCCGCCATTCGCCATTGAATGGGCCCTCCTTTCCCCCAACCGAGTCAATACACTTCAGCTGTCTGGGTCCATTGGAGTGACATCCTCAATATTGCCTCTCAGTGGTGGTTGAACGGAAAACCATCCCCAAAAGCAATTGGCTTTTGAGAAGTTCGAAACGTTGTCACTTGAAAAGCAGGCTTAAGCTGTCCCGGGTGCCCCAGAACTGGCTCGGGTTGGTGCAGTAGAGCCCGTAGACGTACACTTGGCCCGCCAGGAGTTGAGGCTGGAAGGGCGCGAAAGGCGAAGGCTCAGGCAGCTGCATCTCCAAATAGGAGGAGCCTGCCACGCACTCCGTGTCCTCGCCGATTGCAAGCCGAAGCTTGCCACAAGAGTGGTTCATGTGAGGCTCCTGCATGATTACCATTGGTTGTCCACCCCTGTCCTTCCGAACCCCCCGTATGGGTTAATATATGCATAAATGGACAATCTTGCATTTCTGTATGGAACCTCGTGCAGCTCTTTGTGCCGTTTCATGCCCTCATCAAAGCAAACACGCAACCGTGACAATGCAACTTTGGAAAGAGCAAACCAACCACGTCCCTTCCACGTCCCTTCCGCGAGCTTCCGCGGGACAACCTTCCCAAACCTTCCGCAGCTGCAGTGTGGTACTACCTTTGCGTTCACAAGTGCGTTCATATGTTCACCTCTAATTACCTCTAGACACGTTCGCTTGAGCGGAAAAACAACACACCACTCAATTGATACCCACGAGAGCATGAACAAACACCAGGGGGGACATTGCCCTAATTGTAGAGCCGACTACCGATGCATGTCAACATATGGCCCCTTGCTGGAACCCGAGCTACATGCAGCCCAGCTTCTGCGGGAAGCAAGCCCCTGGGCGCCGTCTGGTTCCCATCGCTGCAGTTCAAAAGGAAAGCCTCCAGGGCTTGACGCGGCCTTTTTTCCGACACATGCCACGCATCCGTGCAGTGACGGAAAAACCGTCAACTCAACACATCCAGAGCATAAACCTGTTACCACTCCTGCAAAAACAATCAAAACATAAGCCTGCCATAAACCTGTTACCACTCCTGCAAAAACAATCAAAACATAAGCCTGCCACTTCTCCCTTCGACTAGGATCAAGGCTTGTTTAGGGTTGGTTTGGGGTTGGTTTAGAGTTGGTTCAGTTCAGGGATGGGTGGTTTCAAGTTGGTTTGGGGTAGGTTTCAAGTGGTTTGTTTAAGGTCGGTTTAGGGTTTGTTTAGGGTGGGTTTAGCGTTAGCGATTTCGAGCGTGGTACTATGTGGTACTACTTGGTTCTTGTGCCGTTGTCAGGGACAACCACTAATCCTAGGTCCTTTCCGGATCTATTCGCCTGAGAAGAAAGGGACCCCCGCCCCATTCCGCACGTTCTCCAGGAAGTCTTCCCGCCTGAGGCCCGGTCAGCCGCAGTGTGCCGCGGCCCACGTGCGCCTTGGGCACGAACTGCAGCAGCGCCAGCTGCAGGAAACCGGCGCGGAGGTCCGTGGAGAAGAGCTGCACCTATCGAATCTAAAAAGCCGTCCTTGGGTCACTGGATTTCCCCTTAAGAGGCAATTGACTGGTGCGTCCTCTTGAAACTGCCACTGTTGGAGGTTCAAAAAGGGAAATGGAGGAACCCCTGTTGAGGGCTGGTAAATAGTAGAGGGAAGAAGGGCTGTAAACCAAGGAACAAATTGACCGTTGAATTACCCAGTTTGGTGGCCTGCCTGGGATTAAATGGGTAAGGATCCAAGTGATAGTGGGGATTTGGCTACAGGTAGCTTCCTGCTGAAATTTTGGTAGCCTGCAGACTCGCCCCAAAAGAGCACGCTAGCGTGAGCGCAACCAGAAACAGGTAAGTGGCTGGATACATTTGTTGCACCATACGAGCGTTCCTATGGGAACCAAATTGGGGGGCACCCAAAAACGAGGACAACTCTGCTCGAAATGATAATCAGAAACCTTTTCAAGCTGTTGCCTAAGACCGCTCCCGGAGTTAAACCTCGTTCCCGAAAGAGTCCCGAATTCACAAACTGTCAGCTTTCATGATTGGACAGAGGCCAACAGTGCCAACCAAACAAACAATGCCATGTACTCGCACGCATTCAGCAGTACTGTTGAGTTTCATTCGGATGGGCATGTTGAGGTATACGATAAGACACTGGCAAACAAACTCATCAGACCTTCCAGGACCTGTGCCAACAAGTTGATTCTTCAAAGCAGTCCTGTCTATGGGAACCGTCACTGACATGCCTCTTTGAACGAGTTTGCCCCCTTCAGGGACCTCCCCGACTTCAAGCAGAGGGGTCTATCCCAAAACGACCTGATTCACCAAATGGGTGCTTCTCAAAATAGGGGTTGCCTGATGGTTGGTTTCCTTTTGGTTTCCGGTTCAAAGGCAGCCAACAGGCAGTCAAATCAGGCAAACGTGATGCTCCACATGGCCGACATCCTTTACGGGTCTTTGAAGTAAGAGGTGGTTCTGACCAAGTCTCGCACGGCACCCTCTTTCCAGCCACTCTGCACTTTTTGCAGGAAACCTGGAAAAACCCCTTCTCCAAATTGGAGACGTGTGGGCCTTTCCAAGAGGATCGTCTTCCAACACCCTCCTGAGTCTCTCCTGATCCGCTTCCATGTTTGAGACCGTAGCCGCCCTGTCCCAGCCTCCCCAGCCCCCTGGCGCCTCCGGCAGCGGGTAGAGATCGAAGTTCCCCACCTCCCGCGCGAGGTGCACCGTGCGGCTGCCCTGCTCCGTGGAGATGTGCCAGGCATTGGCAGCGCCGATGTCCGTGGGATTGGACAACCTCAGCGCAACCCATTCCCCCGGCGCAGGCAGCCCTATGCAAATACATGAGAACACTTCAAGGGGCCTATGGTAGCAAGACTTGGACCTCCTGGTGTGAAGATTTTGGCTCAGGAAGTACTGCATTGCTGGAGCCACGGGCTCAATGTTCTGGGTCCAAGTTTGGTCCGTTTGAGCATCTTTGAGCAATAAGACGCTTGGACCAGCATGGACCAGCATGGACCAGCAAAAGAGCACTTGCTAAAGAGACACCGTCCCGCCCACTTCATTGGCTACTCTGGAACGCATCCTTTGGTCGTACGGACATGTATCCTCACCAATATGACCAAAGCCTGCTGTCCAACGAATGTTCTTTTCACCCGAGTGGCCGCAGCTGGAAGTGGAAAGCGATATCCACGTTCAATGTCTGCGGCCTTCGCATTCAAAATCAAGCTGGGAGTGTCAGGTAGGCTTGGCGGAAACTGGGCTCCTCGATTCGAACAAATCACACCCCTGTCGGTGGGCAATAGTACGTGGCGGCTCCAGTTCACAGTCCAAACATACGTGGATTTGCAATAGAGCACAGGATGACTCATGACGACTCCAAATACCCGTTTGGCCTCAGCTTACTCTATGCAAACACTGGGCGGGTCTATATAAAGCAGAAGGCGTTGGCACGATGCTAGTAGCATCTGAATCATCCAACTCAAACATTTGAAGCAAGTCTGCTCACTTTGACACAGCCATTTTGCGACATGTCCTTACATCCATTCCAGGGGGTGACGCCTTGGAAACACGACACCCGCCCACGGGAAAAATGGTCTTACACATTTTGCATAGCCATAAAAGTTTTTCGCGACAAACCCGGTGGCATGCAACATGGAAAAAATGGCTAGGACCAACCCTGAGAGCAACAGCCGCGAGTCGTGGCTGAAATTTCAAAAATGACTGAAATCCCTCGGCGCAAACATCCGAGCACCCCCACACTTGGATCACCACCGCGTCGGTGCGCACGTGGCACCCTGCCGATTACAGGGTTGGCTCTTTGGGAATGCACGCGGCGCCACTCGGCTCAGGGCATGCCACAGGGACTCCATTCAATTGGGTTGTCGTCAAACATAGTGGGACCCTCGAAAATGGGTTTCCGTTTGGTTTCCTATAAACTAACTGCAACAAGGACAAGCCCAATGCAACGAGGCGGCGAGATGCCCTGGGCAAAGGCTGCACCAGGAAGCCATTGCCGACCTGGGATGGCTGTCCGGCGCCACAGCCATTCAACATACGTACACAAATGTCAGTCAGAAGACATATGGAGATATATGATGTATGCATGAACACATCTGTATGAGTATCGTATACAACTGCATAGCTTCTGCTCGATGCACTTATGTATCAATGTATGTATATATATATATATACAATATCTACGCAGGTGTTTGTCAGGTGTATACAACAATATACTTAGTGTATATATATAATATACACATATGTATTTATAATATAACATCAACTCACAAATTGGTGGCTCTCCCTTTGGCGTTTCTTTGAGAATCCCAGCCTCTCTCTCTCTCTCTCTCCGACCAAAGGACCCGCGCCTGCGGAGCAAAGCTCTGGACTTCCAGCTGGCACCAGGGCCTCACTTAAAGGATCACACCAAAGGCGCCCCCCCCGCCCCTCCAGTGACAAAGCAAAAGACCCCCTCCCCCCAGGAAACACACAAAACGACGCACAAAAAAATGCCAAGAACAAATAAATACAACATGGGTGGGGCCGGTTCAATGGGTTCCAACAAACTGATTCTAGCTACACGTGATTCGGCTACAGGGTTTCAACGAATTGATTCGAGGATGCTACACATGAATGTCCTTTGGTGCAAGCTGGGACCGCTCATTAGAACCCGTTTAAGTTTAGGGTCTCCGAACAAATGCCAAAGGAGGTCATCTGCGCTGTCCCTCGAAAAGGTTAACAAAAAGTAAAAGTACTCTAGGGTGAAAGTAGATGGCGGATTTCCCTGGTGACGGTATGTAAGCCAATGACCAAAACTAATAGGTCCACATATCTTTCACCGAACTGCAACGGATACACTAACAGTGTAGAATCTCTTTGGGAGGTCATGTATTTGTTTTGGATTTTGGGCACAGCGCCTCTTCAGGTAGCCGGTAGCCTGTCAGTTTCATGTTTCAGTCTTGCCTTGCGAAGAATTCCAAGATAAACTTAACTCGAGTGCACATGAGCTTAGGTCTACCTTGGGGTAATGCCAAACATGGAACCTTGCTTCCTGTTTGAGAAGTGACGATTGCAGTCTTTTCAACCTGACTCCGAAGCCGAGCATGTCTGGCTTTCCGAATCCCTCTGGAAAACCCAAGTGCAACACCCGAAAGCCAATGAGAGCAGCCAGAACCAACAGGCTGCCCTGCGTGCCAGATTCATCGATGCTGAAGCCTGAAGGAAGTTGAATCACCTTGGGCAGGGAGCCGAGTTGGTAAGAAATCGAAATCGGCATAATCCTTTAACCTTGAAGCCCTTCAGCCCTACGATAGAGCTAGACTCTTGTGAAGCTGAACAATCAGCTGGCAGCGCCTCAATGGCGTGCCCTGCACATGTGTATGGCTCGAACGACTCACCTGACATACATTCCTTCACTACGCATTCAATCAAAACAAACCTCTACTTGTTTGATGAAGCATGCTCACAAAAGGGCGGTGTTCAGTACCCAACGACCACTCGGATGGTTGCCCAGCCATGTGAAGCTAAGGACACAAAGAGACATCCAAAGTTGGGCGATATGTCCTGTTGGAAGGTTCTCCAACCATGAACATTCACAGCCAGGTCTTGGCCAAATGTACACCTCCCGCAAATAATATATTTTGTTTTCTCTGTTATTATCCCGAGGGAAACCGAGGACGGCAACAAAGCAAACTACGAAACCCTTTGAGGCTGTAGCCACAGAGGCGAAGCCATCCAAGCCAGCAGTCAGGGAAGTGCTGCCCAGGACAAACTGGCAGGCGGACCGAGTATCGGACCAAGTGCCAGGTGCTTGAATCCAGGCAAATTTCTAGAGGTTGATTCCGAAGTCTTTTCAGCCATCGTTCTTTTCAAAAACCAGCCATTTCCCCAGAGTGTTTGGTGGTTTTCTAGAAAGAAGGATCCTTTACCCCCTAGAAAATTAGGGCTATGCGTTGATTTGAGAGTATTCCTTTACCTTGAATTTCAAGGGACACCAGCATGGAAACTAGGTCCCCTGTTTGGACACATACCCATAAGGCACCCAGCTGGAGTCAAGGAAGCCCCCTTCCTGACTGCATTTGCAAACTTTACACCAAGTCCAAAAGCAAAAATGAGGGATTTTTTAGCACCTGCAGCATGGTAAGCAGTGCTCTCGTTTTACCCCCAAACTAAGCTCACCTTCATATATGGCCATTGGCTGTTAAGTATCTGCGCAACTGCCCCTTTTGGAGGCTCAAAAACGGGAGGAGTTGCGGAATCTCTGAATGCAGCGCAGCACGATGCAGGCACTTCTGCAAGTTTATCCTGCCGACCTAGGGTGTACCATCAGCTCTTCTAGGTCGGATCAGCGCCCCCCACCCCTGCCAGTCAGGTCGTCAGACCATCGAAAGGAAAAATGCGTTCAGGAAGATACGTGCCGAAAACTTCATCGAGCATCCTTGGATGAACCTCACCACCAACCCCTCAAGGTCCCTGACAGCTGCTTGATGCTATAATTCTAATTGGGGGGACCCTTTGGTGAACGTGATTTGCTCTCATACCAAGGGATTTATGCATTGTTAAAAAACAATGCAAAACATTTGCAGGGGTCGCTGAGACACTTCCCCAGCCTTGAGTTCAACCTCGTTCAGGCGCTGAGAGGGTATCACCTAACGCCAAGGGGACGATTGGGTCACCTTGCCAGATCGCCTTGAAGCTTCAACAGGCAGGGGTTTCTTGTTTTTGAGAAGGAACACGTGCGGGTTGTCTTGAAGGGAACCCGCCCATAGCCAAGGACACGAAACAACCTTTATGTCATGCCCTTTTCCGGCCCGTTGGTCGTGTGGCCGACTCTCAGTCCAGCGCTGAAACGCAGAGCTCACCCGTGCGCAAACCGTCCGAGGCAGGGACGGAGGACGGAGACACTTCCACCATTTGAAAGAATGCCTCCAAGCCGAAGCGCGGAACCTCGACTTCACGGGCATAGCTGGTTCTTGCGTGGCTTGTTCGGAGGTACAGATCTGAAATCATGGTTCCAAGCTTCAACAAGCTCTGCCAGGTTGCAGATGCAAACCGATTTCTTGTTTCCACATGTTCACCCGCTGCATGGGGTTCAGCCTGGTTCACGTGGCATTGACTGGGCCTGCGGCCTGCGTGTTGGCAGCCACAACTCTACCCTGCTCGTAGCACCAGATCCTCAGCTTCTGCGGCTCGATTGCCAATGAGTACTCCCAGCCAATTCACACGAGCAACTTGCAAAACCTCCTGTACAGGAAAAGGATGGAAGAGGACATTACATGTCATGGGTTTCCAGAAAACGGGGGTGCCCTTGAAAGGAGTTCCTGCAAACATGATGTGTTGTTGGTTCCAATGTGAATCTGGAGTGTACCACTCGCCGGGGCCCAAGCTCCCAGTACTCGACGGCATCTGGCGCCATACAAGCTCTGGCCACATATAACGTAAGGGCTGGGCAGCAAACCCAAAGAACCCTGCCTTTTGTGTTCATTTTAGTCCCTTGCAGGTCAGAGCCCCCTCCCAAACATACCCATGAAATTCTGAGAACCTGAAAGGCAGAAATGACTGGGTTCGGCCTGTGCTGGGGTTGGCGACGCTGAAGCTGAAGGAGTAGAACCGGGCCAGGATCAAAGGGTAGACCGTAGTGACGTTGAGCCGGTTCCAGACCTTTGTGCTCGCTGGATGCACATCCTTGGACATTTGCCTGTGCCATCGATCAGATTTCAATATCAGTTAAATCAATGATGCCGACTTGAAACATGTCTAGGGGACAGACTCCCAGCTGGCCTGTGTCATTTCTTTTCGGGCAACATCGGCTTGTGGTCTCCAAAGTTTGCCTTCTTTTCAGCAGGGTGAGGTTTGACCGAGGCAGCAGAAGCGAGGTTCCGAGTTGGGCCTGTTGGGCTTGCCTTGGCGAATTCCGGCATTTGCGTCAACCATTGGGGTCTGAGAGGGAAGTATGGACACGGGTTGTTGGTAAGCTAGGCTGAGATTGGCACCAGTCTATCTAGCTGAGAGGACACAAAGATCTGCATGGCCACCATACAACATTCACAGTCAAAAGCGTAGGCCCTAAGCAGCCAATGAGCACCCCGCACTGGCCGAGTTGATGTCCAGATTGGCTACCTGAGGCTGGCGGGTCTGAGGCTATAGGCTATGGGGACCTGGGTGAGATGTTCTCCCCAAGAAGTACATTTGCATTACTTACGGTAGTTGCGCGACTGGTAAAAGACCTTACAGTGTTTGCTCACAGCTCACTCCCTGAGATGGGCCTTTGTCGCTAAATGGTCTGCTCAAAAAGCAAAACGGCCAGGAACTCTGCGAGTGAAGGCACGTGGATGACTTCATCAGGCAAGCTCAAAGTCGGCTGAGTTTGGGGCGGTCTGAGGCGGCAGATTCTCCCGGTCGAAGGTGTCCGCGTCCAACACGAAGAGGGGTGGGGCAACCACCAGGAGCGTGCCTGAGGAAAGGTGTTGTTGTTTCTTCCGCAAGCAAATGTAGTACGGGTCCAAGTCCGTGTTGGCAGTTTGCTTTGGTGAGAGTGTTACGGTCAGCTTTCGGGGGAGTATCTTCATGGAGGAAGTGATTGCCGTGGAACGGCAATCTGTGGTAAGATTGCCCATGTTCACGTCTCCCGCTGCTCCGAACTGAAAGCGTTGCACACGCGAGCAAACTTGAACCCTGGACAACTTTCTCTCTTCGGAACGATCAATCGCCTGCCACGATATAGCATGTTGATATCCGCAAGGCACGCCTTCCTTGCTTGGGAAGCTAATGACGCGACTAGCGCACATCACAATAGGTCAAACTGCTCATCCACCCGTAATTACAGAATCATCTGGTCAAAATACGATACAAACTAGAATCATGAAGCATAATGCGTTGAAGATGTGCCCGGAATCATCCTCGCAATTGGTCGGCTGCTTGGGAAGCATTGGTGTCGACAGACGGGTCGGGTTGCCAGGCATGGCTCATGACTTTCGCATCTGCCCAAGACTTACCATTGAACTTCTCCAACACATTGCATATTTCAGGTCCGGTAATTGCGCCAAAGCAACGGCTGGGATACGATGCCCAATCTGAAAGCTGCATCTAAAAAGAAAGACTGCCAAACATAAATATGTTGATCACTGGTCTTAGGATTTAAGCAGCTCTTTGATCAAGCATGATTCGCAGCAACCAAGAGTGAAAGCCAAGCTGGAAGTGGAGGGAATAGCAAGAAGCATGCCGCCTGCCGTGTGGCCCACAACTGCGTGCAGAGCCGTTCCGTTCCATGCCCCTCCCTTCACCCCTTCGTTGTTTTTTCATTTCCCATTCTCCTTCCTTGCTTCTCCCAGTGGATCCCAGTCGCCATTATAGTAGGTAATCAGCGATGTTACTTTCAACTGTTGAAGATGCCTTGGTTGCACAAGCAAATGCAATCACTTGATTTATTCGCAAACACCGGAAATATACGGATCTCCAAATAAAGGACCTACATCATGGCAGGCTATGACAGCTGATAAAACCCCAGGCCCAAGCCAGCCTCCACCGGACATGGAAGCTGCCGCAGGCAGTCTGAATGTCATGCGCACCTAAGAACGGAAGTCAGTCATTTAGGATTGTCGCAAAAATGAGTGGTTCCCACCCCTCGAGAGACAAAATCAAGGAAACAGGAACACACACACACACACTCAAATTAACAACTTGAAATAGCTTGCTGGCATTTTGGCAACCAAGCCCAAAATGGGTACCATCAAAAAAGGCGCACCCATTTTATGCTGCATTCCGAAAGGCCATCACAGTTGCAGCAAGAGCATACGCTAACGCTAAGGTCAGCACAAAATTGTACTTGTAGCCAACTTCGCGGACGGAGCCATACAATCCTGCCACCTGGCTGGAGTTTGCAGTGCTAGTAGCTGCCGCATGTGCGAATGATGGCTCGGAGCCATACGAGCTGCCCCGCTCTCGGCAAATCTTGAAATCTGTCCCAAGGGCCGGTGTCCTTAAAAGAGACAACCAGCACTGCGAGGGTATGTGTCAAAACAGGGAACCCCCAAAGTGGCGTGTTTTCCCCGTTTTGCCTTCCAAACCCAAACAGGCAAACCCACTTCAGCCAAGTGACTTGCCTCGCTTTACTGGTTCTAGCACAAAAAGTACCTTTGCCTGAAAGCTTGGCATGAAACTGGCGCACCAATTTGTCCCATAGGTGGCTCAGCAGGGCCCGATCTCGACACAAACTACGACATGTATGGCGCAATCTCGCTTGAGGCATCAACTTCGCCCAGTGAAACAAACAAATCATCCCAAGCTCGGCGGTTTTCCACCCACAACATCTGAATGGGCTTCACGTCCTTTCGAGGGACCTGGGTTTAGGGCATTTCATACTTTGGCGGCCTGAACAACTTTCAAAAACTGCAGCCCCAGCTGCATGGGGCTCGTCTCGTTTTTGAGGGACACAACTTGTTTGATCCCGTTGAAAAGGGCAACCTTGATTCCGGCTCCGGGGTGCATTTCCTGTTCCAAGACATCTACCTTAGCTTTTGCTCCCCCGCCAAGAGTCAAAGGCTTGATTCAGGTCCACATGTAGTGAACCTTCTGCAGAAAACATGGCCATGGGTCAAAATCCCGTAGCCGCAGTGAACATCCCAATCCCCACAAAAAATAGGTTCTATAGTGGGTGGTGCACCCACCAACCAAAATGGGATACCAGTCGTTTTGACCCACGGCCAAATGAGCGCCAAAGACTTCCCCCCCGGCCATTTGCAGCGGATGGCCTCAAGCTGCAAGTACACAGAGTAGCCCTCGAAGCCGGAGCTAAGCTCCAGAACCTCTCCTGGAGCTCTCGTTAGGTCCAGTAGAGAGGTTAGAATCAGGGTACCAACTTTTGTTCTGTGGTCTGTTTTAGTGAACCTGCCCCCAAAAAAGGGACAAAGGGCACTACTGGGGGAATAAAGGTTGTGGCCCTTCCAAGGACAACCCATTGCCTGTGATTTCCACCATTCGCGCTCAGGTCCAAACTCAAGAAAGAGTATCTCTGTTGCCTAAGGACCAGAAAAGAGTGGCCTTTGCCAAACTTGGGCAACATGAACCGTGGAGTTGTTTTGTCATGTCTCAAGCAAATAGCGGTGGTCGGAGATATCCTGTTGGCCCATTTAAGGGCACTGCCAAACACCCATGGACTGTTGGTTCCACCTGGCTATCAGGCTTTGCGTGCAAGTATCCCGATTGCACCCAAGTATAGGGATTGTCTCAAAAATATAGGAACCCGCAATGAGTGGGCTTCCCTGTGGCTCCCCGCCCACCCACCTATTCTTTCAGTAAAACTCTTTGAAATTTGGCCCTGCGCAACGCCTGGTACTTCCGAAAGCAGCTCGAAGGTCCATAGAGGAGAGCCTTGCGTCCATCGGCTGCCCGGACATGCGGGATATACGTTTCGGTCATTTCCGGGCAATCGTTTGAGGAAGGCATCGGTCGCAAACATGGGGTGGACTCGTCCGTCTTTGAAAGGCCGAAGACGAAAAGGGTCGTTAGGCCGCGCCAACGCCTCCCATTTCAAGCTCTCCGTAGCTAAGATGTTCACCACGCTCTTGCCAAATGGCCAAATTCTCAGCTGGGACCCCCAAGCCAACCATGAGGAACCTGTGAAAGCAACCTTCCCCATGGCCGCAAACTTCTTCGAGGCTGACTTCCGCCATCTTCTGAATGGCTGTCTCTCCATTCTACGAATGGTTGTTTGGTGACTGTGCTCCTCATTTGCTGCAAGTGATATTTGTCAATTTTGACATTTGATTGTGATATAATATTGAAAGTTGTTCTGAAATATTAACATCAAAGGAGGGGAGTAAGGGGGGGTTAACGCCTCATGACGTTGTTCATACCACGAGCTGCTGGAATGAGGGCCTGTGCACTGGGCTGTCTTGAGCGGGACCCGTGCGGGTGTTTCAACCCGTGCCTTCTGGCGACGGGGTGTTCACCAGCCCCAGCTCAAAGACCAGCTTGCCTGGGGACATGGCCACAAGGTGGGTCCGGTGACTGGCTTCTAGGGGGTCTGGATTAAAACTCAGCATTTCCTGGCCAATTAGCACCCACGTAAGCACCGGACCACTGGATACCACCAGCAGGCGCACCTGGAATGCTGGCATACGTGAATCCCGCAAAGGAACATGCATCTCCTTCGGGTGCCATGTCCACATTTCGGTCGTCTTCCAAAATGAAAGGGTCTTCTTCAACAATCGCCACGTTGGCTCACATTGAGACCTGGATCAACAAATTACCTTGTCATCAATCCGAGGCTTCTCCCGCGAAAGAACAGCATGTCTCCTGAACAGAGAGACCTCCTCTCAACAAAGGATTGGGGCAACTCGTCTTTTGGGTGCGCGCCAGGCCTCTGAGTCGCCGGCACCTGCGGATGCTACAAGGGCCAACAGTTAGCCTCTGCAAGCATGGCCTTCCCTTGGGTGTTGGTGTTCTTGCGGCCAGGGTTCCATTTTTTGACAACCCTAAAGTGGACGTCATTTCAGGGGTGGTTGATTTCCTCAAAGGGGAAACCTCCGGGGTTCAGTCTACCTTGGGGTAGTCAAGGCCCAGGAGTTGGGCGTTTCCAGGGTCCACAAAATCGCATGGCGGGATGGCCATGGTCCCTCCCTTCAACGATTTCCGCACGGACCGAGCCCTAGACCTAGACATACTATGACAGTTACCCCTTATTCAGGTGTAAGTTACCCTCATCTGTCTCCAGCTTGGCTGTTGCTCTGGGGTATGGTCCAAAGGGGTCTGGAAAGAAGTCATTGATCCATAGAGTATGAGGGAACACATCAGAAAATAACAAACAGCTTCATCACCATCCCTGACCCCAACCGGCAGGTCTCATCAGCTCTTCGATGGGCAGACCGTGGCTTCGATTCGAGTCCGGATGCCAACACCCAGGCGTGGCCGACAGTCTCAGTATGCTGCAGCTGACTCTTGCAGCCACCACATCTTCCCAGCCCAGGTCCCGGTTTCCACAACTCAAATTTTGGAGCTATGGAGCTTTGGGCAACAAACTCGCCTCCCCCTGCCCACCAAAAGCAGCGCCTGGGTTCAGCGGCAGAAGCCTTGGCACACGGACAACGCAAATGCGGCGCAGGCCAACGTTCACGGTGCGCTCTCTCTGATGCTTGCTTCTGAAAACTAGTTGCTTCATGCCTGGCTATGGGATCCAGTCACAGTTGGCAACGGGTTGCAGCTATTGTCCATGGTGGCTCAGAAGTGCGAAGAACTGCCAAGATCCAGAGTTCTGAGGCTCAACGGTCAAGTCAAACAGCTTCCAAGACCAAACCTGGGGGTCTTGGAAAGGCAGACGCACATTATGACTCTGCATTTGAAGTCAGGTAGAGTGGTAAGTTGACTGACCCTGCTGTTTGCATGGGCCCTTGCTTGAGTTTAGCTGCAATATATGCTGATATACAGTGCACATGCGTGTGTATGTCTATGCATTCATAATACCCGCATATCAAACGCAGAGTTCTTCCTCAACGGGGTTTGTAGGGAGGGGGGGGGATGCAGCAAAACAAGTAACATTGTCCCCTTCTGCTTCTCAAGTCCTAGGGGAACCTTGAAAATGGACTGAGTGTTACGAGTGGAAGCTGCCCCGCGAATGAGTCAACATCCAATTCTGGTGTCAAAGGAATGGACTGCCTAGCCAAAGCCAAAGAAGAAATTCCAAGAGTGTCGCCTCGATGCGCCCCGATTCACCGCCTCCTGACCTTCGATTCTCAGGTTGCATCCACGACAGAAACGACTCATTGACTCCATTCCCATTTTTGGACGCCTTGGAAAGGGCGGGCCAACATGAAACCGATTCAACCCCGCGCAACCCGACTCAGGCGGGTGAATTGGAGCCAAAGGGCTCCAAGGTGGCGTTGTCCGCCACGAAGGCAGCCTCGTGGTCCTACGGTGGACGGTGGACCCTAAGTTGGAGTGGTTGGAGTGAAGCTGGACGCGTACCACAAACTGACAGCTAGCTAGAATTTATGTTTCTCCCGCCCCAATTAGCTCTTACTGTAGGTGGACCCCAAAAGAAGAGTCCAAACAAGGGCACTTCACACACCAGTGCTTGGAGGCTGCAATTTGCCAAGCTGAAGGGATATTTGTCATGTAGCCACTTTCAAGAGCGAAGTTGTGTTACTTGCAGCTTTCAAATCGGGCAAGCACTCTGCAACCTTTCTAATTATGCTCCCACCTGAAGGGTGAGGGTGGCAGGTTCCTCAGTTTCATTGATCTGGATGTTCACCACAAAGGGACCATAGACACATAGATTGAAGTCCAGAGGTTGCCCCCTCTCTCCTTAAAAAGGGTGGGCATGCTAAATCATGACCATCGCCTGGCAAGAACAACTCATGGACTCTCTTGCCATAGCCCTGCAATGCAACCGCCAAAGAAGTCACGTCCAGGCAACACCCCTCACATGTAAAGCCGCATCAACCACAACGCCTTTCTGAAACAATGCCGAGTGGAGCAAAGGACACCTTGGTGGATAAGCCAGGGACCTAAACATTTTGGAAATCCTTGTGGAAATCTGATAAAAGCTGCAAAGAAGTCACCAAAAGCATGAGAGGGACGTTCATATTCCTCAATGGGAGCGACTCCCTCGGTCAACGAGAATCCTTGGACCGCATGATCAACCCCCATACGTTCTTGTTCAATTCTTTGGTGATATGTGACATAGCCCCCCATCCTACGCAATGTTTCAAAACGTTCTCTGCCGATGATTCCTGCGCAACACACGCCTTTCGTTCCGCCCAGTCTCGTGGCCTCCATCCGCCTGCCCACCCCCACTTGCCTGCTCAGGAAGCGTGCGGAAGCCCAGAGGCAAGTGCACCTACAGCTTCTGCATGGCTCAAATGAAACGCGCCAAATGTCGCGGGGCGAAATCTCGCAATACATTTCAAGATCCCCTGAATCAAGTAAGAATGGCGTGGAACTATAGGGCCCTCCATAAATCGCACCTTGGCGTTGGAAGCTGAGCAGTTCTCAATGAATAAACATAAATTTATTGAAGATAAGAACTGTGGGCAAAAGCTGTCTTCATCTGCTTTGCCAACAGGCCATATGTCGGCGGAAAGCTTGAGTGTCATCTGTCTGAAGGCATGTTACAATGTTGTGCCTTCCGCAACTTCGGTCCGGGTAACATACCTGCATAGAGGAGTCTACCGTTTTGGTGGCACTAGACATTGATCTGAGTTTTCCCTCTGTTGCGCAACCTCCCCCAATATGTGACTTTGCTGCAACAGAACGTGACTCGCCGTGGGCTTGCGCTTCTCCAGGGTCCCGCACTGCCACGATCGTGCCCGGCACCACCTCGTTGGTTGGAGTCAGAGTAAACTCCTCAGCGAGGCTGACAAAACGTATTGCAATACAGGTGTGTCTTTTTTGAGGGTGCCTTTTGCGAGGGCTGAAAGGGAGACCAAACGGAAGACCAAAATCAAATCGGAAGACCACTTTTTTTTTCCAAGGGGGGTGTCCCCTAAAGATGGACACGAGCACTAAGGCAGCATGTCATGTGTCGAACCCAGGTTCCCAATCTTCACCAAACATTTTGGAGGGGCTAGTGTATCGGAGGTCGCAGCTGCAGACTGCCCCTCAAAGCCAAAACAATGGAAACATTAGGATGCTATCTCTGAAAGCATGTTGACTTCCTAGAAGCCTCAAAGCTCGCTGCATCCCTGCGAACTTTTGTATACGCATCTCTCTATCCTTGACCAAACTGGTGCCAGTAGGAACTCTGTGAGCGCTTGAGCGCGGTTCCACCTGGCATCTTTCCCCGGCAGACACGTGGCTGCTCCTCAGCCTCGGCTGTGGGATACCCAAGTGGTTAACTCTCATCGGCTCCATCATGTCCCGTCCAACCATGACTACTGAATCGCTAAGGGGATTCCAAAGGGCATCAGAGAAATGGCAACCTAAAAACCAGTCGAGCGCAATTGAGCGCAAGAGTATGACAAACTGGCGCCCGGCTGAATTGATCGCAGGGTGGGTGTCACCCAGAAACCCGGCAAGGCTGCCTGGCAGCCGGAGAGCCAAACGCCGCGGCTTACACGATTCAAGCCAAGACTCCCAACCCCCCGGGATCCGGAAAGGACCAAAAAGCATGGGGCCGAAATCCTTGCAAGTTGAAATGTTGTATCAATGTTCTTGGCTGAACCTTGAGTCTTTTCACAGCTTAGACCTGGGGTCTCTCTATGTCCTTCACTCTCTCCGTCTCTATCTGCCGTCTGTCCGTCTGTATCCGTCTGTCTAGATTGCTCTCCAACGTCGGATGAACCCGACCCTGGAGGTGTGAAACAACGTGCCATGTCAGGACTACCTTGTTTTTTTGACATATCTGACCTGTTTCAAGCCTGTCTCCCGAACAAGGAACTGCGCAAATCTTGTCCGCTGGATTTTAGGGCGCTCCCCTCTATGTCCTCAGCACAAAGTGGACTACCCACAACACAGCCAGGGACTCACAGGCTTACTCACCCTGCCTCGCACTGCTCTTTGAAAAGGCCGGGCTGAGAAGCGTAGCTGGCGGCAAGGCTGGCCTCAAAGGAGCCATTGGAAAGCTGTGGGCTCAAAGCAACACTCCAAATAATGGGCACCATGGTCCTGGTTCCATTACAAGGAAAGTGCTGATGACCACATCTGTGGCGTCTACCCACTGATACTACCAACTCACTGCAAACGGGCAGTGGAGCCTGAGAAACAAGTAGGGCCTAACATACAAAAAAGTAACGTTGGATGAATCTTCTCTTTCTCTGCCTGAAACCTCAAGCGGTTTACGGCCCTGTGATACGGGAAAGCACCCCAGAATCCCTAGTAGGAAATATCTTGCGGCTTCAGGAAGGCTCCCATGTCCATCCCCCGCCGTCAGAAGTTGGCCAACGATCAACACGAGGAATTCCAATGTTTCTATCATCAACTTAAGAAAATGGCAAAACTGGAAGATTTCCAAGCGTCCACCCAGAGTAGACCACGACTTGGACAGCTCGAGCTGAGCTCAAAGCCGTCAGGTCTTCGGGCACTTGCAGCCGCGACAAACGTAGGTGCCACAGATTCCACAGCTCCTTTCAGCGACATTCGTACATGTAGGACAGTGAGCATCGCAGCAACCAGTAAAGATCGCCCTTGGAGCCATCACAACAAGCAACATCTGCAAACGGACAGACTCGAAGCATCATGCAAATCAACAATACCCCACAGCACCGGCGCAAAAAGCATCCAGTCAGAATCGACAGCCCGCAAATGAAAGCGATACCACAAGCAGAAACGCCAGATTCTACCGGAACTTCCATCTGGGCGTGTTGTTTGGGGTCGCACAGGTCCCTATTCTGACATGCTCCATCTGCTTGCTGTCCTTCGGGGCCTCTCGGGGATTTCGAACCAGAAACTCCAGGCTGGCCGTGCGGGCGGTGGATAGCACCTCAGAAACCCCAGCCCCATGGAGCCAAAGCCACAGAGCAACGCTCTAAATCCATTGGCCATTGACTGTTGGTTCTATTGTGTCGACAAGGGTTTATGATGGCTCGTGATAGACCTTGCCAAAGTTAGGAAGGCAGCACAACAACGACCTGACGATTCGCCTGTAAGCAAAAAATGGCTGGGGCAACAACCAGTCCACAAATGTTCCCCTCCCCTGAGCGCGTCAGCTACTAAGATCGTCCCAAATGAGAACGTTACATAGACAATTTACGTTTTTTCAGCAGTTCCGTACAAGGCATCTGATAAAGAAACATATTTCCTTGCGGAAAGTCAACCATGTCAAAGGTGGCACTCTTTTTTTGTACACACATGTTAAACATATCACGTTTGGGAGGGTAGCTGGAAGATCAGTTTCCTTTTAAAGTACCCTCCAGCAGATGCCTGTTGGTGGGAGGGAGCGCACCAAATGGGGTGTACGAGTAGGATGGTCTAAACAGATACATTTAGGCAACATGGCGCTTGCTTCACAAGGAGAACGAAACGAGCAATCAAGCTTAGGGCCACTTGAGCCGAGCACCGAGGGGGTGAAGACAATGCCCAGCTGCCGTGGGTTCACTGCCGCGCAGGCGACCGCCTGAGCCAATGGCTCGTGTTCCAACGCATCTGGGGAGCGTTGCTGATGAAACTTGGTTGGGCTGCCCTTTGCACGGGAACACAATGGGAAACTGACGAACAAACCCACCATTTGAGACCCTGCCGGTTCGAAGGTTAGGATTGAGGTCCAGACTCCAAAGGATGTGGTCACGTTGATGTGCACGAGGCCGCTGGCAAGCTGCCCACCCTTCAGCGGGTGAAAGCAAGCAAACCAATGAAAGCATTCAGGAGCTTTGCACACCATGGACACAACGAATTGCGCGATCTTCCCCAAGGCAGCTAGCGAGAGCGGAAAAGTTGCCACTTTCGATTGAGCTCATCCGTGTGCTCTCTAAAATCAGAATCTCCCTTGGAAGATTCTGCCAATTGCCGTGCAAGCCGGCATCCCCGGTGGCCACTCCTCAAGAACCGGCCTCCGCGTAGAAGGGCGCGGTGCAAGCCGAGGGCTCCGACAAATCCCACCTCGCGCAGAGCGGTCGCTGTCTCTGATGGCAATGCACCGCGTCTTGGCTTCCTGGGGTTTGGTCCAAGGGTGTCGCTAGTCTGAATAAACAGTCGCTGTCAATCCTGAAATGAACACTAACTACAAAGACAACACTACTGAGCTGCATGTCGTACTCGAGCGTCAGTGCAACAGTGGCACATTGTAGGGCAGTCATTGCACCAAAACGAAGCCGATCTCACTGGCCGTCAGGCTAAATCGCTTTGTGTTGTATGAGCGGGGACTGGTGGTGTGTCTAAGTAGCAACTTGGTCTCACCAAACCGGCCCCAAAGGGGCCAGACCTGTTGATGATCCACCATTTGGATATGTACCAAAATATTGGCAGTTCTCCTTTTGGCTTCCCTTTGAACCAACCCAAACAAGGGGTCTGAAAAGCACGCACTCAAATCAGCAACACCTCACTTCAGTCTGCCGTCTGAGGCCCAATCCCTCCGCCCTGTAGGCTGCGCGTGGGCGAGTAGACATCAATCCTGGCACCGAGTGGGCCTTTTGCCGAAAGGGAATGTGTGGTTGATACGGCATGATTCGTTCAATGAGGATGCTCACACAACAGTGGTCAAATCTTTCTCACACAAATCCTTGAGCTGTTTGAACCTATTGTCCGGCGTCTTGATTGCAAAGCGAAGCGCGCATCCTAAGGTGATTCTTGTTCAATACTTGGGCAACGGTGCACAGGACTCCTGCGATGGGAGCTCAATCCCTCCAAATGCGGACGCGGACAAATTGAGCAGCAAGGGTCCCTCTGCAACCAGGGCCCTCCAGCGGCTGTGAAAATGGCTCAAAGGAGGCCACCCAAACCATTTGATAGGCATTGCAGGATGGCAGGACTGATCTTGCAGCCCCCAGGCCATGCAAGCGGCCAGAACACGCAGGACGCCCGGCCCGCCTGCTCAATGAGCCCACCTCAGAACGTAGTGAGAATATTGGAGAATCTTTTCCGAAAATTAAGCAACCAGCAATTTAGTTTTCAGATCTCAAGTCACTGAAGTCAGAAGCAAGCCAGTTGATTGATTCCGAGCTTTCTGGGCTCATTGACTACAAACACGAGTAAAGGATTGAACACCTTCATTTGAAACTCATGCAAACAACTTACGACGTTGTCTGCACACAGCTGCTTGCTGATGTCCCCTCATCCTCCCCAAAGAAATGCGCCCATCTCCTAGTCAGCCGCAAGCACCCTCAGCTCTGCTGACAACACCTAGGTTTGCGGCAATGTTGCTGTCGGCACCTTCTTCAGAGGACAGGACCTGAATGTCTGAAAGCTCAGCTTGCCAGTCTGCTTTTGAATCCGAACTTCCTTGCTTTCCCGCGATTCGGTGCAGTCAAAGTTAGCCAGCAGGACCCGGAAGAAAATGCGGATGCTGTGAGCCTGCAAGCAAGCAAAGCCGCCAGCCCCGTCTAAAATTCAAGCGTGCTCGTCGCACTTGCTCAAGCGAATGCCTTGACTCTGGAGTTTTCGTGTTGGATTACTTTCTTGTACACTCCTGCAGATTAACGCGGAACGCAAAGAACATCCCTTTCAAAGAAAAATCCTTTTGGGGGACACCCGCCTGTCCTATAGGTTCCAGGATATGCATTCTGGATCAGTCAGTGCATCGGTGCAAGCGTTGGGTCACGTCAAACCAAACATGTTGAGCCAACACACTACTGCAATGCTTGGTTGATTCTTGCATCGGTTCAAAGTGCTTCTCATGGCAAACACATATGGCGCAGCCACGCAACGATGTTGGGATTTTTTCGGCTTGATTCCAAGAACTTAGCATTTGGGTTTCCAAGTGCATGATTGCACCTTGCTCCATTGCCTTGTAAACCATCTGCCAAGTAACATCCTCTATCAAAGAGCCCTGTGTCAAAGCTGAATGTGCAACCACAAGTCTGCAAAACTCTACTTCACATACTGTAAATCAAGGCCACCTCCCGTCAAAGAACTGTCATCCTGAGAGAGCCTGTTTTAACCCCCTCCCCCCCCCTTGCCGGGTGAGCTTGTTTTGCAGTGTCCAGATGTTTGAACACCTGGTTGTTTGGGCCTGCAAGTGTTGCATGCCGAGCCATCTTGTCATCAGACCACCAGGTTCATACCTTCCACCTTCGAATCTTGGCACCAAGCCAGAATAAGATCAACAAGAAACATGGGCCACCAGTTTGGTGGACAAAGGCTACTGCTCGTCCTGCCATGTGAGCAGGACCAAACCCCGTGACTGTTGCTTCTACCACCTTAGTTGTAAAGGCTTTTAGAGCCCTGATTACAATTCCTTTGTTAAGATTCGTTCAATCCTTGGACCGATTTAGCCGCAGCCAAGTTTCAGAGTTTTGGACCAGGGTTCTAGTTTCTGATTAGCCCCCGGAGTAAGAGCCAGGTGATCGATAGATTCCAAATATGAATGACCCAAGGTCGCTTCCCGTCCTTGCTATGCTTTTGATATTCTTTTGGTTCTTCTAAGGCCATCCAAAAGGGTGTTCTAGGACACCTGGTCGATGCAAATCCCACTTTGCACTGCTCCTCAGACTTCAATGATGCGCTAGGAAGATCAAACCCTGCTTGAATTTGTGTGGCTCCACAAGAACGGCCTGGAGGGCGAAGGTGGATTGCGGGTGCAGGGAGCCGTGAAAGGGCAGCAGCAAGGGCGAGCCTGCGCGAGATTCTCTCTGCCTGGAGATACCCCATGACTCCCTCAGATTAGCATGGACCATCAAGAAACCTTCATGTTTAGAGGAATCTCCTTCTGGCGAACCCTTTTCTGGGGGTTCGTTGGGGGAGTAGTTCGTGTTATTGTCAAAGTCATCCGCAAGTGGCAGGCTGATGGATTTTGATATCCCTAGAACAGTGGGCAAAACTTTGAATGCCTGGACTTTGCTTTCTCTGGCTTTGGCTCTCAAAGTACTCACTTGGCTAAAGTCTACTTCACTTGCCCAAAGGCCTGGAACGCAAAGGGTTAGCTTCTGGCATGCCTTCACTGGACTCAAGACTGGAAAGCCAGTCTTGTCAGATCCAAGGGTTGGTTACACCGTGCTCTCGCTTGCAAACCCAATGGGTAAGCCACTTCTTTGAGGGAAATGCCAACCTTTCGGGAAGGTACAAAACACAAGCCTGGTTGGGGATTCATGGGATTCTGATGGCGAATGGAGCACAGTCTGACCAATGCGAGTACTCGAAGCTGGTTGACCCTTCCCAATTTTCCTGTTGGTTTTCCTTTGAATTGAAAGCCACCTAGGAAAGGGTGTCAACCACCCACTTGCTGCCATCCTACCCACAAAACGACAGGTGCCACCATCGTGGTTCTCGTAACAGGAACCCTTCTGATACTTGCTGCAAATCCTTATGGCTTGGTGACCATCCCTGCCAAGCCAAGCGAAAGGATCTTTTTGGCCATACCACTTTTGGTGATAGTTTCACAAGGGAACCACATGAGCCAAACTGGTCCCAGCTTTCTCCAAGGGCTGCTTTTCCCCAACCTCCAATCTCCTAAAGGATGCTTGCCTTTTGGACAGTACTTGAGACTTTTGAATAGCGAGAAAAAGCAGTTGTTTGGCGGGGTGCTGGTCAGGAGTGCTCCTGGCTTTGACAAGCCCTCTCGCATGTAGGGTGTCCCACCGTCTTGAATTGATTAGCGCCACAAGACGGGCCCTGAGTGTCCCGGAACCGGAATCGTACAGTGTGGGTGTAAATATGGTAACTAGGGACTCCTCGCTAGACGTCCACCAACTATTTTTCACCATGACATTTCCAAGCAAGTGACACTAGACATAAGAACGCCGCATCCCCTGCCTGTCCCCGCTTCCTCCACACGGGACCTATCCAGCAAATCGCCTGGGGCTTGGGGGCTGCTGCCAAAGGTCCCCTCAACACGTCAACTGATGCGTCATATATCTGTCAAATCATGGCAGTGGACAGGGGTCTTCCCCAAAAAAGGACGTACAGTAGTCGTCCAAAACCCTCCTAAACACTTGACTCAATGTCAGTTTCCCAAAAGAACATTTCCAAGACGAGGTGGCACCGGATGTCCAACATACCACCTGTTAATGACTGCGACGTCTGAGCGCAGTTCAATATGAGCACGGAATGGGCAGTAAACCAAACTACTATCATGATGACCATTCCACCTGATTCTTTATATTCGCTTGACACAGCACCCCGGAAAAGGAAACTAGTTGAACAGAAAGTGATGTGATCACGCCATAAAAAGGGAGGGAACCGTGATTCAATGATTGTTGGATCCGCCACAAACCCGTGGGGCAACCGCGCAGTGTCGCCCCGGCCGTGGCGGACCCAACAACATGGCAGGGGCAAGGGAAGCGAAATGACTTAAAGGCATTTCGCATCTCTCCGTTTGCAGAACGGATGATCCTGCGTTGTTTGGGGGGAGCACAAGATTGCATCCCAAAAATATCAACATTGGTATGCCCTAGAAGCTTTATTCGAACGGGCAAACAACGTGAGAGCGTGCGCTCCGCACTGCCCGCATTCTGCAATGACATGCAATGACTAAGGCATTGCGCGGTCACATAAGGCATTGCGCGGCGCAAGCGGTCTTGCACCTGCAATGCTTCATCTGACCTCTGTCAGTTCCAATTTAAAGGACTCGTCGTGCGTCAAAGGCCATCATGCAATCAACTACGGAACAGCACATAACGACACACATCCACATCAAACAGCCTGCGGAAATTATGCGTCCTTTGTCGGCATTTGCGCTCGACGGAAACGGTATGAAAAGCTTTGAACCGAGTCCAGTCATTTCAGTTTAAGTACACAATATTCTAACCCGAAATGCTGGCCGCATTCCAACCTCACAACACCGGGTCTCTCACCATTCCCTGGTCACTGATGGGTGGTTTCTAGACAGAGGGAAAACTGGTATGTGGCTGGCACCGCAGCAACCTACTTGGGGCTTCCAAGTGACTCTTGGAGGCCGAAGTTTGGGTTCGCTCAAACCGCATGGGTCTCTCAAAGGTTTGCACTAGTCCTGAAACATGTTGAAACACAACAGGGCTCCCCTCGACCTGAAACTACACCTGGGCAGGCAAGTTTTGGTCTTGTGTCGTTGGCGAATGTTTCTAGGGGCCAACAGCTGGCTTTCGTCCTTTTGGTCCCCTTGGGTCACCCCATCAAGAAAAGAAACACCGGAACTGATCTGCAGCTCCGGCCTGCGGCGGTTCGGAGCTCCCAAACGAACGAGTCAGGCTGCGCATCTCGGCCTGAAACTAAATCTTCAGTGCACGCGCGGATGTGTCTCAAAAGCGCGGATGCCTCTTGCTCTTGACGTTCAAGGGAGCTAAAACAAAGATAGAGGGCTTTAACATATTGCCCAGTGTACCCAATTTGTGATGTGTTCTGGGCGTCTCGGTCCCAGTCTTCAGTCTTCAAGTGTGCGCTACTGCAGGGGCCAGTCCCATCTCATGCCGAGCATGGCAATAGCAAATCATGCGGCCCGGTGAGCACATCGCATCGTCAACAACGTCCTGCAAACCATGCCTGGATGGCATATGGTTTCGTCGAAGTTTGCCCTGTTGAACATCATACTGTAGCTACATTCTCGAATTGCAAGTCGCAAGCAGTGACCTGCCTGGATTGCGCACCGATGCTGAGAAGGCATACTTTCTGTAGGCCAGGATCCTGGCAAACATCGAACAAATCCAAACGACTGGACAACATCTGGCTGCGGTCAAAACAATGGCCTCACCCAAAAAGCATGTGTCTGGCTGTATCAAGCTCCAAAAAAGGTTTGGACACATGCACACACACACACATCCATGTCACAGCAATCCAAGGCCCGACCTGTCTGATTCGCTTGGTCCCAGTGTGAGCTGCCTCAGGCATGAGAAATCAAAGCACGCGCTAATCATGATGGCGAATCGCCAGCAATTCACCTAGTGCAAGGAAACACATACGCGCAAACACACAGCAAGCGCACGTTGTTGACATCAAATCAGCCATTCCCTACGCTAGGGACCTTTATCATGGAAGTGAGCTTGTTTCATCCCCCCCCCATTTAGAAAGTAAGCTCACGCAAGTTTTGCAAATACAATGAATCAACTTGCTCTTGCCCCCTCAAGCAGCAACTTTTATGAAATCACAATTCCGTGATTGGGGGCTTGGTCCAAGGCCCGCGTTCAAGAGGTCATGATCATTGCTGACAAAGCCTGAACAAGTTATGAGTATGTGTTCAGGTTGGGACCTCAGCACATGCATAAGCAACTGGCAATGTGAAACAATCATCCGATGTCAAGTCAACACCAATTTCCCAATCATTTTGCCATCGCCTCACATCATACTGATACCGGTATCTCTTCGGAAGAGAATGGATGAGGTCGTTTTGGCTTCCCTTGAAACTAATCCAAACGGGCGCACACCCAACATCTGGGCCAGGCATCGCTTCGAGGCCACTTCGCCCGCCTACCCTGGGATTAACCCTTGGGGAAATATGACTCCAAAAACATCAAGGTTGCGTCTGGTAACAGCTGAACATGTGCGTAAAGCCCAACATGGTTGGAAAGATCTCACCCAGACCCTTTGCAAAGGTGGGCAAACGTGTTCTGCTCTTGCCGTTCATGTGGTGGCTTCCGGGTGTCTTCGGATGAATGACAGAATAACCGGCCGCGGGGGTTGCTCCGTCTGGCAATTCACCAAACCTGCTCTGCCAGGGGTCCTTGATGAAACCCTGGGCCGAGATTCCGGCAGCTCCGAGTCTGCAGCGAGCCGCCGCTCCAGACTGTCCAGCCTCAGAGGAAGCAATACAACGACAGGCCCTGGGGGATGACAAGAGAGTCATGATCCGTCTGGATTACTGTCTTATACATAGGACGCCTGAAATAAGAAATCCCAGCTAAGGAACTCTCATCATGTGAGAGGTTGCAAACTCACTTTAGGTCGCTGTCATTTCCCCCAGATTCGGTAAGTCCCCTGGGTCCAACAAACTTGGCCTTGGCTAGACCCTTTTCAATGGCTCTTAGATGCGTTTATGTGTGTTCCCAGATGTAGTTTCAAAGGGAAAGCAGAGTGAACCGCGCAGCTTGCAGGTTCCGGCACCGAAAGGAGACAAGCCAGTATGTCCCAAGGATTCGTCAATTGAGGGTCTTGGGCTTTTAGAAAGTCGAATCCAGCTCAGAGCTCTGCAATCGCCGGCCAGAACCGCCGCCCTGCGCAATAAGCGCTGCCGGAATGGTCTGATTTCGGCTTCTAATTATTGGTCTCCCTGGCCTCAGAGGCCCAGTCTTCAATCTGCTTATGGGCAAAATGCGCTTTGCCCCAGTTGGTTAGTGGTTTATCCCAGATTTCATAGGGCATCAATCATCCCAACTGGGGCAGGGTCTTGTCCATCCACAGTATCTTGACTATAAGCTAAGAGATATGAATGAGTCACCAATCGAACATAAGGGATCACGATCAACGTGATGGATTGCGACGGCAGTGCGCTTCCGCATGCTTTGCAGGATGTGTTGCATGCTTTCTGCAGGGGTGCGCTTCCGCATGCACACTCTCATCGCACCCCGAGCCTGGCACAGTGTTGCCGGTGGCAAAGTGTCATAGCCGACCTGCGACAAAACAAACGCGATCCAAACTTCCATCTGTCTCACTCCAGCTCAAAGCAGAGCTGTTGCAAAACGGGCCGGCAAGAAACTTTAGAGGCTGAAGGGATTGTCTTGACAAGTGAGGACGCTTATCCAAGTGGCTTGCTGTAGATTTATTTCAACACGGAAAACTGAGTCGTCCTTTTGGACCAGAGGGCCCGTGTTGATGCAACCACTCATGGCTATGGGTCAACACTCAAATCGTACCCCCAGTGAACATCCCAATCCCCACTAAAATAGGTTCTAAAATGGGTGGTGCACCTACCCCAAAATGGGATTCCATTGGTGTTGATGTTTTCAGGCAGAAAACCTCGGATGTGCCTCCTCAACAGGAGCGAAGCCTCTGCACTCCAGCGGGAAGGTGTAGCCGCCTGGGCGAAAACCCGTGCCAAGCGGTGGATCCAGACATTCGCATCTGGCAGGCTTTTAACCACGAAAGCGCATTGAGCCCTGGGGTTAGAAGTTTCTGCTTTCTGTGGTTAGGAGATTGTCTGTGAGCGGATTGGCCCAAAGTCGACACCTTTTGGTCACGCGAATCATCGCCCAATGTACAAAGCCGAAAAGCTTGGAAAGTGAGAGACATGGCATCAATGAACCGCAAAGACTAGCGGGCCCCTTTCTAGCGGCACGGCGAACAGAATGCGACTGGCAAGCCTCTCACACTGCGCACTGAGATCAAGCACTGGGTGCCATGAGGGTGAGAGTGCCGTGAGGTGGCATAGAAGTTGAGACACCTCATGCGTGCCAAGATCTCAGCCACACCAATGCTGACGCCCTGAGCCCCGAGCTGAGTCTGACCAATATGGGTGACAAACCACCCATAACTTTGGAGCTTGTTGAAATAGACAGCTCCTGGCACATCTTTGTGCTGCATGGAGGCGGGCAAATAGTGGGGCCCGACATCTTGGACGGTGCTTCAAGGGGTGCAAAAGGAAACTAACCATGGGGATCCCGATGCTTGACAACATCAGCTTCCGAGCTCGCGCTTTGATTTGCGCTCGGCTTAGAGTGCGAGCAACTTGATCAGCCCATTTGGGCGATCTCGGGGTCTGCCTGGCACGTTGGCTCTAGCCGCACATCTTGAAGTCCTTGGGCAAGCTCCTGGGGCGTCACTGGCTTTGCCTTGGGCTTGGGCTTGGCTTTGGATTTCGGCTCAGCCTTGGTCGCTTGGACTCCGTTGCTAAGCCAGGAAGACCACTTGGCTCGCTCCGCCTCCTCCTTCCTCTTCGCGGCTGCCTTGAGGTCCTGCAGGATGGGGCTGAGAAACCGCCACAAAGGACTCCTGGGACCTGTTTGAAGGACCTCCAACAAAGTGTGTAACTTCAGTAGGTGGTTGAGGGTCAGGACGGGTTGACGAGACATATCCAAGGGACCCTCTTGTGGGTTCCAACTTTACCTGGTTTGGATGTTATTTCAAAAATGCGGGGGGGGGGGGGGGGAGGGGGTAACCCAAGCAATCAAAGGGAATCCAGAAAGCCTTTGTTTTTTGGTGTTTGTTATTCCAAAGTTCGGGTGGCAACAGTCCTTAACGGATACGCACCGGGCCTCTCGGAGTGGAGATGTGTCGAAAAAGAAGCCCAACTTGCTTCAGGTTCCTTGTCAAACAACCCAAACACATACCCCGCAATGAAACAGTTGCACAGTCGGACTCGGAGACCCGTCCTGCTTGTCCTTTCCCCTCAAGCCGCTGGCCCACTTCTGTCGCTTCACCCGGCACTTGGGCAACGCCGTGTATTGCTCCAACAGTTTCTGCGTCTTACCCTCGGGGGTGATGTCATCCGTCCTCAGATCTGCCCAATTGTCGTGGATCTAAAACCATTCTACAAAGAGGCATCCGGAAGATCAATTTCCCCTAGGAACCCTTTGTCAGGTGCCATGTTAGTGGGAGGGAGGGCAAGCCAATCCTACTGGTACCAATTTTGTTCAGGATGAATCTCACCTAAACAGGACCTCAGAAGTTTTCCATTCATCTATGTGTGACTCATACCGACGGCTCCAGGAATTGGTGGGCTCACTGGCCGCCCGCAGCTAATTCACTGACACAAACTCCTATATTGTGCCAACTGGAATTCATACAGGACACATCCCAGTAGAAGTGAGCTTGTTTCACGCCCCGAGCTAAGCTCGCCAACGCTACCGTCGGATCTGGATGATCATGCCAATCTAAGGAATCTCCTAAGAGAAGTTCTCACAAGGCGAACTACCCCTCAGTACGGTCCTCTGTTTTAACTCCCAGACACTTCTGCGATTCCGCTGAGCCCTATTGCACCAAGCCACAGCATCTTCAAGAGACCCGCGCCGGAGCCCACTCCCTGGATTGCATGCCGATATCTTCGGGTGATCGGTTTGACTGGTCGAACCCCTTTGAGGTGCTTCCACTTTGAGGGGTCTTCCGAAATTGCCCAGGGATGATGTCCAAAATTAAAATGCTGCTGGCTCTTGGCCAAGATGATTCTCAAGGTTGATTTCAAGGACGCTTAAGTGCTTTTGCGTCTGGAATGCACAGCCACTGTGAAACTCTCAAGGCTAAAGCAACATCCAAGACACAAAACCCCCAAACCACCCAAAACCATGTCTTCTTTCGGGTGATCCATGTAAGAACCCTCAATTTCTCGCATTCATTCAATGTTCTTTTGGGTCAGCCCGCACTTTGGCCTCCAAGCCGCCAAAACGCGAAATCAGCCCACCGGTTCCGCGCCTTCCACTCGGAGGGCACATAATTCCGGCCTGGCTGCGGACATCTGAGCTGCGCTTGGCGCTTGGAGCCCGGAGTTGGGGCGGTTTTCACCCGCATCGGCGCCTGCAGCTGCTGCTTGGAGTACCCACTCCTGGCTCCAGCGGTAAGCCCACAAGTGGATGTGGCTATATCCTTTTTGGGGGGGCAACCACAAAATGGTGGGTTCTCCTTGTGCTTTCGGTTGACCTGCAAGGTTGATGAAATAAGTACCATGTTCGAAAGAGGATCCTTCTGCAGATTCCGCTTTTGGGAGGGACCCTCAAGACCGCTATGGCTAAGTTGTGTCTTTGAAGGCTGGCAGCTTACACAGCACTAAGGTCCCTTGGTGCCTGGAGTCTCCCAAAAAGGGGCTATGAGTTCTTAATTGTGGGTAATATGACTTCATTCTTGGAGAGCATGGCGACTCCAGGCACCTTCTAAGTCCTTCTCGGGAAATAGTTTGACCCCCTTTTACCCCTCAAAAACCGTCAACACCGACAACTTTGGAAGTGCTTAGAGATTTCAGGGCGCCATCCTTTGCCCATGAAAAAATGGTGCGACCAGATTCCGATAAACATCTAAAACCAGAAGATTCTGATCTACGTCTAATAAACATCAAAACATGAGATCAGATTCTCAGCGGGGATCCCGGTGAATATGTTGGGAACATAGTCCGCACTCAACTAGTCATCGCTCTTCCAACGTTGGCCCTGGTTCTGCACATGACATGCCGAGTTTGAGTGCTCGTGGCCCTCAAGTTCGGAAGCTCCTTCCGCCCTCCACTAGCTCCTCCCTCTCCCGCTCTTTCGCCAGCTGCTCATCGTAGGCTTCCCGCTTCTTCTGGTCAAAGAGCACGGCGTAGGCCTTGCTCAGCTCGTCGAAGCGGTCCTTGTCGCCGCCCTTGTCTGGATGCTCCTCTAGGGCTCTTTGCCGGTATGCTCGGACGATGTCATCCTGCGACGCATCTTCGTCCAGCCCCAAAACCTCATAAAGGCTTTGGTCGCCCGGAGGCACGTCCGCCATGCTATGTACAAGCAGCCCCCAACTACAGGACTTAAAACCCCTGGGCCGTAATGCTGGCGGGACACAATGGGCAAGCTGGGCAAGGAGTCGAAACTGCCGGGCAGCTGGCTGTATCGTTACACACGACCAATCTTTGGCACTCACCAAAGGCCACCAACTTTAGCCGAGTGTTAAGACGAGAAACGCATGCCATGTGTTCATCGGTTGCACGATAAAAGTTTCTAGTTCCACGCCGAGTCCTGAAGACCCAGAACCGGCCGCATCCACTCGCTCAAAGTGCGCATTTGCTCACAGCCACCTGCGCCAGTGATGGGCTGCCCCAACCCCGGAAGTGTCGCAAATTATCAATTTAGGGGCAGGCCGAAGGCTGCTTTTATGTTGGATTCCGGTGACTAGCCTGTCACAAACCATCAAATCAAAAGCAGAAAGACGATGATGATGCATTCCCTCGACACCCAAAGCTTGCTTGGACTGACCAACCTGCCCTTCCCCAACTGATCAGACGAAAAACCCGTGCGCCTTCCTCAAACAGGCCGATGCACAAGCGCCACGCCTGACAGCTAAGAGGAAAACCCGCACCTGTGGGACCTACAGGTCGTCCTTTTTCTCGTTGAAGGTGAACCTCCTTCTTGAAATATGGGCCACTGGCTTAAAGTATGGGTGTGTTGCCACAAAACCGCGGCTGTTTGCCTCAATAGCATACAAAGGCCCACAAAAAGGATCATTTTTTAAGGGACCACTGCGTGCATGGGATTTGGACCCCCCAAAATGGTGCGGCCGTTTGGTTGCCGTTTCAGCCAACCTGAAAAGGGTACCCTAAACACACCCCATGCTAGTAAAGTGAGCTGGGCGTAGCAGTTCTGGGACGAAGCAAATGACTCCAGGACAGGGTAGTCACCATCACGACCACGGCAAATATCGCAAGCGCATCAATGACATGCAACCCAATGAGCCTCATATGTAGCCCTTTTCTAAATGCGAAAATCTCTGCTCCCATGCCCCTCCCAGTTTCAGAGCCTGCAAACATGGGTCGCCTCGGCAAGGCCTCATCATTATCATGCATGAAGCACTCCACATTTCATGGCGATTCACGTGCTATGTCAGAGTCACTTGTTGTGTGTTGGTTGGGTTGGTTCTCAAACTTAACAACCCGTCAGAATACATGTCAGGTCCCCCATTCCGACACAAATCCAGTTCCACCTATCTAGGCCCCAAACGGTGTCCAATACCTCCCAAACCATTGCCCCGAGAGGATCTGGGAGGTACAACCACTGTACATTTAGTATAATCATACGCACACATAGACATTTTCTGGGCCAAATTTGGGGCAGATTGTCCAAGACATTGGTGAAACCCCAAGGCCCGGTCTGCCCGGCCCGTCCAAAATGGCGGGTGGGCAAAGGAAGGTTCGTGGACAACAGCCTGCCCCCCTTGGGACGGATGAAACTCTAATGGGATAAACCAGCTACCAACTGGTGCAGGGTTCTGTCCAACCACAGTATTGCAGAAGTGAGACCAAAAAAAGGGCCAGCGCAAGTTTTCCCGACGGTGTGGCTTCCACGCCTGATTGGCAGCTTCTGAGTTGCCAGGAATGCGATTCCGCACCTGGCAAAACAACTCTCCCCGAACGGCTTTCGGCCTCGAATGCACACGACTCAACCGTTGATCGAGTCTAGGCCTAATTGGAACCTTATTTTCTAAACGTCCTGCCAAAGGGTGTTTCTGAACTTCTTGTTGCTTACGGGTTCGATGTCTTTTCCGTGGCAAGCGGGCATGGTAAATGCTCGCTTTGCCGTGATCAAGGATGGCATGCGTTTGGAATACTTCAACAAATCCTGATGCGGAAACGTAATACCTGATAAGTCATGTCACCATTGAGCAATCCGCAGCAAACGTTCCAAAGCAGTATACCAAAGCGCAACAAAGCTGACATACTCCCACTGCCTCGCCACCGCTCAGACAGTGCCACGTTTGCATGTCGGCACATTAATTGAAACCTGTGTTTGCTGCGTGCGAAAAGGAATAGAAACCAACCGCGCGAGTGGAGGGCCCGGCTCGTCTTGCCCCATGTCCCACGTCCATGCCATTTGCTTTTCGCACGGCGGCGCCTCAACTTGGAAAGACTGGGTATAGCTCGGCTGCCAGACCGCTCCGACCTGAAGCTCAGGCTTCGGACGCGAGCTCACCCAAGGCATTCTCTTCAACCTGCTTCGAATCCCCTGCAACAAGATACTGACAGGAAGTGACTTCGGCACTTCATTAAAGTGTCATCAAAATAACCCTCGCAATGGTTCAAGCACGCCTCCATGTCGGCATAGTTCCCCACGCCGCGGCAGGCTGCGATCTGCTGTCCAATCAATTTGGCCTCGAGGCATCAGGACCGGTCAAGGGTGCGCCACCCATGTCCCAGGCCCTGGCTGCTTTCTAAACGGGATTCATTTGTGCATGCCTCCTGAATGATCATCGTATGTACTGCTTCCCCTTGGGGTTGAATGCCAGTAACAAATACGGGGCCGTTTCTGCAAATCTCTGTAGATCAGGACTCCTTAGATTTCTAACCCGCACGCCTCACCAAAAGAAACAACATGCTAAGAACGGCTCTTCCAAAAGCTGATGCTCACAATCTTCAAACCATCCAAAAGGGACATCTCATGAAATAGCCTGCCCACACAGACTCCGCAACCCCAACAAAAACAACAAATACAAAAAACAAAAACAGCTACTTGGACAGCACGTGGGGTTTTGGAAAAAAGGCTGTCGTAGGGTGCTGGAAGCTGGGAGTTGTGCCCCGAAGGCTGCATGGTCTGGCGGATCGCGGACGCGGCACAATGCCTGGCACCCACAACGAGGGGAAGGTGGCTCAGGTGGTGAAGTAATGCGAAATGAAACAACTAAATCAATCCACCCTTCGCCAACCAAATTCCACACTAAAGCCGCCACCCTGAGTCAACCCACCCTAAGCAGACCTTTGGAAGATAGGGGGTCCAATGCCCCTCCTGTTTCATGCAACATATGGATGCGAAGACCTGAAATCTCCACGCGCTTGTGCTCAGGCTCAACTCAAGTTGATCAAACGACAAACTCTTCCGCTCGTAGGCCTCAAAGACAGAGCCAGGCTCCGCAAAAAGCCGCATGACCTGCGCAAGCCCGCGGTGTGCTCCTGCATGAAATCGGACATGTTGCGAGCTTTGAAGTTGGGGATTGCCTTGCTCAGCATGGATTCAGGAATTATAGCCAACACTTCAGCGTGCCAACATGTGGAAAGAGGTTGCCACAGAATGTGTTATATGTTTTTGCCCAAATCACCCCTGTTGGTGCTCTCAAGTACCCTCTCAATACCCTCTGACCGTAAAGCGTATTTCTGGGCACAGGGCAGTCCAGTGGCTCAAGTCACAGGAAAAGCCACACGAGACATCTGGCTTGCCGCTTTTTGCGTTTTGCCCACCGCCGGCACGCATTGCAGTGCATAATACCCGGAAATGGCGGGGCTCCAGCCTAGCGAATCCCTTGTTGTGCCAAAACGGGAAAGGGCACAAAGGCAAGCCCCATGACTATCTATCCGACGAGGCAATTGACAGGCACCTGGCCCGACTTGGTGGGCACTGCCACCCGGAAAGCCACGGTGACCCACTGCTGCAAACCCGCGCGCAGGTCCTGCGAACGGGTGTCTTGTCCGACAGCCAGGTCGCAATGACAGAGGTGCGCCTTTCAATACGTCTGCCCTAGGGGCACGTGCCCAGTCTTTCGAAAGGAAACTCGCTTGATAAAGATTGGATTCCAGAGTGCAAAATCTGGCTCCCCCAATTCCATGTGTGAGGTGCTGGGGACGTTAACACAAAGGGGTCCATCACCGATGCTGCTGGGCATTTGTGTAGTTTCTGAGTAATCCGCAGTTTTCACGAGCACTGTGCCCAGATTGGCACAATGCCCGGACATACAAAAGATGCCTGTGCAGAAAGCATGAGCTGCCATTGAAGTCAAAAATGCATGTGCTTGCTACGGCAAGTACGACATAATGCCTGCAGGCATGGTTGCAAATTGGCAAAACCCCGTGAAACAGATTTATTTCATCGGCGCTTCTCTTCAACAAATCCCCAGTTTCACGGGGGTTTGCCCTGGAACTCTAACTTCGTGAGTCTATGTCCCTCCAAAATGGATCGAATATGTCGTGAAGCAGAAGCAAACAAACGTAACGAGTGGCTGTAACCACTTTGCCATTATGCATCCCTCGCCTGGCCAGTCGATGGCCCGCCATCCATGAGCACCTGCCGAATGTTTGGGAATGCAGGCTGACACGGGCTTGGTTTTGAAGGTGCCCTTGTGCACAAGGTAAGCCACAAAAGGGGAGTCCCAGGTTGAGGCAACACCCATCACACCCAGCTACGCCATTGGTGTGGGTGGGCATGTGCCAAAACTTCAGAGAACACCTAGAGTAGGTGGTTTTCTTGCTGGTTCCCGTTGAAACATCTTGAAACCCAGCTTCCCTTTTGAGCTGTCCAAATATAGAGGGGTCCCCGTTCTAGCACACACCCAGAAGCGCCACGTTCAAAATGTCCCTTTGCATTCGGGTAGGGACAACGGTAACAACGGGGTTGGATATTTTGACCATGGCACATGGGCCAGTCGGAAGCCACCATCTCGCAATCCGCCTCAAAGCCTTTTGCTGCCAACATTTTGGTTGGTTTGCCTTTAAGCACCATCCAAGAAAGGCACTCCAAGTAAAGGACACTCTCACCTGTGGCTTTCTTAGGGAATTGCAGGTGTTAACATTAAGATTAGCAGCAAGCAGGACCTGTCGTTGAAAGTGATTCCCGGCACGCACTCACTGTGGAAGGTCTTAAAGCGGGAAACCTATGGCATCCAGGAAGGCCTGGAAAAACCTATGGAAACCTGAACAATATTGGGGCAACCTAGGAAAACCTGAAAAGAAAGGAAAACCCCAGGGCAGCAAACAAAAAACCAAGCGAAACCTGCTTTAGGGCCGGCGCCCCGTAGGGCAGCTCGTCACCGATCCGAAAGCCAGGCACTGAGGTTGGGCCATCCAACGCCTGCGGCCGAGGCGTCGGCGACGGTTCTCTTCGCAATTTTCCGCTGGCAAACCTGGATAAGGCTTAAGGCTTGGGTTTTGAGGGCAAGTTGGCAAAAAGGGACGCCAAAAACACAACGAATACATATTCTTGGGGTTCAAATTTCTACGGCCCTTTGCTGCAGACGGTGGCTATCTCCCCTGGGAACATTGCCCACGGCGATATTAAGCCTTCCAGGGTCCAGTCAGCTTACAGTATATGCGAGGACACCCTTTATGGGGGTTTACAGGAAACCTGCCAACATCAAATCCAGGAACTCAGGAGGTGAGGTATCCTCCTACGCAAAGCATGCATCCAGCTGCGCCAGTATAACGGAGACAATGGAAGGTCTGGGAAAAGCAAGAAGACTGGTATATTTACGTCGTGTAAGTTCGCATCAAGAACACATCAGATTCCAGCCAGGACTCACTTCCAATGTTCGCCAAATGCTCTAATGCGTGTTTTGCTCGTGCCATGCCAGCGAATGCATCGCGTGAGACCCACAGCGCGGCATCTCTCTTTCAGGCCATGACAGCCTAAAATTTGCAGGAAATAATGGTGGCTTCACTCAGACTAAAGCGACCCAAACGCAAGGCATCAACATGAACCAGGCGTCATTGAAAATCCTGTGGCTCAAGCCCAAGGCTGCGGAGAGCTCACACTGTTATATGATGCTATATGAGCCACAAAAAAGTTTCAAACAGCCGGATCTTTGGACGACTGCATAGACCACTTGAAATAGACCACCATAAAATGAAACAAGGACAACCATGGAATAAACGACGTCGGATCGAGCGATACGTTCATAGTGTCCGACGCAGCCTGCTCCGCATCTCTGGTCTCCAGCTGCCAAATGTTCAGGCGCAAAGCCTGCGAATGGCGTCGAGTCAACGCCTTCTGTAACGAGTTCCCTATGTTTGCCGTTTCCAAACTTGTGAGCAAGGGGCCTTTGAGGGTACCTATATCTCAGTTACCGATAAGCTTCCATTTGTTCCCTTCAGACATCCACCCACCAAGAGGAAACTTTGAAGCAGTCTCAGAGAAGTTCCTCTCCTGCGCATCTTGGGTACCAGCTTTATGGAAACAGCGCGGCCGCTCCCTTTCGCGGGCGTCCGAGTGTGGCCCTTTTGCCACCCGTCTTGGACAAAACTCTTAGAGTAAAAATCATACCTTTTACACGAACAAGGCTCTCTCGCAAGAACACCCCTGGCCATTTGCAGAGGACGTCGTCGCCAGCGAACGAGCAAATTTGCAAACTGTACACCCAAAATTGTCTGCACGAGCAGAACAACAGACCCACCTGCTTTTAGACTTGCGCTCAAAAGACAACGACCCGTCTTCGTGCCTCCCAGGATTGCTCCACGGGATTAATGACCGAGTAGAGAGACACAAAGTAAGAGCTGTCAGCAGTCAGGCCTGTCGAAAGAGAAGAAGCTCACGTGCGATGGGCAAGACTCACTCAGTGGAAAGGGGCGTGTCTCTTTTACAGGGTACCCCTTTTTGGCGTGGCTTTGAAGGGAACACAAACTTGCTTCTCTTTTTGTTGTCGGGGGAGGGGGCTATTTTGAGCAGGATAATGAGAAAGAAAAAGGTCATGGTTTCCATCCAAATGGGATGGTTGACAATCTAGCCCGGTTGACCATTACACATTGAAGGAGGGAGGTCTGTTTGCGCAGGGCCACCTGCCTGATGTTCAACCTGCCTCTCACGGGATTCTTCCTAGCCAGTGGCTTAGACATCGAGAGACTGGATGGACTTCTCTTGACCAGCTTCCCAAACAGCGGCACGCTGCCGCTGCGGAACACAGCAAATGGACCAACGGGTTTGCTGAACATGCGGCCATTTCCTTCTGGCTTCCTTTCCAAAGCAAAACGTTCCTCAAATTAGAAAAATAAAACACAAAAACTTGTTGGACCGCAGTTCAAGCAACGCCACCCATGACATACCGGGCGACATCGCAGCCTATGTGCGAGGCAGGTGGTCGTGTGTGGGTAAGCTCCCGCCTTCCAAAAGCCGCACCTGAGCTTCCCGGGAGCTCATGACCTGGCCCGAAGGAGCCTTTTGAAGCACCGAAACAAGGATCACGTTCAACCGCAATCCTGTGCTTTCAATTGAAAAGTATGTTGTGACTTTTGCCTTCTGTGTGCATTTGTTATCATTTGTTCATTTGCTTGTTGGGTTGTCCGTTTGCTTGTTTGTTTTGCTTGCTTGGTCGTTTGCATGTCAAAAAGCTTTGGATGTAGTGGCTTGCCCAGGCCAAGAGACTTCTTCCACCCCCCCCCGGCTTCATTGACGCGCCCTCCTGCGCCCTGACGCGCCACGGGCCTGGCATCTTGCTGCAACCTGGGGCACACGGCATGTTTGAGTGAGGGGCTCCGGGATCCGCGAGCCATCATCCAGGTCGCCAAAGGAGGCTCTGCGACGCAAACAGAATCCAGAGCTGAACCCGCGGCACACCCTTTTTGTGGATCAAATATATGCGGAGCCAAGCATCATCCGGCCATAGCTATGGGTTCATGGGTTCATATACCCAGCTTTGGATATCTGGACTCTGGTGGGAGCCACTCATGTCTGTCAAACCCCAATCGGCTAGCCAAGCGAAACCGGGCGGCTTCCACAAAGGCGGCAGCGTTGACTTCACCACCATGTCAAGGACTTCGTAGTTCCAGCCCATACGTTAGCCCTGATACCCGCGTCTTGTTCAAGCACATCTTCTATCTTTGGCCCCAGGGTTTCAGCCAAGACCATGCTCAGGCAGGACAACTATCTGAGCTCTAGAGCCCCACATCCCGTTTAAGGGGAACCCCATAGGGACTATAGTTCACCTTGTATCTACAATGCCCATTGTCTCTTGCTTCATTCATGGGGAGTAGGGATACCTCTACACACATTTCTTGTACTAGTTTAACACCCGCTTCAGGTCGGATTGTAAGCCTCCGCTGCGAACAGGGTTGCTCTCAAGACCACATCGGCCCGAGAGTAGGAAGTTGGTGTCTAGTGAAGGGACACTAAAAGAAACCTCACCTATTGTCTACCTTTGTGATTTAATCATCATTTAAAAAACGAGCAAACCACCAGGATAGAAAACTGGCATCCTTCAGTTTCACTTTACCGACGGCTAGGAGCAATCCAACTAGGGCTGCCTGGGCTCTCACAGCTCACAGCTCTCAGCTCAGGGCGACGTTGCCATCTGCGAGCAGCTCGGAAGTGCCTCAGAGCCCATGACGCCGTCGGAGGGCTTCCAATGTGAGTCGTCGAACCCATGGACGAGAGTCACCCTGGCTGTTGCGGGAGAAATCAGAAGTCCCCTGACTTGACCAAATACGCGAAGCTTTGGGAAAACAAACGCGTTCAACCAACTTGCGGTCATTTCCCTGCAAGCCAATTCAGGTGGAAAGCAACACGCCACATGTGGAGGAACCCCTCTTCTTGGGGACCCCCCTTTGCTGACCAGCTGCAAGGCTCCTGGAGCTGGAAATCTTCCGGACTGCGGATCACCAAAGCGCCCCCTGCCGGTACCGCCTGGTAGGTCCTGCACCCGAAGCGAGGGCTGCCGTTGACGTCCCGCCCTGTGGACGGCGTTTACATTGGGAGCTATGTCCACCAACCATGTTTGAGATGTGCGGCCTACAAATCCTAGCCACAAAACGCCGGCAAATCAAAGAGGAACGGGAAACTGCTGTCCTCCAGTTTGACATTTGTCAGTGACTAAGCACTGGAAGGCAACAGAAACTTCAAGGGAACCCAGTTGATTGATAAGCCTTCGGTTGACAGATGAAGGTTGCAACCCAGCTTAGAAAGGATCGGGAAAAACACTCCCGTGACGACCCGACAATATGATGCATCTGCGGCATTGTGGGAAGGGGTACCAAAATGGTTGGACTGGACAATATGCTACACGTCGATGAGACAAAGATTGAGATTGCAGTTTAAATCGTGGTACACAGTCGACAATGCTCCGAACAACACTTCTTGTAACTGAAAGAACAGAGTACCAGGCATGGTCCTGCTTCACGATGAACATCGTTTTGCTTGCGATAGAAATAGAAGTGTTCTTGCATTGTTGAAGGGGCTAGACGCACATTGAGTTTGGGTCGTATCAAACTTCGTATGGAAAGCATCCCGACTGCAAAACCCGAATGCTGCCTGCTGCATGAGGCTGAGGACTTGGTTCCGGTAAAGAGCCCTCGCAAAAGAAGCCGATGCAGGTTGGTGATACTCGATGTTTGTCCTTGTCTCTTCGCATTCCCCAATGCCCCCGTAGAGCCTCAAGGAAATGGAGGCTCAGACCCTTGCTGGTCCGTGGGAACTTGATGGAAGCCAGGCCCGTAGCCAAGTGTTTTCCCTTCAGGCGTATTGTGGGTTGGACTTTACTCCTGTCAAACAGTTGTTCACTTCGGGCTGGCAAACAGCCACCTTCCGCACAGAGCAATCAAGGATTCAACATGCGGATGCTGCCACATGCACCATTGTCATGAAAGTAGATGGTACAATTCCCAATAGATGTAGGTACGTAAAGAGGATGACCAAACTCAAATGGGTTGGAATGATGCCATGACCCTACAATACTCAAAATGGAGGTTCTACAAAAAAAGGGAGTCTAGGTCCTCCAGTAGAGAGGGTTAGAATAAGGGTACTCTTTTTTTCTGTAGTCTATTTTAGTAGTGGACTACTGGGGGACCTAGGAGGTTGCACCGGAAATGTGTTGGACAACCATCTGCTTTCACCCCTCTGCCTCAAGCGGCTTCCGCGGCTGACGAGTCCTGAAGCTCAGAGACACTGGGCCGCTGCTGGCCCTCACAGAGCTCCAGGGCTCGATGCTGGCCCTTAGCCGGCGAGGCTTCGGTTCAGAGGCGATGAGGCAACCTGTGCGTTTTGTTTCACATGGGGGCCCCACATGGGGGCCCCACATGGCTTCCCCTGGACTGGCACCATGACAATCGGCTAACAGAAGGAATAACGCAAACTCAGTCAAGAACCCGGCTGAAGCAACGAACGTCACTACGTGGCACCGCGATTTCAGGGCTCAGGACTGCCGCAAAATTCTGCCAGCCATGGCAGTTCCCCTCGTCTTGCAGGGTCTTCCGGGCCATTCACTGCACAAAAACCGGCCGCAAAAGCTCATTTAAGCTACTCGCAACTACACAGCCCTTACATGAAGTGTATAGACGCTGCACTACGCTACATTCCACTGTGTTACACTGGTGCCACTTGCAAAGGACGATCACAGTAGAAATGGCGGTTCGTTGAACAGTCTGAAGTGCAGAATGGCTACAGTTTCTGGAAGTCATCTTTCAACAAGCGTCCCGACATGCTGCTGCCATCAGAGCATGAAGGGCTTTAGCCAACAAAAAGCGGCGGCTTGACAGCTGACATCAACGTGAGCTGTCTTTTTGGTTTTCTAACTTTCTGCAAAGGCTCCATTCGCAAAGATTCCCAAATAGCGGTTCCTTCATTGAACAAGGGCCTTTCCAAGAAACTGCCTGAGCTCATGGGTTGATGACCCTCACCAAAACATTCGAAAAACCGGGTCACTTCAGGTGTCTTGCCCATAGTCTGCAAATAAATAAAATCGGCGCCCACAACTTGTGTCAACTTCATCAACTCAGAACATTGATGAATTCCACGTGCTTAAGTCCCCTGTTGTTGCTTTTTCAGTAGTGATAGATTCCCTCTAGTTCCAACTGGAAAAATAACACATGCTCTTAAGCAAGTGGAAAATGATGGCCTGGTGGTTGACTTAGACAACCAATGCAATTGAGCCAACGCATGCCAGGGCACTCCGTCAACAGCCTCAGCTGGAAGGCCTGCATCGTGTGAGTGGGGATGTGCCCCCATTCAAGGGTCGGGCTGGAGAACCTTGGGGTCTGGGAAATTTGCAGGATAAGCCCATAAGCCCTTTGCAAGTCCGGGGAACGATTGCATGTGCCAGTGGTATGGGCCTTTGATGTGCCTTCACTATATATATATATGTATATATGTATATATATATATATTTACACATGTGTATCTTTGTTACTTTGCATCACACGCACGCACACAGCTGGTCTGTATGACTTGCTGTCAGATCGTGGACTCTTGGGCGGGTCTAGCAGGGGATCCCAAGATGAGGTCATGATAACCTCTAGCATGAGACCTTTGTGAGCCAGCCATGGCGCCCCCCACAGATTGCCCCTAAACTTTCTTGAGTTGTCTCTGCCACCAGGGAAAAAGAGCAGGACATGCAGCAAATGCTCTCCAACTGAACAGACCGGAAAGAGTAATCAACATAAATCAGCTGGGTGGTGCTGCAAACGCATTCTAGCACGGGCACGCGACAGTGCGACATATCTGCCAAACGCCGGATACATGGTGTCAATCTCCAAGGGGCACCGAATATATCAAAGCTGCATAACATGACTCAAACACTTTCCCGGGCTATAGGCCCTGCTGTCCGCGTCTTAATGGTCGCCTGTGATTGCTATGTATAGCTCCGGAAGCAATCCCAAGTCGTAAACACCACATTGAAAAGCCACTAAGCCCCCCAGCCCCCCTGATCAGCAAATTCAATCACCTCCCTCACATTCCAAAGCAAACAGCTCTACAAAGAGCACATGCCGCATAGAAACAGAACTCCTGCCAATACTCGTGTCTTCTGAACATGACATCTGCCCAAAGCAATCCCAAGGAGCAGCACGGCTCTTAGAAAGAGCAAATGACTGGCTCGGTGATGCTTAAGCGATAGGATAAAGACAGATATCCTGACACGCCACCCTTTTTGGAAGTCGAGTCTTCCAAAGGAAACCTTGTCCAAAACAACGAGAAGCATGGCGCGACTAGAGGTCTGGGCCCCATGGGCCCAGAACCCCGTCTGAGGTCCGCTTGCTCGCCTGCAAGCTGCCCGTCTCGAAGCGTTGCCCCAGAGCCCCCGCGTCGGGGCCAAAGGTCTCCAAGGTCCAAACGTAGTCCTGCCACTGCGAGCTGGACAAAAACCGGGCTGAAGCCATGGTGAGATATGGCTGTGGCTTTAAAAAAAACAGTACCAAAATGGAACCCTGGCAAGTGGAAACATGGACCAAAACCTGCGTAACCCCTGCTGTTTAATTTTGAGCCACACCCATATCCTTTTTCCTCTTCTTTTTCTGGAGGGAGAGAGTTCTAAAGGGAACTAGCCATGACATGACATGGTTCTGTTGGTCGGAGACTTCAAACAAAAACGGCCGCCTCTTCAAGCGGAGCACAACTTGGAGACACATCTAGCTGCCATGGATTCCAATGTTGTTGCTAGTTGCCGGTATGGGATATGGTTTGCAAAGAAGGCTGCTTCCAGCCGCAGGCATGGATCCCGATGCACGGAATAGCAAGTGGGATTATTCCATATCACGCTGAGAACATGCAAGTCATGTGGGAGGCTGACCATAGAGGGGTTTGCCTCGAAATAGCCAACAAATTGTTTGCTCCCTCTTGGTTTTCACGCAAACCAGCCATATGGCAAGCCCAGAGTCTTTTTTGAGGAAACATGGGGAGGGAAAAAGGAGTGGCACGGGCTAACGGGACATGAGGACTGTGATCAGAAGTGAAGCGAGGTGCCAACTGGTGGCAGTGGATTTGTGTACAGCCAAGCAACAATGAACCATAAACAAAATGCTGAACAATGAACGACATGGTAAGAACACGAACAACACCCTCATGTAGCCAATCAGCCAGCAGCCTCTTTCCTTCGTTGTTCGACATTCAAGAAAAGAGCAAACACACACTGAGCAGGACATGCAAGGCGCAAAGTGTTTATCGGCCATCAAGCCTTGGAACCTGACGACTTAGTTGCATTGGCTTCCCTTCAAAACCAAGCAACGTGGGCTTGCCCAAGAACCCCACAAACCCAGCTGGCTGTGGGTCAACAATGGGTACCCAACATGGAACCCTGGTACATGGAACCTATGGCAAAAACAGGCGGTGCCCTGGTAGTTTAATTTTGACCCAGAAACCCCTCTGAAACTGTGGCAAAACGCCCGCGATGTTTGGTCCGGGGGCGGCTGCAATGGAGTCCGGACGCGGGCTTCGAAGCCATAGGCGACCGAGGGCCTGGTGGCTTCGCGCAAAAACGGGCGCCGCGAAAAAACGGGGGGGGGGGGGGCAAATCCAAGGGGTGCGGATTTATGTTGGGAATTTGTTGCTATATATATAATATGTGTATATATATATATAGAGAAAGTCCGCCAAACTCAAGTCAGTGCAAGTCACCTGCCAGTCACTGGGCTTGTGCTTGAAGGGAAACAAACGGAGGCCAACCAGCTTCAAGGATAATGGGTCTGTCTCAAAAGGACGGCATGCACTACCGTACTACCGTTTAGCTGATTGGTGGAGAATCCCTCATTCTCCAAAACCAGCATCGTATTACTTGGGTCGAAACCAAAGATCAACCATCTGATCGTCAACTTGCGCTGAACCCTGAGAACCTTCACAAGGTTGCTAGGCTATCCTTCAAAGGATCTGCAAATGCAGAGGCGATCTACCAGGGGGGGGGGGCATTGGACTGGCCAACTGGCTACTGTGGGGTCAACCCCCTCCGCCAATTCCATTGGTAAGGGCTGGCATCATTTGAGCGTCTGAAAGTCAAATTACCCCCTCCCCACCACCAAAAGAAGAGAGATTGGCTTTTGTCTTCTCCTTGAAACCGCTCGAACAGGTACCATGCTACCGTGCCAGTACCGTCCAAAAAGAACGGGAATTTGTGCAAACCTCCCTCTGGGAGCAAACCCTCGCTGGGAGCCCCAAACTCCATGGCACCAGAGATCCGCATCTGCAGCTCGCGTGCGGTGCCATCCGCCTCTGGCGCCTGGCCCGGTCCAGCCCCGCCCTGCGTTTTGCCAGGTTAAACTTGTGTGGCTTTGAGGGTACCCTGTTCACAGGGAAAGCACCATTTGTGGGGGGTATCAGTATCCCCTACTTTGACACCTACTCAAATGGGTTTGTCTTTGAGGGGACCCTCGAAAGAGATGGTCCCGTTAGTCTCCCTTTTTTCCCAACCGCGAACAGGTTTTGACAAACCCGAAGTAACATTTGATGTAAGGGGCTAATAAATTACTCATCCACATTATTCTCTTCTGACCCTGACTTAATTTGACTTTAAACTTAAATGACAAGAACGGCTAGGGGTAGCAGCTGTTGAAGTTGATGTCAAGTCGGTTTTGGCTGACTTTTCAACTGGTTTGCAGCTCGTCTTGGCGCATTGCCTTCGCGAACCACGCACCAGCTTCCACCCGAATCCAGATTGAAGCAACATTACCGGCCTCAAACAAACCAACAAGCGATGAACGGAGCCCCGGACATCCCCGGACCCACCAACAAACGACTTAGCACCCCTACTTGCACGGGGAGGTCGGCATCAACGTCGAAAGCAAGACCTGGGCTGGCAGAGTTGTTCGAGTGCATTTGCTACTGCTAGAACTTGGTTGTCTTTGATGACACCAACCCCTGTCTTTTGCAAGAGCACCTGCAAACTGGTTGAACACCCCCGTCGATTGCAGCCACCACTTTAGACTTAGACCACTCAGGAAGGACAATATGGAAACGTGTTCCAGGACGGACAGTCGGGTTCTGGGCGTACGCATTGGTTCTTGGTGCTGCCTCTTGCCAGGGTCCTGAACAGATCCACCACCCCCATCCCCAACTGGGAAAACAACTCCCTCCCCTCCATACATCATTTCCCTTACTTGTACCCACAAAGGGACAATGTATTTCTGCAAAGTTTCCTAGAATCCCAAAACCTGAATTAAGGGAGCCTCAAGTAAAGGACCTTTATCATGGTGAGCTCGTGATAGCAGGTGAGCTCGCTACAATGTATGCGAAAGAGCTCCTTATTTGCAGGGTTACGCCCTCCGCCTTCTTCCATACATCGGTTGCCTGGTTTTCGGACGGTCCGCAATGTGTCGACATCGAGGCCGCCGCGGTGCAAGAACTCGGTGGCTTGGAAGTCCCAGAAGAAGCTGGGGGGAGATGTCACCTCAAAGTGACAAAAGGCGCCGGCCCGTAGTAGACCTGAAAAAAACACTGCATCCAAGGGAAAACGAAGGGAGATCGCTCTATTTGCGATACTGAGATAGTGTGGCTAGATACTATGCCCCATTTGCGGGTGTCCGGACATTCTTCGTGAACCGCGCGAAACCAGGACCCATGCACATGCAGTTTGTCAGTCCGGCAAGAAGCATGTCGTACACTTTCAGGACCTCTCTTCCCAAGCGGAAACAATTCGATTCGTACCATGCAGGTTAGACCTTCAATGCCGCCGTGTGGACGCTCCGAGTCGCAATCAAGACCTAAAGGCGTCTACCCCAAAATCCCAAAATATGCGAATTCCACAGTTGGACTTCCCAACTTCAGCTGGCCAGGTCTTGCGGTCTTGATTGCTCTGCCAAGCCGGGGGCTTTCACAAAGTCTCCAGGCTGCAATGCCATGCCCAGGGTGACGTAGACCTCACCGCTCACGAGTGAGGCCCGAAAATCGAGCGGAAAACGAGGGAAAACCCTTCTATAATCTTCCGCTTAAGCCGGAGGGGCTCATGGAACCGAAATAGACCGCATATGTGCAAGGCGACTCAGTCAATGTCGTGTTTCAGTTTCATCTCCATTTGCTGCCTCTGGCTGACTTACAATGCGTGTCTCGTGTCTCTGCAAGCAAGCAAAACTGTGGCTCGAACCCGCACTGCTGAACTGATGCCAGCCTGAGCACTCGCAACCACGGCTTGCTTTGCGTCATATGTTGGCAACTGTCTTGGGCTCATGAGTCACTCTCATCCACGCCCCAGTACCCAATGCCGTCATTCATTCTGGACTCCGGACGGCTTCCTGAAATGAGTACTTGCCCAAACCCACTTGTCATGCTTCTAGACTGGCGTGGTTGTTGTCGTGCTTTCATACAGGTGGTAAGGTTGACAAGTGTCCTGCAAACAGGAATCAGTGTTTTGCTTGCAAGACAACACTTAACAACAATAAACGGCTGGCTCAACCAATCTCTCAACTGGAGCACACCACCTCCTGACATTCACATCTCAGCAGCCCGCGCTAGCATCCTGAATCGCCACGTTAAAATTTGTCACCGAGTTGGCATAGAGCGGCAGCCAAACCGACTCCTGTGAGTGGCACTGGCACTGATTGCGCATGTTAGACATGAGATCGCATGCGATGTCTTGCGGTTGGGAAAACAAACCAGCGGGGACTGGGGTATAATATACATCTGTCCCTCGTCCTTACCGTTCCTGGTCCCCAACACATGTATTGCCAATGCTTGCGGCTCTCAGCCAGCCGGTCCTGGGTGCTCACAACCTTCCCAACACCAACCAAGGACGGGTGACTCACAGCAAGAAAAAAGGACCACGGTCAGACAAAGGTAGCCTTGGACCCAAATGACGTCAATGGCCAAGCGGCCCTGATATAGGTGTGCAAGAATATCACAAAACAAACAAACAAACAAAACTGGATGTGCCTTTGGTCACTTTGGTTTCCTTAAAAGACGGGGGTACCTTCAAACAATCACATACTCACATACTCTTCCTTGCAAGGGAAGCTTTCCATGGAACCTCGAAGACCCCGGCCCTTTCGACTTCAAAGAGCTTGCAAAGCTCGGCTTCCATGAAAGTGGTAGCTAGTGATGTTGACCCAAGGCGTCCAACACAAAGATGTCCAATTCTTTGCAACATGCTCCTGCGCAGGTACCCGGCCAATGACAGCTCCAGTGCTGTCCAAAGCCTGAGCTGCAACATCTCGGTTCAGATACTGCCTGAAAATCATCCTGTAAGTGCGAGCAAACAAAGCAAATCCCCCAGGTCCCAAACGTAATCTTGCGAACCCTTAGCTGCTGCACTGCAATGGGCCAACATCAAAGGCTATGTCAAAGCGATGCATAGTACAAACTAACTCAATCGCATAGATCACTGCCCCAGTAGCATGAGATACGGTTGTGCCCTGAGTATTGAAAGTAAACCACCCACAAACTACAAAGTACGCAACAAGGCTTCCCTTGTTCCCTACCTGCAATATTTCAGGAATCAACTGCAGCTTGAGAACTTCAAGCAGGGGGAGACATTACGCCTGACTTATGCTGGTACACAGAGTCAGCGTTTGGAATTCCGCGCGACAAACAATGCAGGCAGATCAGGGGCAGTGAGAATATACAGCTGGACATGATTCAAGCTGTGGATCCCAAAGACGGTGAGCTTCCTGTGGAGTCAATGTCGATCACAACACCGCTCAAATTGCACATTCAAGGGGAGGCTCCTGTTTGTTTCTAGACGTTCAATCGGTGAAATTACAGTTGAAGGGGAGGGCAATGCTGCGTTGGGCCAACTACGCCAGAGTGAAACTGGATGTAACTTGTCCTTTTATGACTGCAAGCAAACAGCATCAGAACACCTAAATGGAGAGGTTGTGCAATCTAATTTCACCCAATTGTACAAAGACCTGATCGTTCTGATCCCGCCTGCGCCGTCCATTCACCTCCGCGGCTGTCCGACTGCGGCTGGCTGGGGTGCACGACCTGAACGGCGTACGGACACGTGCAGCGTCCAGCAGGCACCTGCTAAGGCAAAAGAAAACAAGTCAGCTTTCTTCCAATTGGTGGTTTGGATTGGTGGTCTGGTGGCTAAGAACGGGTTTCCCATCTACCCTCTACAAGAACCAGAGTTCAATCCCTAAACCACCAATCCAAATCACCAATTCCGGGCAACCTGAACAAGGGTCGCACCTTATGTATAGAGGGGATGGGCCAACAAAATGGGAACAAGGCTGCGGAACAACTGAGCATTTCAGGCTGAACCATGTGCTGCCATCAATTTGAGGCTATGTGGCTATAATATTGAATTGAAGAACCCATTGGAGGACATCGTGCACATTGGGATTTCAGCTCACTACCCATTTGTGAGGCTGTTCTCTCCCCTAAAAATATCCTGTCACAATGCGCACGGCATTCAAAGGAAACCCAAACCGCCGTGGCTGTCAAAGGATGATCTGAGAGCTCGACAGACATGCGGAAGCTTAGCTGAGATCCCATTGGCAAAGGTGCCATATCCTGATTCGTCAACAGCAACCAGTTCTGCCGACCCTTCACCAAGCCAGCTTCCACTCAAACGCATGTTTCTGACATGCCCAAAATTTAAAATGACCCGAACAAACAATCGGATCAACCAAGTTCAAAATAGGTTGCCCCGTTTTTGACCGTGGCTGGTCTCTGTCCAGATGAAAAACCACTGCAAGAGTGAGCGACCCTCAGCGCTGTGCAGAACTCGTGTCGTTCTGGCTCTGGGTGAATGCGTCAGCAAGTCTGGTGACACCTCATTGGCGACAAACGCAACTATTTTCCAGCTTGTTTCAGCTCTTGCCTGCAACTAAAAAATAACATGCTTAGATGCTGGTATATATATATATGGTCTGGACGGCCTTAACATACGACTAATCATATCGATAACATCCCAGTTTGGATATCGTCAGATATTAGCCGCAGCACAAGTAGCGTTTGACTAGGCCCCCGAACGGACAACATCACCTTGTGCAAAGCAGCGAAGGTTGTCCTCTGCCAAAGCCGAAGCACTTCCTAGCTTATGTAGCAACCGTGCCGTCTCATAGGCAATTCTGCTGAAAACAATGTGGTTGCATCGTATAGTGACTTGCTACATGAAGCTTCAACGTTGACAAAATCGACACTGCTCCTGTCTTGCCTCACCACAAGCCAGCCCCACTTGAGCTCTGCTGACCACAGTCATTACGAAGTGGCTATCATACAGCTGGTGTGATCGGCTAATAATTTCTTCCTTGACTTCATGCAATGTGCGGGATTTTTGCATTCCAAGCGCATTGATTTCTCAATGACGGAGACATGACACATTGTTCCAATTAGATCAGTCAAGCCCAAAGCTTCCTGAACCCTGCAGCAAAGATGGGCAAATCAACTTTTCCGACATAGCCAGAATGCCACCAAGCTACAAGCGCCTAGACATGAGTGAATGGCACGTTGTAGAACTGCCACTTCGGTAACCAAATGTCAGACAACCAAACGTGTATTCAGGAAATTGTGTGCGTAGGTGTGCGCTGACCGTGCTTGTGCATGTGCATGTGCGCGAGAGCTTGCGTGCAAGCTCGCGTGTGCTTGCGCGTGTGCGCGCGCAGGTGTAGGCGTAGGTGTTGGTGTAGGTGCAGAACGTATCTGTGTGTATGTGTTTTGTGTGTTTTGTGTGTGCTTTGTGTGTGTGTGTGTCAAGGTCATCACGCCACCCGCGGCGTAGAAACAATTTACAGAGCTCTCTCTGCCGCTGCTTACGACTTGCCTAGGGAGGGACATACGTGTTTCGTATCTCTTGGTTGTACGGCCGCTTTGCAGACCATGGTGTTCTGACACACAGGGCACACTCAGGAACTGTCCTCTGGATTTCAGCTTACGCAAGGGCCGCCCGCCAAAGGATTGCTCCTTCATGCAGCAGTACCCGTGCGGCTTCTCCTTCTTACTCAACCGACCGCCTCGTCCACGCCTTGTCCCTGCCTTACGCCCGACCCGCCTTACCGAAGGACTTACTGTGCCCTCCTTCTCTTCTGCGCATGGGCTATGACGACACGCGTCTAACCGGCCTCCCCCTCCCCCACCCCCAATGCAGAACACGGGTCGACCGGAGTCTTTTACTGGATGGCCATCTGGAGCATTGTTCCAAGCTTTGAAAAGAATGCTTGTGATAGAATCGCACGCAAAGGAGGAAGGAAAAAAACAAGAGGGTCCTTTAGACAGGGAAATTGCGCACACAAATTTTTGGCTTCACGCAGGCGGTGTTTCCAACGCACAGGGTGCCCTTGTCGTAATCAGACACTTCCACCACTCGGGCCTTCAGAATTGAACATTACTTTTGCTCAAAGTCGTAGGCCTCAGGAACTGACCTCTGGAATCGCAAGGATCACTGAAGGCTGCCTCCACGCTCTGTGCCTGCCTTACGCCCGGGCCGCCTTACCGAAGGACTTCCTGTGTCTTCCTGCTCTTCTGCGCATGGGCTATGACCACACGCGTCTGACCACCCCCCCCACCCCCCAACCGACCAAAAAACGCAGGGTGACCGGAGTGGTTAGCTGGATTGCCACTTCACTTGAAGTGTTCCACGCCTTGGAGAGACTGCTCGTGACAGAATCGCATCCCCCTTGACAAGGGGGGTGCGTGTGTGTTTGTAGCCCTTGCGGTCCGAAAAAGGGGCCCTTTGGACATGGAACAATTCGCACACAAGTTTTGGTTTCACGCAGGGGGCAGAGGGACTTCTGACATGGCCTCTGCCAACGAAGCTCCATGTCAGATAGTCAGGAAACGTACCTGCTGACTGCACCTGGGCGACGTTGATCGCAGCTGGTGGGTCCAATTCATGTGCACGTGCCTTGATGTACTCAGGACTCACTGTGAGATTTTCATACTTCCAAGTGTGTGCTTTGTGTGTTTTGTGAGTGGTTTGTGTGTTGTGTGTGTGCTGCGTGTTTTGTGTGTGTGTGTTTTGTGTGTTTTGTGTGTGTGTGTGTTGTGTGTGTGTGTTGTGTGTGTGTGTGTGTGTTTTGGGTGTTTTGTGTGTGGTTTGTGTGTGTGTGCTTTGTCTGTGTTTTGTATGTTTGTGTGTACGTGTGTTTTGTGTGTGTTGTGTGTGTGTGTGTGTTTTGTGTGTGTGTGTGTGTTTTGTGTGTGTGTTGTGTGTGTGTGTTGTGTGTGTGTGTGTGTGCGTTGTGTGTTGTGTGCTGTGTGTTGTGTGTTGTGTGTTGTGTGTTGTGTGGTGTGTGGTGTGTGGTGTCTGGTGTGTGTGTTGTGTGGTGTGTGTTGTGTGGTGTGTGTGGTGTGTGTGGTGTGTGTCGTGTGTGGGTGTGTGTGGGTGTGTGTGGGTGTGTGTGGGTGTGTGTGTGTGTCTGTGTGTCTGTGTGTCTGTGTGTCTGTGTGTCTGTGTGTCTGTGTGTCTGTGTGTCTGTGTGTCTGTGTGTGTTTGTGTGGTTGTGTGTTTGTGTGTTTGTGTGTTTGTGTGTCTGTGTGTCTGTGTGTCTGTGTCTCTGTCTGTCTGTCTGAGTGTCTGTGTGTCTGTGTGTCTGTGTATGTGTTTGTTCTTTCGTTGGTTCGCTTGTTTGATTCCGTGTGGTTGGTTTGTTGGTTGGTTGATTGACTAAGGTGGGTGGTGGGTGGCCGGGTGGTGGGTGGCCGGGTGTTGATGTGTTCATGCTTTGCGTTTTGTTTGTGGTGTATGTTGTGTTTCTCATACGTGCCGTGTCTGCGTGTCTGTTTGTCTTGCCTGTGTGCCGCTGTGTGCCTCTGAATCTCTGTGCCTCGCCGTCTGTACTCGTGCAGTCAATCAACATATTTAGAGACAATCCATGCAAATGCCCAAAGACAAGGCTACCATTCAAAACACCCCCAAAAGACAAGGGAGAGAAGCCAGCCAACAACAGTAGGCTTGAGCTGGGGACGATCCCCAGCCAAGGTGGGGGGCTCGAACGGACCTCTGCGCTCGGCCCTGAACTCGAGGGTGTCCCGTCCTTCACCCAGTCATCAAGACTGCTGGGCGCCCAAAAGTGGCAACTGGAGGCGTTGCCCGGGAAGAGTAGCTCGATCTGCTCCTGTCTGGGCTTTCTCATGGGTCCCGGTTTGGGACGTCCTTAAAAGAACACCAAAAGGAAAACAACGGTCCGCAGTGTCGCAAAGCCTGCTTGACCTTCTCAACAGGAAGCCTGAAAAGAAGGAACCCGCTTGCCAACCATCCCAGTGCACGGTTCTTGGCCTTTCTATGATGTGTGCTTACAAAACCGCCCTGTCCATGCTTGCCCGAAAGAAGGTACCCGATAGACCGTGTTCTTCTTTCAGTAGCGGACCTTGTCTCAGATTCAATTTGTGAGAAGGGAGGCCATCCACAAGGGCACCAGGTTGCAAAGCCACTTTGCCAAATGGAGGCTTCCCTGATCCATGTCAACAGAAAAGGTCAAATTGGTGTTTGTTCTGCACCGTCTCCCGCATTGCTCCCCCGAGAAAAGGCCAAACGTGAGCTTGGGGGCTTTGCTTTGCCAGCACAAACTTTCTACCGAAAAGTTGGAGCGCAAGGTCTTCGAATACTCAAATCAAGTTGAGTATCACTGCAAACAAGCCACGTGTTTGGCATGAGCTTGGGCATGGCAAGTTTGACGATTTGGCGTGGAACCCTTGTCATACACGTCAAAGACCGTCCCGATCAAGCATTGGAAGCCAAAGGGAAGCGCGACATTTGGGGCCCAACTCTGAACTGTTGCAATGTACCCCGCACATATTGGGTGTCATATGGTGTCATCTCAGAATGCGGGTTTTCAGATAGGCGCAAGCCCCCCCTCAATCAGCATGAGTCTGACATTCTTGACACGCTCTCCCTGGCAGAGATTTTAAGGCAAATCCAGCCATGAATCAGGAAGTCTTCACCAGTGTCCGTTTGTTCGCGGTTGCACTCAACACCGTTTGGTTGCGGGAAGGCAATGGCACTCCACGTCCCAGAACCGCGCGGAGCGGAAAAAACCCGTCCGCTGCGTTCAGCAGGCGGAAGGAGAAGACGACGCTGGTGGGCAGACCCAAACGCAAGGAGCTGGGAGCCACCTGGGCCGAGGCCGCAAGATTTGGGGGTTCTCTTCAGTTTCGCAGTTTTCTCGTTTCTGTGTTTTGTGATTGTTCGTTTGTTGATTGATTGATTGATTGATTGATTGATTGATTGATTGATTGATTGATTGATTGATTGATCGATTGATTGATTGATTGTTTGTTTGTGCGTGTGCGCTTGTTTGCGTGTTGCATGTCTGCCGGCCGGCCTGCCTGCCTGCCTGCCTGACTTCTTAAGCAATGGTCAACAGTCATGCTCAAAGATGTGAGCAGTGCCGAAATATATTGTATAAGAAGCGGTACTACGAATTTGCTTTGCGGACCCTTTCTCGACTCTTTCGCGACCACATGTTTTGCATTCGCAGGCACGGTCTCCCTGGGGTTTGCTTTCGCGGTGCTCTTGCGGCGGATGCTGTGAAGCACGTCCTTTAGATCGAAACACGCGTTCGCAGCAGCGTGACGGTGCCTTTCAACAGTCTCCTGGAACTGAGTGCAAGTAAAATGAGCAACACCAGCTATTGGAATGGGGCACTCCCTTCTGGGATGGGTTGTGCTTTCGCGTATCCTGCGCGGAAAACGTGTTTCTGTTGTCTCTGCATGCCTGAGTCAAGAAGAGAAACACAATTTGCCATACGGACACCTTTGACCTCCAGGCGCATGCTCCAGCGTGAAAACTTCCTATAACACAGCTCTCAGCTTTCGAGGGGCTTCCGCGGCATAACCTTCTCTTGGGACTTTCGCGATAGGCAATCGCAGCCTTCGGCGACTGTGTTTCGGCCTTCGCGGAGGCTATATAGGACCCCCCCCCTTGACTACTTGAGATCAGCAGGGTTTATAGCTCTGCTCATGTGCTGAAGGAGAAGTAAACAATGTTCTTGCACAGGCCATCAATGGAAATGCGTCTGAGCAAATTAAACCAGTCCCAGTTTTCTGCAGAACCTCTCAGGGGGGCCAAGGGTATCCTGAGCATGCGCTTGCAACGACCACCGACCCCGCTGCGCGTAACAACCGCCACAGGCAGGCAAGCTGCAACTTGAATTGCGATATCAGCGCCCCGACACGACCTTGACATAGGCAAATCGAAAGCGTCGCTCTTGCGTTCGGGGCTGAAGACATAATATGTCATGATCTCTCTCTTTCCGTCCGCATCCGTGCGCCTGAAAATCCAAGATCCTGAACACGATCTCGGGGCCGATGAAGGGGGCCTGGCCAGGGAAAGCCTGATGAATACCGAGTTCATATTTGCTTCCTGACCAAACATGCTGTGCACCCTTCCTTTTTGCATGGTTCTTGTGCTCCGGGAAAGGGAGCCTTTGCCGTGTCTGTTGGCGATCCTGGGCAAAAGTTCCAACTGTATTTGTCTTTGCGCCGGAGTTCTGCTTGACTTTTCAAACCAGACTTATACCTGGGCAGTCTTGTGCCAACGGGAGAGAAGCTCCCTCAGAACTTAAACATCCTTTCAAGCTTGACAGCTCCTTAAATGGGTCTTGGGATCCAACAATTTCAAGGCAGGTGTGTCTACATCATTGATGAATCACCATTCGCGGCAGCCACAAATCGCACACTAAGCGATGCCGCTTACCTAACTGGGCAACGACACGATACGGACTATTAAACAAACGGCCATACATCACATCTGATGTAGACCACCAATGCATTCTGAAGTTCTGGCCAACATGAACAACACAAGCAAACAACTCCCGCACGTTCACGGCTTGGGTGCCCTACTTCAATGGTCAACAGACTGGAAAAAAACAGATATTAACAATTCTTGGGGTGGCTGATATCCATTTGTTGCACACGGCCACTATCCCATGATGTTGCTGGACTGTCATCCTTTCGAAGGTTCATACAAACTGCCAGAATTCCCAACCCGTTGCGGACATGGACAGGACGGTGTCTGAAGACTGCCATCTTGAAAAGGCTCGGCGAAAAGCTACCAACCCGGAGTGGAATCGCTTGTTGTGCCCATTGGATGCGCCCCCTAAAGTCCAAAAACAAAAAGCGCGCTTTGGATAGAAGTCGCAAACACTCTATATATCATGCCTCCGGTCTTGGGCTTGGCACCCCAAAGGAAGCCACAGCCACAGCATGATCAGGGTTCCATGCTGTGACTTCCCCAAGGTACGAGTAGGCTTAAATCATCTTAAGCCCAAAGGTGGTTGACTCTACCTTGGAGCAACCAAGCACTCTAACCCTGATCACACTTTGGGTGTGGCGCTTCCCGCACCGACGGCCTTGTTTCTAGGACCAGCTCAACGTCACTTGGGCACAAACCGGCCCGTGCGGTTATTGACGGACAAGCTGCCATCTGTCTGACTTTTCCGTTAATCCTTGTGGTAGTCGAGGATCCCTGGATCTATTCTGCAAGCGAGTCCAATACGTCGAGTCAAACCGCGCCAGACTGGGACCAGCCTGTCCCGGTCCCTGCCGGCGACCGGTCCAGGGCAACTTCGGGAGGGCCAGTTTCAGGGCGACCCCGGGAGAGGCGACTGCCCCCGGGCCAACTCGAAGTGACTTGGGCGCAAGCCGGCCCAAGCGGTAATTAACGGACTAGCTGCCATATTTCTGACTTTTCCGTTAATCCTTGTTTGTGGTCGTAGAGGATCTTATAAGTGGTCCCTGGGTTTGCGGACGTGTTTCAGGACCGGTCCTTGTGACTTTTCCCTTAATGCGCCGAGGGTCGGCGGCAGCAGGCGGTAGCCTGGTTAATAGCCTAGAGCCCCTCTATGACAAGCCAAAAATCCACGTCTTTCCCCTTGGATCGCCTGGTCCTTTGAGACTCGATCCGACACGAGAGTGCCTGAAAGCGCGTGGGGCTGCAGGCGCGGCACCCGGGCGCTGGACCTGGGGCTGGACGTTTGGGGGGAGGTTTCGGGGTTTGGTTGGAGGGCGTGGTGTTCCGTTTGTGCTGTTTGTTTTTGTCAGTTTGCTTTGGGGAGGGGTTTGGGGAGGGTTTAGATTGTTTGTCCCGACATGCTTGAGACTCTGAGTGAGAGCTTGTGAAATGATCGAAAGACTGCGAAACGATGCGAAGTCGTCGAGCCTTGAATCAGAGCCAAGGTCCATGGCTCCTGCCACTGAGCAACTCTTCAGCGCAACTGAACACTCAAGTGGAAGATCCCAACGGCAAGGATTAGTGAGCATGCAAACCGAGGTCGAGTTTCTTTCACTGAAGGAAAACCTTGGATTTCAGCAAGCTTCGAGCTGGACAGCCTGTGCCCCGTCATGCCTCTTGAGTGATCTGCCAAAAGTACTGGGCTGGATTCACAACGGCGATTTGCACCTCATGCGAAAACACCGCACGGTAAGTCAGGCAGGACTGAGCAACTCTTGCCGGGCATTGAGGGTACAAATTGACACGGACATCCATGACTCCAGAGTCACAGCAATGACTAAGGCTGCAATTCGATGCAAATCCAGACTATTCATCTCCTGCCATGCCAAACAAAGACCGCACCTGCAGGCATAAGGCGTAAGGCTCGCACCGCATACTCCACGTGGCCCAGGGACAGTGAACGGCGAGCCCCTCAGCTGCGGGAGGGGACTTCAGACAAACGGCTCGTCCCAGAAGAAACGGAAAACATGTTTACACTCAAACTCATGACATCTCATGACCCCATCTCTTCAACAAATGGGCCAATCCCCTAAAAAACTGGATGGCTTGAGAACAATGGGGAATCAAGCCTCGCAATTTGCACCTCAGCGGTGTGAGCACCTCGCTCCAAGTTAGCCCCACCTGCCCCTCTCCAGGCTGGGGCCCGAGCCCAGTGCAAAGACGATGTTCCGCGGGCCCTCCAGGTACACGGCAGGCGCCCTGCGGATGAGAAGCCGTTAATCCTCAAAATCTCGATGATTTTCCTGGTATCCCTTTAAAGATCATCTAAACGGGGGGGGGGGGGGGACAACCTTTAAAAGACCACCAGATCCAATGCCGCCGCGTGGTGGTGCTTGACTGTTTGCTCTTTCCTCAAGCAACAGGAATCCAATCATTTGGAGACATCCCTCATAGCTACCAGCTGGGGACCGCTTTGGTTGGTTTAAAAGGTGACACCAACACCGAACCAGCCGTTGTTTAGCTCACCGCCCGTCGCTCAACCCAGCCAGCATATACCAGCACCATCCAAGCTTCCCGCCCGTCGGTGCCGATTGGACTGGCATCCACATTGGAGGCGCCTGTTAGAACCTGACCAAGACAGTCGGGGGTCTGCGGGGTCGCCCGCAAGTGGCCGTTGGGTAACACCAGATGGCACAACTTAATCCCCCATGTTGGTTCTGTCATCCCGTTTACCCACACAAGAAGAATTGCACCATCTACCTGAATCCCGTCGTACCTTGACGTCGGCGCAACGACTCCCCAATAAAAAGAAATCCCACAAAGCAAAACATGGCCGCGCCCGAGACTTCCACTCTGCCCCCACTGTACAAGTGCGGAGGTTCTTGCCAGTTTTTCTCTGGCACACTCCGCACATCTGATGCAGGGGCTGAGCCCCCCACAAAGAAAGGCGAGGCGGTGATGGAGATGTTGACATCCTGCGAGGACAGTGGGCCCTCATCAAGAAAGAGTTGTGCTCGCATTGTTGCGGAAAACGAAGCCATAACTATGCTGAAATACATATGATACGATGTAGCAATGCAGTAGCCGTCTCTCTTGGGCTCATTTTTCTTACGCTGCTTGCTTTAAAGGAGTGCTGAGAAGGAACGGTTGGGCTTTTCACCCATAGAGGCTCCACATTTGGTAATACCCTTATACCATCACAAACAAGGTCCAACTGACAAGGGCACCGTGAGAAGAAATCTGTCCCGCGGCTCTTCATGCAGGCTGAAACCTCGCAGCGTGGCTCCTGCAAAGCAAATGTGCATCAAAGGTTGACTTGTTGAAATTGTGACTAAAAATGGACGAACTGATCTTCACTTTAATTGCTGGCCACCCTTGGCCATCATCCCTCTTGGTGCATGAACATGGCAGACCCAAGCAGAGGGGGCTAGTCAAGTAGCTGCCGAAGATTTGGTGCACAAGCCACATTCTTTCAAGCAGTCCTGTGGTGAAATGAAGAGTAACAAAGCCACCTCAGTCAACTGGGTTTCTGGAAGCCAAATCCGAGAGTTCGAGCCGGTCAAAGATCAAGTGCCAACTCGATTGCAAATCACGCTCGAATAGGGCTTTTCGCTTTTGGGTTTATTGTCTTGGTATTTTGCAATGCATCAATAATTACACGGAAGTCCAAAGGCCTGACTTGCGTGGCGATCAAAACTCGGCTCTGATGTTTCTCTTTGCGGCCTATGCACGGGTTGTTTATGTTTGCTTTAATGGTTTTGTGTAGCCGTTGACAGCAAGCCACAGAAAGGACTAGCTTTCTCAAAGGGTACTATAGTTGATTTATCAATGTATTGATGGATCCATCTAGCCATGCATTTGTCATTCCTTCAATTGTCATGTTCATGCCCAACAAGAACTGGGTACTAAGTAGGGGTCAAGAACAATTATCAAAGTATCATCCCCTTTGGTTTCCTGTTGGACAAATCAACCTGTTCACCATCCATTGTGGTACCAAACAAAGTAGGCCATTCCCATGACTACTTTGAACACGTTGAAGGAGATTCCCGGAATCCCTGCTTTCGCAGAAAGGGGGCCCCCTCACCTTGTTTCAAAAGGAAAACCAAAAGGAGACCAAAAGGAAACCTATTCTTTGCGGGGGTTCCCCATTTTGGGACAAATCCACAACGCGCCTGGGAAAACAGCAGGGCTCCTCGCTTGCCTTCGAAAAACCGACGGCACGCTGAGCTCGGCTCTGGTGCCCTCCAGCTGGCTGCCAGAGGAGACGGCCACGCGCGGGAAGTCTGGCACCCGGCAACTCCTGCAGCTTGGCCGGGCACAGCTCTGCATGTGTGGTACGTGTGTATAGACTGTATAGACTGTATAGATGACGCGGTTGCTTTCTGCTCCCCGAAAAGTTTAACTTTTAGTGGTTTAATGGAAAACCCATGGTTGGCAAAAAGTTAAAGTCCGAACATCCAAACAAAATAGCAAAATGCACCAAAGATGATATCATGACACCAACCCCCAAGGGAAAATTGATTGCCCTTCGGGGGGGGGGGGGGATGGGATGTGTAAATACATGTGTGAATCGATGCTACGGTGGACGAAACCATTTCGCACCACTTTGAAACCATGGTTGAAAACATTGTTTGTTGGTATTTCTCAGGGAGTTATCATTCCAAGGATTTCTGGTCCGTCCGCTGTATCATTACACCAGCCCATTCCTCCCCCCCCCCCCCGGAATTTACTGATTGCCCTTCAGAGGGTTCAGGCAAGAAATTGCGGGCCTTGCCCAGAGATGCCCTTGGCTTCCGGGCATCTCCACTGGCTCGGAGGAAAGCGGGAAGATGGGTCCAGCGGCCCAGTCCTGCAGGAAAACCTGTAGGACACTTGTTCAACCCTTGGCATGGTAGCAAACAAATTGTGTCTCTTGCAGCACCCCACTAAAAGTGAACAGACATGCCAACCACGGTGAATTGAGGAAAACCACATTGTCTAAATTGAGGAAACCGTGGACACCCCTCCCTTTTCCTTGAATTGGGGAATGGATCTTGAAGGAGTCTACTCTCAATCAAGCAAATAATGTGGCCGGATTGCACTTATTAGGGCAGCCGTTCATGGCTGGGACTGGCCTTTTACTACATCCTACATCGGAGATCCTACAGTAGCAGTGACATCAGGGAAAAAACAAGCATCGCCCCGTGATTTTCCCGGATTTGAGCAACAAAACCCGCAGCGGAGGCAGAGGTTCCCTTGGAGACAGCCCGTGCCTCCGTGATGACTGCCATGGTGGGCTCCGCGGGCAGAAACCTGGCGTGAAAGGCGAAGGCTCCACCCCAAAATACATGTTGATTCCTTCCAGTTAGGGTTCCCTTTAAACCCCACAAATGGGGGCGGGAAGTTCATTTGTGTTGTTCGTGTTGACTTGGCGTCCCTTGCAAAGAAGGGCGTCAACTCTCAAACAAACGAACTCACGATGGGTGGATCCCGCTCAGCTGGCGGCACCCCCAGGCGTCCGGCGCCATCACAACGACGCTGAAGTCCATGGATAGCGCCTGGCGGTGTCGCGTGTGGGGTGGGGGTTGGGGAGCTCCTCATCCAGTGGTTCAAAGTGAAGTTTCCCTACGGTACTCCCATGGTACGGGTATCAATTTGGTATCCATTTAAAACCCAAGCAGCATGGGTTGCCCCCCCAAACCAAGATGCCCATACATTGTATGCATTGAACCCGGGGATTCCCTCTTATTGTGTAATATGAGGAAACCCCCTCGTATGGGGCTGGGAAGAACTTCCGCGTGCACGCGCCTGGGCCCCCACAGAAATGGTCAGGAGATTGTACCCCAAGAAGGGCAGAAGGCCTCGATCCAGGCAGGCTTGCCACGGATCTACTATAAGTTCCTGAAGAAAAAGCAATGGGGTCGTCTACCTTAACACCAGTCAGATCGTGGAAGCCACACGTTCATAGTCATTTGGCCCATATGAGCCATGTGTCAAGCCTGGTGAACAAGGCGGCATGCTGTACCCTCCAACCTTCTAAAAACGCTCTCGGAATCCATGGCTTTGATGCAGTGTCCGTAGTTGGAGCAGTTTGCTGATCAACCTGCCGAACCATCAATCCAAACCACCGCACCAAACGGAACCGCCCCTGCGCATCCGAGGTCCGAGCGTCCGAATTCACAGGTTGCCGACGTGGCGCTCTCTATGGTGCATGCCTTTGGCGTGGGTTTGAAAGCATTCAAAACCCCCCCGCCCCAAAAGGGCCCTGGGTTCGCCGCATCGGAGCCCGGACTTGAGAAGTCTTTCTGTACACACGTGCTCAAGAACAAGAGCTGTCGCTATAAATCAATAAAATAAGTCGTCGACATGACATCCACCCAAAGGCCATTGGGAGAACCTTTCCCCCCAACAAAAGCAACATGCATACGTTTATAAACCCTACACTAGGGCGGCAAGGGCGACAAACGAGGAGGTGAAGGGGAACTGTTGAGGCAAAGGCAAGTTTGAACCTAGTCGGGTCACGTTCCAAAACAGCATTCCAGACTGGATGTAAACATCAAAGTTTAAGAAAGTAGACTATCGAGAGCGCGCACCAGCGAAAAAAAAAAAAAAAAAAAAAAAAAAAAAAAAAAAAAACACGCGTGCCAAATCTAGCGCAACCAGGTGCCTGATTGCTCCAAAAAACAACGCTTGTCTCCTTGTATAAGAGTCCTTGTAAGGTCTTGCAAGAGTCCTTGCGAAGCCTTGTAAGAGGCCTTGTAAGGCATTGCATGAGGCCAATGAGGCCCATTACACTTGTCTCTCTGTAGGCCTTTTGCGTTATTTAGCTTCTTTGTTCCGCCATGAAGTCTCGACAATCGCTTTTGACACCTTTTGCGCAGTTGGTTGGCTTTGAACGAACCAAGGAAGTCGACGGCGTGGCTTGCAAATATCTGGCTGGGTTTGCATCTGCTGGCATGCTGAGCCAGTTGGCCCCACCAAACACAGCAGGTCATTTCCACCTTGCAACTGCTTCATCGGTTTAGGCATTACTTCCGACTGCTTCATGCATGACTTCCCTTCACGATCCCCTTCTCAGAAAAGGCCCCCAAGACGGAAACACTTATGCTGCTTAATCTCCAAAGTTCTCAGCAAACAAAGCTTTCCTCTGGTATCTCAGGAATCCCAACAAAAAAGTCCAAATGCTGTAGGCTGCTGCTGAAATTTTCCTCCCTCCGTGCCTCCCCTGTTCCCCGCCCTTTCGGGGCTCCCACAGCTCCGTTCTGATCCCAAAGTAGCAAAGGGTGCAGCGCCACTACCAGCTTCATGGCCTACGGGGCCCGTTCCGGCCGAAATCCGAAATCCGAAATCCCGTAGCAGAGCTCGCACAGCCTCTTGGCACCCAGAAAGGATCGACTTTGCTGCAAAGGGTCAAAGTGGCTGCGAAGGTTCCTGGCCCTTAGGACGAAAGTTTGCCCATTCCGGGCGCTTTTGGTGAGCCCGTGCACATCAAAAGGCGACATTGTGAGAGATCACATGTGGGGGCATGCGGTGGACCAATGAAAATAAGACATCTTGTTTAAGGCTATCTCTTCTTGGCACCATTTTTCGCGGGCCCCTCTTAAGACACCCGCCAATGGAGTAAAGCGATAGGTGATCCAGTGATGCAGGTTGCCCGAGAATTGTTTGTGTGGGTCCACCCTGGGTCCACCTGCCTAGATTCACACTCCAGGAAACCACCCCAAAAGAATTGCAGGGCAGGAAACCCCAGACGACTGTTTACTCATTTTTCAAACCTCGAGACCCCAAAACAATTGATTGGTGTCCTTTTGGAGTTCCTGTCAAAAGCGATCCACAGGTTCCCGGGTTAGACCAGCAACCCATTTTGCAACCCCGGCCGGAGTGCTTGGAAGCGGGTAGCTGGCATTCAGCCGCAAAGACCTTGGCATGAGATCTGGACGAGAGAGGCCGGGTGTGGGTTCAACTGCACAGGGGGCAATGAGGACCTTTGATTCTGCTCCGTCTGGGTATGATTTTCAACTGGGGATTCTTTGGTGGACATCATTTACGTATCAGTTTGAAATCGGGTGTCATGTCCACCAAATACTTTTGAGGCTGTTCGCCAAAAAAGCGGACAATTTCAACAGTTTTATTTTGTGGGGCCCGGGGTGGGTGGGGCAGGGGGGGGGTGGGGGGGGTGGGCGGGGTGGGGGGGGTGGGGGGGGGGGGTGAGAACACTGGCTGATTATTGATCGGGGCTGATTGATTGATTGATTGATTGATTGATTGATTGATTGATTGACTGATTGATTGATTGACTGACCGACCGACCGAGCGACCGACCGATGAGACGGGATGGGATGGCAAGGGATGGGTTCGGTTGGTTGGTTGCTTCATTGATTGGTTGATTGATTGATTGATTGATTGATTGATTGATTGATTGAGTGATTGAATGATATGCTTCTGATTGATTGATTGATTGATTGATTGATTGATTGATTGATTGATTGATTGATTGATTGATTGATTGATTGATTGATTGATTGATTGATTGATGCATGCATGCATGCATTCATGCATTCATTCATTCATTCATTCATCATTCATTCATTCATTCATTCATTCATTCATTCATTCATTCATTCATTCATTCATTCATTCATTCATTCATTCATTCATTCATTCATTCATTCATTCATTCATTCATTCATTCATTCATTCATTCATTCATTCATTCATGTCATTCAGTCATTCATTGATTCATTCATTGATTCATTGTATCATTGATTCATTGTATACTTGATTCATTGATTCATTGATTGATTGAATTGATTGATTTGATGGAGTTGATTGAGTTGATTGATTTGATTGATTTGATTGAATTGGTTGATTTGATTGAATTGATTTGATTGATTTGATTGAATTAATTTATTTGGTTGATTTGATTGAGTTGATTGACTTCATTGTTTTGATTGATTGATTGATTGATTGATTGATTGATTGTTTGATTGATTGATTGATTGATTCATTCATTCATTCATTCATTCATTCATTCATTCATTCTGACTGACTGACTGACTGACTGACTGACTGACTGACTGACTGACTGACTGACTGACTGACTGACTGACTGACTGACTGACTGACTGACTGACTGACTGACTGACTGACTGACTGACTGACTGACTGACTGACTGACTGACTGACTGACTGACTGACTGACTGACTGACTGACTGACTGACTGACTGACTGACTGATTTGTTGATTTATTAATTGATTGATCGATCCGCGGTCGATATTTCCAAGCAGCCTTGGAAGTCAGTAAGACAGTTGCTTGACGTGCCCAGCAAGAGGACCAACAATTGAACAGTTACAAACAAGTTCTACGACATGGGCAGCTTGGCCAGGGATATGTCCACAGACGCCAGACAAACCAACACATGCAAAACGCCAACAACACGTACTTAGGTGTTCAATCCACTCAGTATATCATCCCCCCACCACAGGGGAACTTGTCGCTGTTCTCCTAGGTGCGATGGTTGTCACTTCACAACCTTTGTGGAGTTGACATTCAACTAACACACCCCCAGCATCAATACAGTAAAGCGCCGGTCACCATCAGTCGTCGAAACGGACATGCCCGGTAGACTTGTGCCGGGCCGTGCGCTAAGGGAAAAAGGGCAAAGGCCGGGAGACGAGTGTTGAACCGCTGGTTGGTCCCATTTGAATCACAAGCATTCATCTTTTTCGAGAAAAACAAAAAACAAGACGTGCCAATCCACCATATTGATGAATCTGGTTTTTGATGAGTTGCTTGAACCTTAAAAGGGATTGCCATTTCCGAGGGACCCTTGTTGGGATGACTTTCAAGGGAAACCATTAAGACACCCGAGTGGACTCGGAAGCCGTGCTCCCCGGCAGCAGCAGCCTCCGTGGTTCTCCCGGGCTTAGCTCCGTGCCGCCGCGCACGCGGAAGGACTGAGAAGAGCTTCACAGGTTTATACAGGTTTCGAAACTTGACACGGGAGTCCGAGATACAGGCGTGCACATGTGACCTATACCTATAAAATTATGTATGCATGTATGTATATATATATATATACATTGTAATAATAATATGTACGTGTGTGCACCTGTACTTATACTGGGGGGGGGGGGGCAAAAGGCAGTGTCTGGGTACCATGTGGGATTCTGGGTTTCTCTTCCCAAGCAGAAGCGATCCCCATCGAATGTCATTTATCGCCAAAAGGTCGCCTTGGTGTGACTTGGTCACACCAAAGACCAGCCAATGATTGGTGAACCCCTCATTGATGAATGCGGGCTGTCCCAATTTAAGAGGGAAGCGATTAATCCGGGTCGACAATATTTTGTCCTTTTCTTTGTGCTTGAAAGACACGCCACAGGGGGAATCACCAAATAACGTGGTGAAAAAGAGTCGCTTTACACAAGTATTGGGAGCCACAAAAACCGGGTAACCTCCAAAGCGGACACCCAAATGAGTCCTGCCCCCTTTGCGGACCGGACCAGAGTGTCACCTCATGGCCTTTCAAGAGTCATTGTACGTCATTG